ATTATTTAGCTGAGAATTATAAAAAAAATAGCAAAAACAATTAATTGAAGTACATAACTACCGATTGTCGTGTTTTATTGGAATTTCTTACGCATACAATTTATGCTAGAGATTCTATTTGATAAAATACTTACCGCTAATATCCTAATCTGATAATAATTATGTATGTTACATGTATTTATTAAAAAGTCATGCACAGAAAATACTAATTGTTATGTTCCAAATGAAATGTAAATTCTGTATGTTATTCATAATCTATACTAGTAAAAAATATCGTAGTACATGCAACTGAATAGCTGAGGTTTTAATTAAAAACTGGAACTGTACAGGTTTTTTGCAAATTTGTTTAAAAAAAGGAACACATATTTTTTTTACATATTACCTAATTCCAAATGCAATATAATGACATGGAGTTCATGAAGATTTTAATCAAGATAACGCTTAAGGGTTTGTTACCGCGGTGGTAAGTTGATGATTTCTCTTTGGGGAGAGCAACTCCCTGTTTATTACCGCAGCTCTAAGCAAAAACTATAAGATTACGACAATATTGATCACAATACATGCATACATTTTAATTTTATTTTATTACTATAACTAGTGTACCCACGTTCTACTACTGTAACTTGTACGGGTATTAGAACTTAGGGAGAGATTTTTAAAAATTATCATGCGAGGTCGGTTCTATAAATAAAGACCTCGCATGATAATTTTTAAACAAATGTTTAATTACATAAGATAAACATTTTGTTTACATAAATTTTAATTCATATTATACTTATTATTATTTTCCTTCATCATCATTATATGTTTGTTACTTTTTAGTTTTCTCTCTTTTCCGCATATATCTAACTGTTCATTTTTCAATCCGTTTCCCTAAGGTTGCCTTGAAAAGATTGCTTTCAGCAATAAGGCCGCCCTATTGTAACAATAGTTATTGTCCTTTAATATATTGTTTATTCCTTTTTCTTTACTGTGTGTTACAAATAAAATATATTCTACCTACCTATCTATTTATTGTCATAACTCTGTAATGACACACATATATATTTTAACACACACATAAACACAGAGAAATATATATGAACATTACTTAAAAATTATTATTATAAGTTAGTTTCCAATGCATTATCACAGCACAATGTTTCACTTTATAATACATACTTGCCAACCCATTTCGCTTATACATTTTCCTTTTATTTATAAGGGGATATTGAGTGCAGTGAACAATAAATAAGTGACTACGGGCCCACGCACGTGAGTAGACAGAGGAGATTAGTACTGTGATTACGTGACGTCGACCCCTTCTGAGAGTTCAGCTTTCATTAATAAAGATTTATTGATGTAATGCATTCATTTATTACTTTCCTATGCGTATTCTTAATGTGCAACAAACTACAAAGTATGCGTATAATACTGTATTTGTTGTCTTGTTTACATTATATTTTAATCTAGAATAAATAAATGTAAGGGTAAGAAAATGTACCATATATAAATAAATAACACCTGAACAATAAACACAATGCCATCTAATCCCACGGCAAGCGTAGCTTGTGTTATGAGTACTAGACAACTGATATAAATACTTAGATTTTTTGTAAATACATTACACCACAGTAAACACCCAGACCTAAAAACATCATATTCATGAATAATTTGCAACGTGAGGAATCGAACTCACAACCATCGGAAGTGCATCTGCGAACATCTAAAATTTAACGGAATAAGTAATCTAAAATTTAAATTTTAAAATGTTAATAGTGTACCTACTGTCCAAAGTCCATATTCAACTAACTGCAGCAGTACCTCTTACTGATGCAGATAAAAACCGGTACAGTGTGTATCGGTTAAATGTTGGTCAGTGTACAAATTAACCCCTTTCATATGATACATAAGCCAGTCTAAATATTTTGAACCTCAATTTCCGACTCTATTCGCAAAGCTTTTAAATTTATTTTTCTTATGTATGAAACATTATCGTAACGTCTATTATAGTTAAACCAAAGATATCCAAAAGTAACGCAAAATCCGAATTAATAGAAGTTTAAATTATTTCTTTAAAATAATGACATTTAGTTAATACGAACACTTCATTAAAGAACAAATCTTATAAGAAATAATCCATTTCGAATTTATTTACTACAGATATACACCCAGTTAATAACAATCGTAATGTTATTGGCCTATCTAAACCAGTAATCATTGTCACTAGCAGTTTGTCACTTTTCCATTTTCACGGTTTTATACTATTATTATATACATGGCAATCTTGCTTGAAAACAATTTAACATGTCTCTGATAATGCCGCACGCCAACACATCAATGTGTCCAATTGCCATAAAAGCCGTAAAACGATCGCAAGCACGAGAACATCCCATGTTTTTCTAAAAGGTCCTGAGAGTATAATAAACTTAACGACACTGTTCTTGCGTCATATGGGATTACACGAATATTTCGTAACCAGCATCCTTTCTAGACATATTTCTGAAGATAAAACGACACTATTAAGACATATAATCCCATTATAAAGCTAGGAGCTAACAACCAATATGGTTTCATAGAGATTTTAAAGTCTTATCTTTAATTTTTAGATTATCAGGCATTATGAAAATAACATTTTCAGAAACAGGCGTTAATTATGATCCTAAGAGATTGTAATATATAGTACTATACTAACTATAAATATTACAGTATTTGTTAACACAATCTACTTTTATTTTACGATAATCAGATGCTTTTAGAACGACACTTGTTTACTTCACGCGACATAGCGTGATGATCCCATAATAATTATGTTGCAATTGAAATTGATTGAAAAGACATCATTTCATATTATCAGGTGATAAAATCACCTGATTCCAAAGATTGTTTTCTTTCAAATGTATATGTTTTGGTGTTATCGTATAGTATAATGAGTAAACACTGGGCTAAAATTGATAAAAAGGACATTTCGTTTTTTCAGTATAGTATAATAATATAAGATATATACGCTCCAAGCTTAAATCACACAGGTGTATGGTCATAGAAAACTTAATACTAAATACCCACATTCGATGTTGCAGGGGTCTATCAATATCTATCGATAATTTTTAAAAGATTTATTAATAATCCATTGTATGTTGTTGTATTGTATATTATGTTTTTAGATAATAGTATAATGTAATATAATAAATGCAAAAGCGTGTCTGTCTGCCTGTCCGTCTTTCTTTTTGTTACATTTTCACAACTATATGATTTAATTTGATATGAATATTAATTATAAGTATTAGGATGGCGAATATAAGCTATCTTTTATCTAAAACTCGTCTAGAATAGGTTGAAATAGGGGATAAAAGATTGTACAGACGAAGTCACACGTAACATCTGACAATTTGTAAGGAGAGTTGCGTTGCAAGCTAGTATAAGAATAATAACATTTCTTTATTGGAACTAAAAAATCATAATTTTAAAGTAGGGTAATTTAACAATAAGTAATATCTAAGTTTCTATATTTCCAATTTCGAACTTGCAACCACAGACTTAGTAAAGTCAGAGCAGTGAGTAAAAATGACAATATATTAGTCCAGTGGTTACCAGTAAGCATTCTTACATAACCATTTTTTACATCCATGTCAGATTTACTTAAAGAAGAGTGGGTGCCGCGGAAGCGTGATAAACAACGCAAAAAATGCACTATGACGAGCAAGATCCTCAGTTGATCTACTATTAGTCATTATGCGGAAATTACTTTTACCTAACATCAAGAATAAAAATCTATATTACCGAATTAAATATAAAATTTGGTGATGTTCATAAGAACAAATTAATATTTGTACATATAGATATGTACGAAAATGGTTCGATATTTGTATATATTATTATGTATATACAAATATCAAACCATTTTCGTACCTCTTCAGGATATAAATTTACAAAAATTCTTTCTTGTCTAAATTGTGTACAAAAAGTCTAAATAGAATAAGGCTTATATAGTTCTAATAGTTTCAACTCAGTCATGATGAGTTTGTCAGTCAAGACTTACTCTCTACATTAGGTGTAGATAGTACAAATAATAAACAATTGTTTGTAACCTTGGCCTAGATTACAAATAGATAAAAACAAGTCACACAATGTAAAATTATTACTTTTTGAAACATTTACACTGTGTACTAATGCAGTTTGAAAAGATACCACTTCATTTTTTACACATACTAAAAATTATATAATTTAATTTTTGTAGTGTACATCATAATTATTCAATCCGATTAAATATGTGCGGTTAATCAACTTTTAAAAATAAAATTCTCCTTGAATTTAGATTTCTTATAAGAAAAAAACTGATGTCTATGTTTTAACTTATTGTAAATATTTGAATAGAATTACGAATATGAATTAATACATTTAAATCGTACAAATTTTAATGTTTTTATCAGTTCCAGTTTTTACAACACTACACAGAAAATGTTATGTATATAAATATTTATGTAAGTCATAATTATTTACTGTGATTGAATTGACCATTTGGTTTTGACATTTTAATATGAAAAGTATTTTAAATTAATATTTCTTTTATAATTGTTTTATATTATTGGAAGAATTAAATATATATAATACTTGTTCTGAGTTTACTGACTGTAAACTCCAAAACTGCACAATTTTATTATTATAATTATATAATATATATATATATATATATATATATATAAATATAAATTTTAAAGCAATAATTAAAACATTTTATAATTACACCTTTTCTGAAAGGAGTGACTCATTGACTCAATTATCATGTAGATACATAATGACTACCATAACATAACATTTGTCTCATGTAGTAACACTCCAATTACAATCTCGATGTCCAACACAGAACATTCCAAATCAAATTCAGTTGTTGAATTGTTGAATATATGTATTACTCCCATTCTACATCAAGTAAAATCAAAACCTTAATCCTGATTCATACACATTCAATGTAACACAGATGTTGTTAAAACAATCTTTAAATTAACTAATAATAAGTTTACCTGCTAGTGTGAATCTGTCCATATAATTGATGAGATTGACAAAACACAGCACTCCGACAGTCATGTATTCAATGAAAGTAACATCTCTCAGTGTTTCTCTTCTCCTAGTTTGCTTCTCCTGAAGCAACGTGGTAGCCGAATCATTATCACCATTTATCTCCAACTCTGGATTGGAGGTATTTGGAGTTATGCTACTTTGGTCCATTATGCACTCAGTAAAGTCCTAAGATAATAAATTACAGTAACACTTTCAAACAATTTGGTCTTCAGATTATTACTAAAATGCGACAGTCACACGCGATATTACCCTCAAAATAAAATAAAATAAATATAAATACAGTAATATTGGGTGTCCATTAGACCGAGTAGGCGCATAAGTATCATGTATGTATAGAAATCAAAGAGCAATAGATAAAATGCTTAAGTATTGAAGTTCAAAAATCATGATTATCACATCGAAGTAAGAAAGTTAACGTTCGTGACAATCAGATTACAGACAGGCAACTGACAACGCAACAAAACAGTGCACAACCGACCATGACGTTGACGTAATAATTTTGAATTTTTGACTTGACACAACCAATAACCATAGACTTTTTTTTTTCTCATATTCGTCCATCTCCTTTTCAGTGATGGAACAGGCAAAGATCCTTAGACCGTACAGCCTAGTCTACTTTTAAACTTCTTCATATTTGAACAAGTGATGTCGTCCACTCAACTTTTACTCTTTTTTTAATGAACAGGCAAAAGTCCTGAGACCATACAGCTAATCCTAGTTTTAACGATTAACCATAGGGTAGCGATTTTTTTTCATGTTATTTTTTTTCATGAAAAATCATTTATTATCTGATTTCCACAAGACTTGTATTTTGTTTTACCGGTAAACGAATATTTTTTTCCTTTAAAATCATTTATTATCTTTAAAAAGTCATCAGTCGTATTTACAATATGCCACTATTATTACACACTATTTGTGCAGTTAACGTGTCAGTTGTATATAATTCGGTATCTATATAATCTATGCGTATTAAATGTTTATCGTACTTTATCACAGCCAAAAATAAGATTTCTAAATATAAGGTGTATTGAATGTACGTAGAATACTGTATTCTACGTAAATAAACATATATTGTAAAACAGTTTAGAGCATTTGATAAGGTTGGACTCAAATGGACTGTTATCCAAATATCGTTATAAAACATAATAAAAAAAAATGGAAACAACTGGCGTCAGCTGTCATTCCTTGCCGTTGTCAAAGGATTGCAAGAGAGTAAACCCTTGTCCACAATAGTCCACATATACGTTTTACTCGTTTTTACATTCTCACTCAAATAAAACATTAGTAAATTAAAAATATTTGAATGTAATTACAACAATATTAAAATATCGAAGGAATTTAGTACTACATAATAACGAATCATTATATACTTTATAGATAATAATAATGAAGTCGGGAAAAGTATGTATAATTTTATTTGTCATTTTTCACTGTAGTTTTGCAAAAAAATATCAAAAAGAAGATAAACCTGAATGGGCCAAAAAGGATATAAGAGATTACTCAGATGCTGATATGGAACGGTAAGGCTGTGATATATTTTTTTTAATTATACACTTATTTGAAAACTTGCAAGTTAACTATTAATAGAATTATTACTCATATTGAAATTGAAAATGTATATTTTTAGTTTACTTGATCAATGGGAAGAAGATGAAGAACCGCTACCAGAAGATGAGCTTCCTGAACACCTGCGGAAGCCTCCACATATAGATCTAACACAGATGGATATGTCTAACCCTGAATCAGTGTTACAAGCTACTAAAAAAGGCCAAACATTAATGATGTTTGTAACTGTTGCTAATAAACCTTCCAGAGCTAGAACTGAGGAGTTGACAAAAATCTGGCAAGCTGGTCTATGGAGTAACCATATACAAGCAGAAAGGTATCAACTTTAATATTATGTACATACATATTTGCTAATGAATTTCGTATAATAGTTAATTATATGTATTATAGCTGGTAGCGACAGAATGTTGTTAATGATGAAAATAAAAAAATAGCCAATCTCCAGAATATTGTTGTCACAAGCTTAATAGTAAAAAAGAAGTCAAATATTGTGTATAAAACAAATCTCAAGTATAAGTAACAATATTTTATAGTCTTTGCATGTGTTGGTCTATGGTTTCCAAATAAAGTTGAATTGTTCATACATTGCTTATGCAAGACTAGATTTTTTCTTTAATCATGGTAACTAGATGATAATTATTATTATTTATCCGTTAAGAATTAATTTATCTGTTTAAGCTACAAAATATGACTTACTGGTCCACATAATATAGTAAATAAGCCTGATATATTTTTTATACTGTATTACTACAAAATTTAATTGGAATTGTCTTATTTAATAATACTGTTAATATTTATTACAGGTATTTGATTGATGATGATAGAGCTATATTTATGTTCAAAGATGGCTCACAAGCGTGGACAGCTAAAGAATATTTCCTAGAGCAAGATGAATTGAAAGATGTTCAGTTAGAGAGTCAAACATATACAGGGAAAAAGTCTGATGTTAGAAATAAAGCTGTAAGGGATGAATTATAGATCTGAGTTACTAATGTATCTGCCTATTTATTTAATAACTAAAGTTAAGAATAAGTTGAATATTAAACAAATTATATAATATATATATTAAAACCTTATTGTTTATTACAATAAGTATACTTTTGTGTAGAATACATATAACCAATTCTTCATATTTTATAGGCTACCCTCATACTTTATGACTATTATAACACAGTAATTCACAATGTGCTAGCACCCATATGTTGAATTCATGGAATGAAGAAGTTTCCCTCTGAAGTTACCACACCATATTCAGCCAAGAACTTTTTATGAATCTACAATTTCTTTTTTTTATCTAAATTGATGTTGGGGTTTTTGTTGAATCTACAATGATATTCCGTAGACTCAAATGTTGTACAATTTTAGATAAGACTGTATATGAATAATAAATTTAAACTACCAAGGATGGAACATAAATATATTTAGGTATAAGTAGCTTCTACTATAAATGATTATAATAGTTAAATTTGTATGAATAGAAGCTTTTACTTAGTTAAGTGAACAAATTATTTTCACATTCAAACTGTGTAACATGTTTATGTGAATACAATTTCAATTGTTTGCTTTTAAAAAGCATCAGTGGCGCGGAAATGTTCTTCATCAATTGTAGAATAAATATGGCCTTCACCGCACATCCAGTCCAGTATTTGTCTAAAATTATAAGGTAGATTAAAAAAATGCATTACTACATAATTAATGAATCTGTATGTTGCAATAAATTACCCCATCTGGGATAAAATAATGAAAGTACTACTAATGTTTGGTTATTTTAGAGTTAAACAACAGTAAAATATAAATAAATATCATAAAAGATATGCAACACCTATTCTATTATATTTATAGTAACTATTTCACTGTGGGCAGGTAAAAAAAATTTGATAGCAAATTGTGATATTGTATTGTATTGATGGTTTCTGGGACTAGTTTTTATTGAAAATAATTTATTCAAGTTATAAGCAATAATACTAACTCAAACTCAGTTTTGGACATGCGGTCCTTCAATGTTGAATACATGTCATCTTTGCTTATTCCTTGCTCTAAAGTAGATACACGTATCAGATTGAAAACCATCATTTGTCTCGCATTCAACCCATTTACAGACTGGTTATTATCAGTGATTCCCAACATTGAATTTGCTGGCAGTCCCGAAGGTACATTGTTGCTGACAATTTTTTCCTGTATAAAAATAACATATACAGTTATAATATAATAAACCCTTAGAAATTCATGTTATTAAGTCAATTCTTGAAAAGTCATTTACATAGATAATGATTTCATTCAAAATTAAGAATAATTACATGTAAGATACAAATAATGAAATAAATTATAAGTACCTCTATATTATTATAGTCAGTTGTTATAAGAAAAATATACATGATCTGTTCAGTGAATTGAGAAAAACAAATATTTTAGATGTTTAGTTTTTGTATTGACTTGTTTAGGTAAACTATTCCTATAGTCATTAATTTATTTTTAATCTTTATAATTATTTTAGATGTTCAATACATCTAAAACGAATAAAAAAAAAATTAAAATTATTATAGATATAACATTATAAAGATATGTTATAAAATCAGACTAGGTAACTTTAACATACCTTCTTTGAATCAGCTTCCATTTTAACTTTATTGTTAATACATTGCAAATAATGGAATGTGATTTCATTTACATCATTTATTGGAATGATTTTGAATGCCATCAAGACTTTCTTCCCTTTGTTGGTTTTCACATTTCCAAAAATTTGTACATAATCATTTACTTGAACATTTGGTGCTGTTTTATCCTAAACAAAAAAAATTGAAACTGTAGAAATTATTAATCTACCCTGAGAAAATAAAAACCATGGTTCGTAAGAATATCCTTCAAATTTAGTTCCTGACGGAAGCAAAATCGGCAAAGGCAAGGGCAAAGCAAAGGTAGCAAAATCTGAAAATGAGTGAGCACAATAGATCTATGTAGGTTGCAGTGTTACAGGTCCAAGCACCTTACAATAGCCCAAACTACCCACTAAAAAAAATTGTAAATAAAATTAAAAATAATAATAGTACATCTTCATCCATGGCATCTTGGTCTAACCAAAGAACTGCTCTCATCCTCCCAGTTATATCCTGAATTGTATATGTAATTTTGGTACTTTGTGTTCTAATATTTTTTAGTCGAGCTACTACTGAGATAATTTGTATCTCAGTGCCCCAGATCTTTACCCCATCATCACCACAATGTAAAGCTTGTCTTATGACAATAGGTGCAGTACGAGAAGCTCTTCGACCCTGAAACATACAAAAGTTGCCATATAAAATGCTATTTTATGACTGAAATACCATGCAACATCAAAACATTATGATTGCATCTATTATAATTTAGGTAACAATACAGTGAAGTTTGTTAGTAATTGGAATTAGTTACCCCATGGAAACCATTCTGGGTTAACTGACCATGATGAACCAACTGACTTTACAATCAGCCTATAATACTTCACTGATGGGACAGCATACTGTATCCATCCATAAAAAAAAACAGAGAAAGTAAAGTGAGTGCATGGAAGCATGTTTGACCTTATCAATCCTGGTTAACAAGTTCAAAGTTAAGTTTCTAGTTATATACCTATGTATAATAAAAATATAACTGATTGTTGCCAATAGGAAAGATTTATGAGAAAAATTATTATTGAGGGACTTTTATCAACATAATAGAACAAATACTGTTACAATAATTGTTAGAATTTTGTCTGTTTATGTCTTTGTGTTATTCTCATTACAATAACAGCCTAACTGATTTTTGTAAAGTTATTATAATGTCGAGCTACACTTAAAATGTTTTTTTGTTCATATCGATTTACAAACAAAAACTTTAAAGGGTATAAAGCATAATAATAACGATAGCTGAAGCGTTATATGCCCTGTCGCATAGCGAGGGTAACAATTCATATTTTAGCACGAATATAAATTGAAGGCAAATTTATAAAGCCAGCCTCTCTTAATCACTAACATATTATCACAATCTATTGTTTTGTGCATACTATCTGTATACCCTTATCGGGACCATATTTAAGAGGATTTACTGTCTGTCACCCACGATACGCTATAATGCAAAAGGGCGCCAACGTACAGTTTTTTGTGCTTGATTAGGGGTCACCGCATTTCCAAATTGATTAGGGGAATTAAAAAATCCTCCACCAGCCACAGATTGATCTGAAAGCAATATCAAGTGGGATTAAAAATGACATTACGAAATTTTAAAATGCAAACAATGTCTTAATTACAAACTAATATTTCCTTACCATTCCACATTTTGATTTAGAAAAGGGAAATGAATTATAATATAAAAGTCTCCTTATATGACTATGTAAATATTTATTGTGTTAAAACAACTTATAATATTGACTTAAAGAAAAAAACAAAATAAATTAACTTGGGTTATTTGGTACCGGCACAAGTGTTGTTCGAATTTGACATTACATTACCTATGTTGCCAAGTAATTGCGATATTTAAATAGTGTTGAGACATAATAACAAATTAATATTAATTAGCGATTTATATTAATACACACATTATATGTGGGTATTCATTTGACACCCATCAATGCAGAATGAATGAAGTATAAGTATTAATAAATATAGTGGTGTAATAAAGTAGATTTTTAGTGAAATATATTTTACTAAAACAACGATAAAAAACAGACTTTAAGTCTTTCTAATCTGTGGTGGTGGTGACAGACTACTCATAACTCGCAGCGTTACAGAAACTACATTGTACAGTTTTGTTATGAAATCCTACTTTTTTTTGGCGGGAAGTCAAATAGAGCGGGTGTTTTAAATATTTTTCCTTTATTTTATATTTTATTTATATTCAATAATTTGTATATATAGGTACAACTAACATAATTTGTAGTTAATTACAGTCCTAAAATGGGAAGTAAGCGCAAAAAGCGCAAAGCCGATGATAATTGCTCCCCAGAAAATTCGAGGGATGTCGACAGTCCAGATTCTGACTCCTCAATGGATGAGGATAAGTATAAAGTTTTTAAAATCGATAATTACTGTCGCCAATATCCTGAGGATGGAGGAAATTTTGAATATATAGTTATTTATGAAAGTACCGATACGAGGCCTTTAGGCGACAGAGACCTTATGTCCCTTGGCGCCTGTCTTAAGCGCCAAAGCAAGGGTATAAAACGTTTCAAGAGAATTAATAAATATAAAGTTGGAGCCATTTTTGAAAGGCCAGGTTTAGCCAACATAGCATTAAATAACACCAAAGTACAAAAAGATTTACATGTTAAAGCCACAATACCTGCAACATTAACAGAAATAACAGGGGTCATAAAAAACGTACCTATATACATGTCAAACAAAAGTATTTACAATGGTATTTCCAGCTCCAGAGACGTCGTCTCGGTGCGCCGGTTTATGCGAAGAAGTCGTGATGAAGATGGTAACACAAGTTTTCTGCCCACCCAATCAGTCGCCATTACCTTTGCCTGTCCCACACTCCCTACGAATGTCGATATCAACTCATGGTATTTCGAGGTAAGCGCTTACACCCCACCAGTAACACAATGTTTAAAGTGCCTGAGATATGGCCACATTGGTAAATTTTGCAAAAATACTCAACGTTGCTCAATATGTGGAGAAAACCATCATTTTAAAGATTGCACTAAAAATAGCACAGAAGCTGTCTTCACTGTAATGGTAACCATATAGCTATCTCAGCTGAATGCCCAATTAAAAAGAAGAAAATACAAGAAAACAAAATAAAACACAAGACTGTTCCTTTCTCTAGTTTATTTAATGAAAAATCTTTTCCATCTTTAAACACTAAAACTAAACCTACTGACAATATTAACACATTATTGCAAAATGATGACTTTTTAAAACTAATCATTGCATCAGTTATTAAAATTATTTCTGTTAATAAAACAGATGACTCTCCCTTAAACTCAGAAGGCATAAAAAACATAATTTTAGATACTTTTAAGATTTCCAGTACTAACACTAATTAATAGTATCTCTTTAATGGATAATATTTTAAATATTATCGAGTGGAATGCCCAGAGCTTGATAAATAATAGACTTGCTTTTACTTATTTTTTATATAACAACAATATACATATCGCCCTTCTTTCTGAAACTTGGCTAAAGCCTTTCAAAAACTTTAATATCAAAGGTTACAATATAGAAAGATTAGACATTGGTAATAATCATAATGGTGTAGCCATTCTAATACAAAACAAATTGAATTATGACAGATTAAATACATATCACGATGATTCTTTGCAAAATATCGCTTTAAAATTATATTTGAAAAATGAAACAATTTCTTTTGTTAGTTTTTACAGCCCTACATCCGCAACGTCACGTAACTTTACACATTTACATTTAGATAACTTATTTAAATCTATCCCGTCACCTATGATAATAGCGGGTGACTTTAACGCCCACAATACCACTTGGGGTTGCTCTAGAACCGATTCTAGAGGCACTATTCTTCTTAATACTATTGAAGACAATGATCTTTGTATAATTAATAATGGTCAACCCACTACTGTAGGCTCTGATATATGGAGTCCAAGTGCTCTGGATCTTACAATCGTTTCTGCCTCTCTGTCACTCCGATGCAATTGGTCTGTACATGATAATCCTTTAGGGAGCTATCATCTTCCAACCATCACCCACCTTTTATGTAACACTGTAAATACAAATAACATTTCCATTAATCATAGTAATTTTTTTAGGCCAAATTACAATAATGTAAACTGGCTTGTATACCAAGAGACTGTTGATAATAAATTATGTAATGAATTTAATTACGATCCTTCCACCCCTTTAGACTCCTATAAACAAATGTGCAATATTTTAATAGAAAGCATTAACACAGCTAATAATTCATGGAAATTTAAAACATTCTTTAGTCTGTAATCACAAGACAAGACTTTCTTTGCCATGGTGGAACAATACTTGTTCTCAAGCAATAGAATTATGTAAGAAAACTTACATAGATTTTAAAAATAATCCCACTCAAGAAAATTACATAAGATTTAAAAGACAACAGGCAATCAAAAAACTTACTCTCAAAAACGAAAGAAATGCCAGCTGGTTAAAATTCTGTGAGTCGATCAATCGGCAAACTCCTCTATCAGTTATCTGGAATAAAATGAAAAAATTTAATAAAACATTTAATAACAACTGTTCACTTATATCTTCAGACACTGATTGGATTTCTCCTTTCTTAAGTAAATTTACATCCAAACCATCAACTAAAAGTAGACCCAACATACAGGTATCATTAAATAATAATAACAGCTTCATTATAAACCCTTTTACTATAACAGAATTTTACAGTGCCTTAAACAGCAGACGTAACACAGCTTTCGTTCTTGACAATATCTCTTACAAAATGTTAAAGACATTATCACCCAATTCTAAAAACACTTTGTTAATGTTACTTAACTCTCTTTGGAATACTTCAGAAATACCACCCGATTGGAAAACAGATTGTCTGATTCCTATTCTTAAACCAGGCAAATTGATAAATCATTCAGACTCCTATAGACCTATAGCATTAACATCTTGTATGAGTAAACTTTTCGAACAAATGATTAAACAAAGGTTAGAATTTTATATAGAATCAAATAAGTTATTACCTTCAAATCAGTTTGGCTTCAGGAAAGGTTTTTCAGCTACAGAGAGCTTAAATCATTTAAACCTAGATATTCATCGTGCATTTTCTAGTAACAATATACTGGTTTCTGTCTTCTTTGATATAGTTGGTGCTTTTAACAATGTTAATCATCATATTCTAACTAATGAACTGCAAACACTAGGAATACCAGATAAGTTGATTAACTGGATTTTTAATTTCCTACATAATAGACAAGTCTATGTTAAGTACAATAATAATTTATATGGTCCACAATCTTCATATATAGGTGTATGTCAAGGGGAATATTGAGTCCACTGTTATTTATTTTGTATATTCATAAAATTAATATTATTCTTGGTAATGAATGAAGTCAGCAATTTACAGTTTGCTGATGATTTAGCAGTTTACTGTTCAGGCTCAAATATTCATATAGTAGAAAATAAAATAAACAAAGCTCTAAAGAAATTAAATGTTCATTTTAAATATTTACAATTAGATATTAGTTTAGATAAAACTAAAGTTGTTATATTCAGTAGATCAAGAACTTTGCATGCTAATATTAATTATAATGGTAGCATACTGCCTGTAGTAGCTGAAGCTAAGTTTCTTGGTGTAACATTAACAAAAAATCTATCTTGGAATAAGCATGTCTGTAATATATCCGATAAAGCTTCTAGAGCTTTTAATATTTTAAAATGCCTTTCCAAAACATTTTGGGGGGCTGATCCAAAGATTTTACTTATGTTGTACAAATCCATAGTCCGTTCTCACTTTGAGTACAGTTACCTTTGCTTTGCTTCCAACCCCACACTCTTAAAAAAATTAGAGACAATCCAAAATAATAATTTGCGTCTAATCACTGGTGCAATGAAAACAACTCCAATAGTCTCTCTCCAAGTAGAATGCAACATTCCACCTCTGTCATTAAGATTCAAATTTCTTAAATTTAAATTCTTGCTAAAATTACATAGCTTTTCCAATAATTCACTGTTACAAAAAATTACAGATTCTCAAACCATTGCTTCTTCTTCTAATTCCATAAAATTTCCATACATTCTCCTTGATTTCTCTGCAATGAAATCTATAATTGAGCAAAATAATATTCATGTGGCAAATAGTAAGTGGGCATGTTATGAAGGGACATATGACAGTAAATTTTGCAATATGACAATAGAAACAGATAAGAGCTTAAAATGTAAAGAAGAAGTTTATGAACATCTTTCTCAATGGCCTTCATTTAACACAATATATACAGATGGTTCAAAAAATGAAAAGGTATGTCATTAGGTTTTTACCATAGCGACATAAAAACTGGTTATGGATTTCGATTACCTACCATTACTAGTATATTCACTGCCGAAGCCTTGGCTATTTTGCAAGCTTTGCATTATATTAACGAAGACATATGCGCTAAACCTCATAATCAGTGGCTTATCATTAGTGACAACATGTCAGTCTTATCAGCGTTGCAAAATCATTCATTTAGTGCCAAAACAAGCTATATTATTTACCAAATTAAAGAACTATGGACTGTTTTGTTTAATAAAGGAAAAGAAATTATATTTACTTGGATACCGGCACACAAAGGTGTGACAGGTAATGAAGAAGTAGATTACCTTGTCAAAACTGTCAATAGATTGGGTGGCGAGTCTAAAAAAATTTTCTTACCTTGGCAAGATTTAATTCCTGAAATTAGGAAAAACTTATTAAAAAATTGGGATGAAGATTGGAAACGTACTACCAAAGATAAAGGTACTTGGTATGCAGGTATAAACAGTACTATTGGCAAAAAACCCTGGTTCATTCAGGGAAAAATATTTTTAGAGAGAAGATTTTATACTCAAATTTGTCGACTGCGATTTGGACATTGTAAATTCAATGCACATTTACACCGAATGAAGATCATTAATTCTCCGATTTGTCTTTTATGCTCTAGTAACGAAAATCAAACATTAGAACATATATTTTTTTATTGCCCGGCCTTCAATTTAAACAGAATTTTGCTCATTGCCAAGCTTCAAGAACTATATAAGATTATTCCGCCATCGCTTCAAGAACTATTCAAATGCACTGCAACTTTTAAACCTATTTACGACTTTATCATAGCAACTATCGGAGAATTATAAACATTTCAATTATAGACACTTACAAGGACTTAACACAAACTTATAATTAATGAAAAGATTTGGCGATATCGCCTTGAAGAATTTTTGAATTTCATGGAAATACTACTGAAGATTAGGCTGTATGGTCTCGTACCTTTGCCTATCCACTTGTGGATAAAATATACCACTACTACTATGAAATCTTATTGTTAGTTTGAAAGTTTTAACAAAGAATAATACACTACTGAAGTACAATATATATCTAGCTTTCTAATAATGTCATTGCAATAATGGCAAGCAGAAACATTCATACGGGCAAATATTATGTAAATTTTAAACGTGGTTTTGAAGATTATAAAAAAGATATTACAGTAACAATAGATAAAGTTTTTAGCAACGATAGTTTGGTTAGTATCCGTCGTCATATATGTATTACTATGTTTATGAGTGATATTCTTAAAAAATCTAATATTGCATTAGATTTTTTAAGAATATCACACATAAATTTAGTTATATCATAGTTTTAGAATATATCGTAATAATATTATAAACTACTGAACGAGTATATAAACTACGGAGTTTGATGAAAGTTTACAGTAATGTAGCTTATGCATCAGAATAACATATAGGCTAAATTTTTTATTGAAATTTATACATTGAAAATTAACGCCGATTAAACTGCGGGCACAACTAGTATTGTATAAGGTAGACTACAAAATTAACTGTATCTGTATTGTTTTATGTTTGAGGCTATAATATGTGACGGTAAATTTAAAAGTATAGTGTTAATAGTATTGAATTCATATTGAAGATTAAATTTAGTCTTAAAAAATAATATCCCAGTAATATCCAACATTCTATAACTCATTAATAAACTTATATGTACAGAGTGTGCTAAAGTATACAGTTAGCAAGTGCAGCTAATGGTACCCATTAATAAAATCTTTCAGAAAATATCCTTGGCAGATGACAATGATCCCACTTTTTTGTGTATTTTAAATATAACACCATGTGATTATGAAGATTTGAAAAAACAACAAGGACTTCTTATTGATTTTGATAACTTCTCATCTCAGCTTGTTAGATTACTCCAACAATGTGCATCAAACAACATGTAAGGGAAAATTGTTATTTAAAATATGGTAAACTGATTATACACAGGTTTATGTTCGCATATACATGCTTATAGTTTTAGGGTTTATCCTAAATAGCTTTAGATTTATCTTGAATTCATAGTCACATTTTGCAGTGCTATTGAGATTAAAAAAAGTAAAAAAATGTTAATTTTTAAGTACAATAAATATTACAATATATTAATTTATTTAATTACTTGCCATTATATCATATAAGTTACAAGAATTTAGTCTGCATTAAAAATATCTTGATAATATTTTGACTGTATTTAACTTATATATAATAAATCAATCAAACATTATAAAAGCATAATTTTAGACATTATTATAGGTTTGGTCAATTACACTTGTTCTATTGAACCATATATTTGACATACAGTTTTTAGTACAAACATGATATTTATTAAAGTAAAAATTATGTTTTTAGGTTTCTTATAATGCAGCAAACAAATCCTGTGCAATATTACTTTGAAATTATTGAGCACAATGAATTTAAACGCCTGGTTCACTTATCTCTAAGAACTGGGCCCGCTACAGATGCTGATATAAAACAACATATGGCTGATACTATAACAAATTTGAAAGTAAGCAACCAAACCTATGCTGGTTTTAGTTATTTGGGTAGTTGATTGAGATTTACTACAACATCTTTTATATGTCTAATTATCTGCTTTCAATTCTTGATAGTACTTGTTTGCACCCATTACCTAAATGTAACATTTATAATTGAAATACTTATACTTTAATAAATTTTTAATATATAATATAATTATAATTAATTAATTTATATTTTTAATAGAAAATGTTGGCAACAGTTAAAAGTTCAGCTGCTTCCAGTGATGCTATATGGAATGACAAATGTTTGAATTTGGAACGAAAAATACAAGATTTAACACATGTAGTGTCTAAAATGGAGGAGGACAAACATAAACTGGTAGCTGAATATCAGGATGAATTAAAGCATGAAAAGGAAAAGTTGACACAGGTTTGCCTTCATTAGACTTGAGTTACTATCCAAATTAGTTATTAAGGTATTTAGCTCTTTGAGCATATTAAAGTAATTAGTGAAAATTTTGTACCAATTTGTATACTGTAAAAATAGTCGCAAATATTTTCTTCTATCTGATTGTTGTCCCATCACAGAAAAACAACTATAAAGTCTCCATTGTAAATGGTGTTCTATAAGTCTTAATAATACAAGTTACATTATAGATACATTTATATAGAGACTTTGAGTATTATATAATATAAATAAAATTATACCCACAGGAGAGGTCTCAATGGCAGAAGACGACTGAAAATACGTCAAAAGTACAACTTGCATCATTTCAAGAAAATATTAATAGAAAGGATCGACAGATTGATGAACTGAATGTATTGTCTAGACAATTGAAAGAAAATATCGCACAATTAGAAAACCAGATTAGGTATATTTTGCTTATTATTTAAATAAATTTTGATCCACATCTTTAGAAGTAATATTATTATTTGCATGATCTTTCATTGTTTTTCTAAGGACTTACCATATCAACTATGACTGGTTAACAATGTAACAGAGTCTCATACACTATTGAGTAATATTTCGTAGTTGCATATAGTCTAGAATTTGGATGTATATTCAAACATAATAGTACAGAACTAGGTTCCCCCAAAAGTCTTCCAAAAGTATCAGGACCATATAATAAAATTGCGCGTCATGAAGTTGCTGACCTAAATTTGTTTACTTCCACAATATCAAGATATACCTTGACAACTTCAAAGAATAGAGGCAATATAATATAATTCTTAATGTTTTTTTCACTACAGAATATCATACACATGCTCTGACTCTACATATTTTACAGTGAATTTTAATTGAGATATATTTGCCTGGTTAGTGTAAGTATATGATGCAATAAAATTCAAGAATATATTCTGACTTGTAGTGATAAATCGCAACGTCTAATGATGCTAGAAAATGAAGTGCAGAAGACACATATAGAAGTAGCGACATTGAAAGCAAAAAATACAACACTTGAAAGAGAAATTGCAGAGAAAGAGAAGCAGTTTAATCAAGTAAATACCAGATGTATTTCATTAGAACAGGTATACACCATGTACATTTTCAGACTGCTGAATTTTTTTTTATGACTGCAGGATATATATTTATTACAAATTTTCATATTGCATCATTTCCTTTTTACAGTTTGCTAAGGATAATTCAGACATGATTAAGGATTTGAATAAATCTATACAAAGTATGAAAAAAGAAAAGGTAATTATAAAAAAATTCAAGGTACTTCTAGAATTAAAAAAGGTAATATATATGGGTTGTCCTTGATATTGTTGTCAATATGTTATTTGCTATTGTGCAGACCATATAGTCTGCACATATAGTGCTAGGATAGTTATTTTCAGAATCAAGGCAACACCAACATATAAATATGTTCCATTTTTAATGTACAAATAGGTTCAGTTTAAAAATACACTAGTGTATTTTTGCATTTTGCATATTTTGCTTATGTCTACAAATATATAAGTAGATATAAGCAAAATGTTGAGTAAAACTCTATTATAAAAATATAACAAAAAGAAAAAATGCCGATTCTTCATTTTCAGTCTAACCAATACATGTTGTATTTTTTTTTACAGATAAGCTTAGAAGAGCGTCTGGCAATAAGCGAGTCTTTAGTCAATAAGAACAATAATGCAGCGCATTCTGCATCAGAACAACTCATGAAAGCTAATCAAATAATATCAAAACAAAATGCAGAGCTCATTGAAATAAGAGAGAAGGTACTGTTTTTTATAGTTTATAATTTAATTAAATTTTATCATTTATTTGTACAATAAGTGTTTGTAAGTGCATAATAAATAAATATGTTTTACAGTTGCTATGCAGAACTGCTATAGCATTGGAACAAGAGAAAGTTATAGAATCTAGTAATAAAGAAATAAACGATTTGAAATTTCAACTGTATTCATGGAAATACAGAAAACAAATAAAAATATGGATAAGCGGTTTAATGCTAAAAGAATTAAGTCAATGAATGGTTTTTATCCGTTAAAAGTTCTTTTAATGAATGGAGATATGTTTATATCACATGTGAGGATAATGAGAAAGCACTGAAGGATCGTGACGAAACCATTAAAAATAACAATATGGGTAATTTCAACTGTATTCATAGAAATGGTCTCTACAGAAAATAAACATAATTTGTAGAATTATATTCTCGCTCCTTAACATACTTAGTGGTGCTGACCGAGTCATGGTTACAATTCTTTTTTTTCAGTCATACAATGGCTACATAGAAAAGTTGAGGGATGTGATTCAGGCAATGTCCTGGAAAATACACAAAAGTATGGCGTGCAGAGTGTAACTAATTCTACACCTTACTTTCTGCCTAGCAATATTAACAAAACAAACTCACAAAATGTATCCGATCAGTCAATTGACTTTTATGCAACTTCAAAATTGTAAGTTAAATTATGTAAAAATACCAATAAATTTAAATCTAGTCAAGATTAATATTTTTTGTTTATTAATCATACTGTTTATTTTATTGTTTGAAAAAAAAAAAACAAATTCGTGGATCATTGAAATTTAATCTAATATTATTAAACTGTTATTACATTTTTAGGTCAAACGTGGAAGATAGCCCAGGTCCCTTGCAAGATTCACATACACCGAAATTAGGCCTAGACCCAAAATATTTAAGGCCTGCTGGCAATAACAATAGGTTAAAAAGTGTTAATGAAGGTAGTTATGCAATAAAATAAAACAGACGGTTGTAACAAAAAAGATGCAAATTTATAATTTGATGTGGACACTGTGTGTCCAACAGATAGGCCATATAAGCTATGCACACTGATCAAAATTACTTATCGCCTATATACATGAACAACTTGCTTGTTTACCACATCATAGTATAAAAACAACAACTATCTATCTGCTTGGGGTATATATGTGTATATATATACGGGGTATAATTCATTCATACATTGTTCTTTCTGAGAAGGTTAAAGTTGTTACATTTTCATAACTTATAATTACACACCTTTCAAACCTGACATATCTTGCAAAGCACGCTACTTGGCCAGGAATATACCAGATTAGTATTCTGGCGCCTTATTACAGTTTTATTCACCTCGTATTTTATTTACAGATAGTAAAACGCCTAAACCAAGTGAAGCTGAACGAAAGTCTGGGAAAGAAAATAAGACTAATATTTTACCTAAAGTTGATTATCGCGAAAAGAAAACTGGTAGAAGTACATATCGAGCTACACCAGTGTCTGCTTATTTTCATTGAACATAATATTTACAATATATAATAAAAATAAATTTTTCATAACTTATTTTGTAATGTAACTGTAACGAAATACGAAAATCCTATATAATGTACAAAATGTTCAAATCGAATTATCAGGACATATTCGACGGAAGTTCGTACAAGTCTCATAACCATAGCTCGACCATAAACAATGTACATGTTATGTTCTCTTCGACAGTCCGTTTCCATAAATCAGTTTTATACTGCACCAAATTTATCGTCTGGATCTATCCGCAAACCTACTATGTTTAATTCGTTACAATTAATAGTTGGGGAGTACCCAGTTGTTTCATAACATTCGTTCACATTATCGTGACATGCGTAACTATTAGTAGCATTGAAATGTATATATTTTTTATATCATTGTTTCTAACCATGAATCCTGTCGTAACAGAAAGCAATAATTTGTGTTGCTAGTTAAAATTCCAATTGTATGTAATTTATATGTAATTTTAGTTACTGTACTAATAAATAAAATATATCCCTCTATAACAAAATACTTAATAGCTTTTCGTAAATAGAGGTTACTAGATCTTTATCTAAATGTCTATCGTAACTTTCTGTAATATACCGTATTTATAGGAAAAGAATACCGTACTTTTTAGTTGTCGTAGACACGGTCAGTGTCACAAAAACTTTTTTATCTGTGGAGAGTTGTAGAATGGAATGGAGATACATATTGGCCTGATGATGTGAATGAAATATATGTGATTGTGATTCATTGATCTTTCTTTGACATTTATATCCACCGATTATTAAAATTAATAATGTATTAAATTTTGACTATCCAATTAATGTGATAATTGTAACCCTATGTAGTTATTCAAATTGCAATTTACTTATTTGAATTAGTTAATACAATGTATTAACTATAACAGTATTGTGAAATGTTGTGATCAAGTGTGATTGATGTTTGTTTTACGCTAAGTGTTTTTTGTGTTGGGGTGGAAGTGCCTTTCCAGTTGTCACAAGATGCCTTTCAACTTCTTGTGCTGTGTGAGACCTGGAGTGGAGGAAGTGGTGGAATTAGATTATTCACATCAGTCACTAACAGACGTCCCATCAGATGTCTTTGTATACGAAAGGACCCTTGAAACCTTATATTGTCAAAGTAATCGTATCAGTGAGTTACCACGACAGCTTTTTATGTGTCATGGACTGAAACACTTGGACCTCAGCGACAATGAGCTACAAGCTATACCAACCGCCATATCTTCATTGGTAAATTTACAGTACTTGAATATTAGCAGAAATACATTAGCTTCTATACCCGATACCATGAAAGCATTAAAGTATTTAATGTACTTAGATCTTAGTGTTAATCCTTTAGAAAAACTTCCAGATGCTATTACAAACCTTATAGCTTTGCAAGAATTGTATCTGAATGATACATATTTGGAGTACCTACCAGGAAACTTTGGTAGACTTGCAAGTCTGCGTATACTTGAATTGCGAGATAATTATTTAATGATTTTACCAAAATCTTTGTCACGATCTACAGACTTGTTAAGGTTAGATATAGGTCAAAATGAATTTCAACAGTTCCCAGAAGTTATTGGAAGATTTACTAAATTGAGAGAGTTGTGGATGGATAGTAATAGTTTAATGAACATACCAGCAGCAATAAAGCCATTAGAAAATTTAATACACCTTGAAGCTAGCAATAATATGATAGAAGAAATTGCACCAGAAATTGGTTACTGCACAAAATTGGTGGATTTGAGTTTGTCAATTAACAGTTTAACCCAACTTCCAGATAGCATTGGGCAATTAAATAATTTAACCACTTTAAAATTAGATAACAACAGGTTGTATTCTATCCCAGAGAGTATAGGACAATTAACTAGTTTAGAAGAGCTTATGTTGATGTGCAACTATTTAGAAAAAATACCATCCTCAATAGGTCTCTAAGGAAATTACAGTATCTTAATATCGATGATAATATGTTAAGAATGATTCCTCCAGAAATAGGGAGCTGTACAAAGTTATCTGTGTTGTCACTTCGAGCAAATAAACTAACTAAGATCCCTCCAGAAATTGGCCATTTATGCTCTTTAAGAGTTTTAAACTTAGTGAGAAATTCTCTAGGTTGTCTTCCTCAGTCCTTATTAAATTGTGATAATTTAGTAGCCCTCTGGCTGTCTGAAAATCAAAGTAAACCTTTAGTGCCTATGCATTCCGAAGTAGACCCACATACTTATGAACAGGTCCTTACATGTTTCCTCTTTCCCCAAGTGCCTTTGACGCCAATAGAGATGAAATCAACAGACAATGAATATAAATCAGAAAATGAAAATGCACAACCACCTGTTCGACATATTAGCTTTGTGGATATGAAAGCACTGCCAAAAGTCCCTGAAAAACCAGGACAGTTGCGAAGAGCACCAACACCTTATCCAAAGGAATTAAGAGCTTTAGCTAAGCATGCTAGAAATATCCATAAAGATGGTACACAAGATGTTTCTCCGCCTATGCAAAATGCAGTGCATATAAAAGCAGCTAAAATCACACCTACATTACAACAAAGATTTGCTTCAGATAACAAAAAAGATATAAGTAATGTTACAAAAGACAATATAGATGGAGTGAAAACACAAGATGCTATGAAATTGTCAGTGTATGATAATATTCCCATAGAAAATTCTTATGATAAACCATTAGAACTCTCAAATGAGATAGATACAACTTACAAAGGTGTTGACCATGCTTTGTATCCAGAGAATAATGTTAGTCAAAATTCTGATTGTAAACATGAAAACTTAAACCACTACATGCTATCTCAGAGACATTACAATACAAAATTGAATGAAAACTATGCTTCTAGGCAAGATATGGATAGAACAGGGGTTCCTCAAAATATTTATGGTGTCCACACAGTTGAAAATAAAAATTATTCTGTTAATAATGACAATACTTTTAGGAACAATTTAGATGAAACTCATAGGCTACAACGACTAAGTCTTGTTTCACAGGATAGACGATCGAATAATGAAATGGTATTATCACCTAACTTTGAAGATACCTCATATAATACAAGAATAGTTGATAATATTCCTCAATTTGAACCTATGTATTCTAGAAAGGATCATATTATATCTCATCCTGTACCAGAGGGTAAATATAGAGATAAGATATATGACTCAGAAACATTTGCACGATCTAAAGAAAAAAATTTCAGCCAAAGAAATTATGATACCTACAATTACAATCCCCGTGGGAGCCGTGATTTAGCAGGTTCAAGAATACATACCGTTAGTCAAGTTGTTAGTTCTACAACAATGCCTAATTTAAGTAACTACAATAACATGTATCCCATACAAGGCGTAGATGGCCCTCAATTTGCAACAGCCATCCATCAAACATCACCAAATGCGAACTTTTATAGTGGTGTAGCTTCAAGCCCTACTTATGTGTCTTCACAGTCCCCTGGACTGTATTCCCCAACTGGCCACACAAATACGACAAATCCATATCGTATGACGAACACGCCTCTTGTATCAGATGATGGTAGTTATAGCCATATGAATTCCCCTACAAGTCAGAATATGTATGACTTGTATGATGCCATGCCAGCTCCATCCAGTACTCCAAGTGTTATTAGTCACCGCCATAGCCCCAGTGGCGTATCGGAACCTGTGTATGGACGCGGTCAACCTCCGCCTTACCATATTGCAGCTCCCTACACAAAACATGCACAATATTTTAATGGCACAAGTGGATAGTGTCAGTGTATTAGAGGGAGACAAACATTCTTCCTACAAAGAGTAAAATCATATGAACACTATTAAACTTTAATTAAATATCTTGTCTGTTCTTTCTCATTCTATTTTGTTATATGCATGTTTTGTGAATGTGCAATTTATATGTGATATAATATAATAATGTTGGAAGAATAATGTAATTATAAGGTGCTAAGAAACAGATTAAATTGTTGGAGCAGTAAGCACATTGATTCTTAAGGAAAAAACTTTATAAGAAATACAGAGTTTAATATGTAAATAGTTTCAAAGGATATGTGGCAAATACTATATTAGAAAATAGAGTTGTAGGTACTGATTGAGTACAACTTGTAACAACTATGTTGTTTCTTGATAATGTTGTAATAAATATAATGTTGATAAATAAGAGCACAGAATATAGATAGATATATATATATATATTGTATGTAAGTAGGTACTTTATGTACATTTAATGACGCGGTACAACAGTCTATTTTAGAGAAGCCACGCTTCGTCAGACGACTGGCTATGGCGTAGAGCTAAGTATGATTCTAAAAGTTAAATGTCGTCAGCGAAGTGATGAAGACGATGATAAAATCTTAATTCTTTTTCGCTCTCACCCTCAGTTATGCCCACGTCACGCTTATAATGCAGCGATGAATTAGTTTATCAAATATCAAAGGTTTGTTTCAAAGTTACACAGGTATATATCTATTGTAACAATTTCGTAGCCATTAAGTATAAATCACAATAGTATACACAGTAGTATTACTACGTCTGGTAATCAAAATAGTTAGTCCTTCAATTTAATAATACAATTAACATTTAGAGAGTTATTGGTAAACCAATACATTATCGTACGAATGCATGATTTAAATTAATTATTTTTTCTCTATCAATATCATATGCAAACACCGCATAGGTGCCTACTATTAATGGCAAAAGCAAGTAACGATCCTCAAATATCACCAATTTGCGTAAGACATCCATTATATGTAATATCGTTTAATATTTAATTCCGTCTAATAACTAAGATTGATTATATTTACGTTAGAGCGTTACTTTTTCATGTAAAGATCGATTTAATGATCAAAAGCCTATTTCCACTCGTAGCAAAAAACAATAGGTATAAGAAACTGTAGCGTGAAAAGGGAATTGACCTTGTAATAATCAACTATTTTATTTAATATTACTTTATTAAAAACATTTGCTTAGTCGGAAGTATGGAAATGGGCCTACAATTTATTAATTTATTTGTCTATATTTAAAAAGCGGATTCGAGAGTATTATTTACTTCTTTGGGAGTTGTTTTCGATTCGTTACGTTCAATGGAGCCTTTGCGTCACTAAGAACAAAATAATCTGCGTCACCAAATTGTAAGATATTTTTTGTATGATTGTAAGCCTGCCAATTATTGTCAGTGTTTTTTTGGAAGTAAATTTTTGTGCTTGGTACATAGTACCTACGTTTTATCAAGACGGGCTTTGCTTTCTGTCATCAAAGGATCAGGTATGTATATATATATATATATATATTAGTTACTGATAGGTCTTATGCAGGTTATCTTGTAATCCTTTTTAGATTTCTTCTGTCACGTGCAATTGAAAACATTCATATTTCTAGAAAATCAGGCGTGTTTATCACTTAAGGAATAGATATATGTACTAAAATCACGAGATGGTCGTTGATATTGCTCACAATACTATTTATCGAACCATTCTTATTTACATATAGGTATAGTACAATAAAATAAAAATACCTATTATTAGAATAAGTAAGCGAAAATGGCTCCATCCCTAACACTAAATTAAATAATATTGTAATCATTTAGGCATTATATAAACAATTTTTATTATTGAGGACAAATTGCACAGGTCAATTGACACTGTTCATGCACACACTGACTGGTTTTTTAAATACTTAAGTAGGTATATACTTTTTAAAACTTCATTCATAAGGCTGCAGGTATAAATTTAAAGTTACATGGCTCAGCCAACATAGACATAGTTTTCACCGATTACAATAATGATTCATACTTTTATATGTCAATTTTCGGGATTAGATAGATAATATTTCTGTTTTCAGACAGATTACCTCGTTGTTCTTTTCAAAAATTTCTAATTAAATCAGTCAGTCAGCTTGATAAGTTAGGGCAGACCAGATGGAACTTAAACTATTCAAGTACCATCTGGTCTTCCTTAACTTATCAATTACATAACGTGAAGGTGATCACGTAGGTAATGGTCTGCCTAAATAAAATACGGTAAAAGGGCTACCGCAGCCTAGGTAACTTCTCTTTCCCCATTATATGTTTAGAATAAAATTATACGATAATGTGCCATGGAAAGGAAATCACAAAGGCGAGCATCACGGTACTATAGCTCAACGCTGAATTAATAATGAAATACAAATACGATTTATTATTGTAATTAACGTTTATTTTTATTTCACGACTAATAAACTGTGATGAATGTATGCAGCTGTTTACATTTCATTTGTTGTACCTCCGTAATTATGCGAACAATTTACAATTAAAGTATTATAACCAATAAGTAATCTAGTCAGATCAAAACGCAATAAGAAATAATTGGAGTACTATTTAATATTAATAGACATATATTTTTAACATTGGGACCATTTTGTATCGTCAAAATTGTACTTTTTTTAAATTCCTAAAATTAAACATATTGTAAAACAACTGTACTTCAGTACTAATTGCATATGTGTATAAATTGTTAAGATGGAATGTAAGTGTTGAAAATTTTATGAACATTTTAATAATGATGTTGATATATTCAATGCCGTGTAGGTAAACATTATAAATATAGTATTTGATGTACGGTATATGTATGCATAGTCTGTTTTGATGAAGTTTAATAATAATTGTTTGTAAATATTAATATTGTAAGTATCTACTTCCAATAAAAACGTCTACTTACTCTATAACTACCTACCTACATGACTTTATACGTAGATAGCGCTAAGTTAAGCTAATGCATTTTTATTTGCGAAACTTATTCCTTGGTTAATTTTGTACAAATGCACATTTATCCTTACAGGCATTTATTTTTATATTGTGTAGGTATTTACAATTTATTTGGAACCTTCCATCATTCCATGCGAATATGTTATTGAGCAAAAGCCAATTAGTAAGGATAGCGTGCCAAATTATCACAAATTGTAATTTAACTGTGAATTATTTTATTCTAATATTTATATTATATTACCAAAATGCTATACATTTTCTAAAGACTGAAACCTAAAACATATCATTTAACTGTATTTTCTTGTAACTATTGTATTTAATGTTTAATTTTATATTTTTGTAATTCTGTAATTTATTGAACAATACCTAATAATAATAATATTGTAATTTATTGTAAACAAATTATAACACTATTAATAAGATGTAAATAAATAAAAACTGAATGTTCACTCATATAACAACCACAATATTAATTGAGTTATATAAGTTTAAATTGTCTTGAAGAGTTTCTTATATGTTTTGTGTTTTAATAAACCTATTATAAAATTATTAACAAATTATTAATATTATATTATATAAATTTTTAGTATGTTTAATAATTGCATGTGATAATATTTGTCGTAACTTAATTGTACCTATGTAATCGGTTATGTGAAATCCTAATAGGTTTGATTAAAAATATGCAGCTTTATCTTTTTTTAGCAAATACCTATATATCTTTCGTAATAAAATCGTAACTATATTTTACAAACACTTCGATTTTTTTAGTGCCATTGACATTTTGTTTAGTAGTTTAATTACTAATTAATTTAGTGTGATAGGTCTGACTACAGGTTATAATTTCAATTATTAATTGAAAGTAGGTAGGTACTTATTAATCGGGAATTAGATGAAAATGCGCATTTCCTGGAATTACCTAGTATATATATTGAATACTGTGCTAATTAATAGCATTAACTTTGTCTAAAATGTAACAATAAGTTATTATACGCAAATAACGACCTATATGTCTACGAAATCATGTAGCAAAAGTATGTAAGTACATTCGACTACATTAGTATATTATTTACTAACAATAGACATATACAACGCTAGTACCACAATTTGCATGGAAAATAAAACTTGAGTGTTGTCACTACTAAACTATTTTCTTCACATTTATGATACAGGGATTATCTATATATAGTAAAACATCTCTAGATTAAAATACCATTTGCTAATTATGTTTTCACATGAATGTGAATACCTAATTTATATTTTTATATGTAATTCGAAATCATAACAGTTTTAATACGAACATAATAAACGTAAAGTATACCATACATAGGTAGGTGAAATTGCAACATGATGTAGAATCGTAACAATGATGATATGAATATTCCCGTAGGGGGTACAAATATTAGAATATTTATGATTACTATGGGTTTAAAGCTTAGCCACAGTTGTATGATAATAATGATAACTATATTTGCAACATGTTCCAATTTTAAATATGGCAGTAGAATAAACACTCCTTTGTCTAATCCGAGACTTGAAACCAAGAAGAATTGTATAATGGTTATTTGTTGTTTACACATTTACAAATATTATTAATACTTTATAAAATAATAATTTCAAGGAGTTAACTGCATCTACGCAAACATTTATAGTCTCGTTACATTTTATTCAAAGTTAAGTAGAAATAATAATTAAGTATTTTTTAATTTCAAATTAAAAGATAAATATTATTTAACTCTAAACAGGGCCTAACCAAACTCGCTGTCTAAATTAACAGGGACAATATAATGTACCTATACCTGTAATAAAACTATTTTAGTACCTTACTTAGTATTTGCTTATTTATTGGTACTTAATGATTTTGTTAATTAAATAAATAATGAGTGACTTATGAATTAATGTTTTATATTTTTTTTATCTACTTATGACTATACTTATGCAATGTAGAGTAGGATTTCAATAAAATGTTGAAATTAACTTTGGGTTCTTTTATTTTCCACGAACCACGCAACAAGTAGGGGAGGGTGGGGCAAGACGGGGTAGCGAGGTAAGACGGGGTACCCCCCTTACAGAGAAAACCAAATGAACCTCAGTCAAAACAATAATACCAGTAATAAGCTATTACTTGACCCCCTCGGTCGCCTAAGAACCACCGCAGTGAGACGTCGCGTTTAGATGTTTGAGCGAAAAAACTAGTTTTGACCAGTTTACTTATTACTTTCAATTGTTGTTAACTATATGAAAAAAATATTAAATTGATGAGTGGTTACTGTTATTGCTATTTTTTTTTGGAAGAGTAAAAAAGCATAAAGTAAGATTAGAATATTTCGACCGCTTAAATTTATTATTCCTATTTTTTATTATTTTTTTATAAAATTAATACCCGAAGGGGCAAGATGGTATATGGGATACCCCATCTTGCCCCGTCCGAGTCTAATTTTGTATATTTGAAGAATGGGACGGACCTACGTGCGGAAAACCAGTAGGGTGAGTTGCTCAGAGCAGGCAAATGGTACCCCGAAATTTCAATTAGAAAACCGGAGAACACTTCAGCGGCAAGAGCTTCAGGACTTAATAAAATAGCTGTAGATAGATGTTTAATTTGTTAGGCTGAACCCTCGACCTCAAGAAAATTTCTCCTGACAGAATATATAACACAGACGAGACTACGGTATCCATCGTTCCTAAAAGTAAATATAAAATTATCGCCAGAACAGGGAATAAGCAAGTTGAATCTTTATCTTCAGCCAAAAAGGGAAGCTACTATCGCTGTAGTGTTTAGTTTTAGTGCATTTGGGTACTACATGCTACCGATGATGCTATTTCCTCATAAAACGATGAAGCCAGAATTGATGATAAATGCTCCCCAAGGTACGTGGGGTGTTTGCAGTGAGGCATGCTGGATCACAACAGAGCTATCCTTGCAGTTCATCCCCGTAGTAGTTTAGTCCATTACTTATAATCGTATTAAACTTGAGACTGTTTTGTTATATTTTAAAACCATTTGTTTTTAATTTCTAACTGTATTTACCGTAGCAGCTATTGTTATTTTACATACACCGTCGTGCCCTATAGGGTATCCCGTTTTACCCCAGGGATGGGGCAAAGTGACCTTTTTGCTTTAACTATTGATTGTGAGAAAAATAATAAGCTAATTTGAGTCTATTGTCAGTTAAACAATAAACCGATTACCAAAGTTTGTGAAACTAAAGAAAATATGGTTGTCCCTATTTAAATGTGAGTTTTATTCAGTGTCAAATCTTAACTACCCCGTCTTACCCCACCCTCCCCTATATAAAATATTTGATAAAAATACACGAATTGTTTTAGATTTTATTATATGTACATATCTCTGATTTCAGTATCAAAGTTCTATCTAGCAATCTTAGTAACGGAGTTATCTTAAAGTGATCTATTTATGCTTAATAAATACGTGTGTATAGGTACATATATTGCTATTAAAATGAAGCTCTATATGCGTTCTACAAAGATCTCTAAAGTGTCAGCAAACCTACACTTTATATACCTAGTTACTCCCTTTATTAACTAAGTTTCTCAATTATTGATCGCAGAGGACGGGTAATAATTAGTTCAGTGATTCCAGGTCACTTGTGATCAGACCCAATAGGTTTTCTTTAATAGTTTAAGTTATAAGTACTTACAGCAGGTACATATGCTACTATACAACTACATTATGAAGTATAGACGTAATCTACCTGTTTAGTTACTCTTACCATAAATGGTACAACAATTAAAACAATATAATGAACCTATTAGATTATTAGCTGTGATCACGACTTCGTCAGCAAATAAATAAAAATTATTTATTCTAACCAAAAATGCGAAAGAAATAAGTTACAATATTAAATTCTCAGCTTCAATTTTTTTTCGATTTTCTGTACAAATTTTTATATTCTAATTTTTTTACCCCCTTAAGTGTAACATTTTTACAAGTTTTGAATGTTATATTTATTTATATTGAATCAATAGCCTAAAAAATAAGTTTCAAGCTACTACCTTAAAAAAGATGATACTTCCATACAAACTTTTATCTACCTTTTCAACTTACAGCCCTTTTTTCGCATTAAAAATAGTAATTGGCACTTAGATAGTTTAGACCCTAAACTAATAAGTCCTTTCTTAGTAGTTTAGGGTCTAAACTATCTAAGTACCAAATTTCATTTAAATCGGTTCAGTAGTTTTAGCGTAAAAGCGAGACAGACAAAGATACTTTCGCATTTATAATATTAGTAAGTCTTGTACTTACTAGGTAAGTATTCTAAGCCTAAAGAATATCTAAACAGATTATCATTAAATATGGGTACGAATATCCCTCTTAATCTAGCTCTAAAAAAACTATTCATATCAGGAATATATATAGGAAACTAAACTTAGACAACTAAATTTAACTTAGGAAAACTAAGTTTGAAGCTTTGGTGAGGAATGGAACATACAGGTAAATACATACATACAGCTACTGAATTTACAGTATACATAGGTACCTACTGTCGATGTTACATGAAATATTATTTATTAGCAATGTTTACCATATAGGCATGCAAATTATGTGAAAGTATTCGTTTTATTCGAATATTCTTTGACACTAAAATTACCAAATGACAACAAATTTTTTAGTTTGCGTTTGAACAATTTAGGTACTTATGAGATCAGAGTTCTCTAATCTCTCTTGGAAGATTGTTGTACACTTTCATTGCCATACGTTATACATTTCTCTTATATATTTAAGGTATATAAGGGAAAGCGAATTAGTATCTAGTAATTACCACTAGCAATAGATATACAGTACTAAGTCAGCCGACCTCCACGCAGTCCCCTGTGTAAACCCTCATAGTTTATTTTAAAAATTACTTACTATACCACAGATGAGACAATATTACATATTTATACTATCGATTTGGTATAAGCAATTTCAAACTATTTTGGAAAAAATAAAATCAAAAATGTTTTAAATCTCTTTTTTCATTATTGTTCCAATCCGAACTGTATTTAAATTTGACTAAATAATAGATGGATTAGTTGAGGTATCAACTAATCCATCTATTATTTAAGGAAATAAATAATAATTTGCAGAATTTTATTTAGAAATATTTCCTACCAAAAGAGAAGTATTAAGGTTAATACTTTGTTGATCCTTTTTAAATAAGTATTTCATATGCAACAGTGCACAGTACAGTTCTGGCGGAGATATCGTTTATAATACCTAAAACTGAGAAACTCCTTTTCAGTCGTTTCAATATTAATAAACCCTTATCTAGATGCAATTCCGTATCGATTGGGAGGTGTATAGGCACCTACTGCTGGTAGACGAGATATGACTCATATAACAAATAATAAATAACTTAGATCTGCATAATGAGGATTCTAATATAGCGAAATAAAAATTCCTGGAATATTTTCTGCGTTCTCTACCCACATGTAATGTAAACAAGGTTGTATAAAGAAATCGATTAGATGCGCGCGCCGCACCATCTTTGTCGTCTCGTAGATATCTACTAATTGTAACGCGAGATTGAACGTGTACGTATAAAATATCATCAGCTGGTCCCTAATTAACGAGGTATGGTCATTGTTTCATAGTATTAGATTTGCAATAAATAATAATAAGTGTAAATTACAAGACGTAAAATTACATATTTTGCTAGTTTGTTAATAAGTGTTTAAATATCAATGTATTCAATCTTTTGGTTCAATATTTGGATTATATTTTCAAGTGTATGAACTTTGTATTGAATGTAAATATGTTTGATGACGGTGTAACATTAGTATATTAATATATCAAAATGGTTGGTATGATGATAGAGCCAAAATGTGTCGCCATTATAACTTATTGTAAAGCTATGAAATCTATTATAATTGTTAACTTGGTTATTATGATTACATACGAAAATATATTGCATAATAGTATATTTAAAGGGTGTACCAATCTAAAGTCAGTGACAGTAGTTATTACTGAAACTGGATATATTTCCTCAAGAAATAAGGTGGAAAATGGAAAAACCTTCATACTATAATAATCAATTATTAAAGTATCTATGTTTTACAATTTTCCCCCACTTATTAATTTAATTAATTAAATATCTATTCAATTTAGTCTTTAATTATTAAGTTTTGAATTAGCACTTTATTTCTTGTCGAAAATTATTTAGTTTCATTAGTAGTTATTCTACCAGGTTTCGAATTTGGCATACTCTTTATAACTAAACCTGTACAATATAAACTGTTAGAGAATTAGGTAAGTGTGTAATTTAAATACATAATCATTTAAATTCTTTTTCGTATTGCAGTCATTATGCCTGGAGCCAGGCACAAAATACTCGGACACGTGTTGTCCGGGTTTTGCCACAAGATGAATCGTCGAAAACCAATTTACGGTGATACTATGGATACTCCACTAAACCGGTGCCTCACTACATTCGACATTACATTACTAGGTAATAGATTTTATTTAAATAGAAAACTTTTCACTCCTTGAAGATAAATTACCATTCGTAGAATGTTTACTTAATCAAATCAACACAAATCGAAACATCTTTATTTATATAGTCTATTACACTCTTAGGATATGATAAATCTACCATCACTTCGTAGTGCTTACAAGCTAAGGAGAACTCACAAAAAACTCAGCTCTTATTTTTTAAATGAGCTTGTACATAGTTACAAAATACAGATCCAATTTTAAATTCAAAATTAGGTAGAATAGATTGACCAACAGCAATGTTATTGCAACTTTGTCAAATGGAAATACCTACCGAATATGTAAAAAAATCTGAAGTTTGATTTGATACCTTATCACAGCGAATCGTCTGAATAAATTTTAATTAAATTGAACATGAAGATAGACTGTCATACGAAGAAGAAATAGGCTAGCAGTTATATAAAAAATAGCAGACGATGTCGCATGTAACAGTGAGTTTATAATGAATTTTCAAGCGAAATGGACAATGGATATAATAATCTCAATTTATAATTGAATATTTAATATTTGAAATATAATATCAGTATATATTTTATATTTGTACTTGTATAGCTTCATCTCTCTTTATTGTAGGTGTTGGACACATGGTAGGCACCGGTATCTACGTGCTGACTGGAACAGTAGCTGGCCGCATAGGGGGGCCAGCGACGGCACTCAGCTTTTTACTTGCTGGTGTCACTTCTACATTGGCGGCTCTATGTTACGCAGAATTCGGCACTAGAATACCTAGAGCTGGCAGTGCCTACGCTTATACATATGTCAGTATTGGTGAATTTTGGGCTTTCATCATTGGATGGAATATTGTTTTGGAATATATAATAGGTAAGTTTAACGTCTATGATGTACTAAAGGTTTGAAAGGAAGGCGAGCCTGATATACTTAACTTTAGAATTTGACTGCCGTAGAACCCCGTTACAACCAAAGACGTTGAAGGGGTTACAATATCTGGATAGCCGTTCCTGTCATTAAAAATGCCATAACCGATTCCTGGTTTTTTTTCTTATTATTATTTAAAGTAATATCTGTCGTTTTATTTGTGGCGACATCCTTTTAACCTATGTCTTATTATTGGTATACTGTATCTATATGTATACCTAAATTTTTTGATCCGTCATATTTAACGCCATTATATCCGATTTCCCCTATACTTCAAAAACAATACGCAACTACCTATTATATAAATATGATGTCATCATTATTAGTAATTAATTTCTACTACCATTACACATATACTGTTACTTGACACTATGATTCCGATGATGACGCCTAGTCCTGTAAAAATCGACATTACAATGAATAACAAAAAGCTTTGAATCTTTGTGTTCTCTGAAAAAACCCCGTAGCAATCGGCATTAACGAACTGCCAGTATTACGAATATATCTTTTAGAATAGAATAGAAAATCATTTATTCAAATAAACATTGAAGCACTTTTGAATAGTCATTACATTTTTTTAATCTACCGTTCATTCGGAAAGCTGTCTCATCACAAGAAGAACGAACAAGAAACTTGCGTGTTGCTCTTTTAAATAATTTTATTATTACTTTACATTTTTAAGTTTAAGTGTGTGAATACCAACCACCAATTAGCACTAATTCAATTAAATACTCAAATAGAAAAAATATTGAATATATAACCAACTGGTTAAACAATTAATAAGAGGAAATCAGTCATAGTGATTAGAGCAGACCAGTCCCTACAAGCAGTTTAAGTTTCTATCTCTAGAGAAACTCTAAATGTAAAACACTGCTTTTTTATTTCAGGTGCGGCATCGGTTGCTAGAGCATGGTCTGTGTATTTAGATACGATGCTGGACGGTGCAATTAGCAACGCTACGATTTCTATTACAGGAGAATTACATGAAACATTATTCAGCACCTATCCAGACATTCTTGCATTTCTCATATGCATAGTAGCTTCTTTAATCCTTGCGGTTGGGGTGAAAACATCTGCTTACATCAACAACGGCCTAACGATTCTAAACTGTTTAGTTATATCTCTTGTTATATTCCTTGGGTTTTATTACGCTGATCTTGACAATTGGTCTGAAAAGAATGGTGGTCTTATGCCTTATGGATTCAGTGGGGTGTTAGCCGGGGCTGCAACTTGCTTTTACGCATTCGTCGGATTCGACAGTATTTCAGCATCAAGCGAGGAGGCCAAAGATCCGTCACGATCTATTCCCATCGCAACTTTGTTGTCTATAGCTTTTGTATCTTTTGGATACATTCTTGTCGCGATTGCTTTAACATTGATGGTACCGTACACTAGTATAAATCGTGAAGCGGCACTGCCGGCTGCTCTTGGTGCCGTGCATGCCGACTGGGCTAAATATGCAGTTGCAGTCGGTGCCGTATGTGGAATGACGACAACTTTACTGGGTTCCTTATTCTCTCTACCTCGTTGTTTATATGCTATGTCAGTAGACGGATTACTATTTGGTTTTCTAAGTGACGTTAATAATAAATCACAAATACCTATTTCGAATCTTATTATATCCGGATTATCATCTGCATTAATTGCTTTATTATTCGATTTAAACAAGTTAATTGAGTTTATGTCAATTGGAACACTGTTAGCCTACACAATTGTTAGTGCAGCAGTAATTATATTGAGATATCGGCCAATACCCTCTGTTGATGATAAAAGCTTCGGTGCTCCTCAATTAGAATCTCCTTGGGACCGAGAAGACAGCTCAGCAACTGGCACTCCAGTGACTGATGGAGGCTCTTCTTCTTCTGAGGTACTAAAAGAAAATTTATCTACATAATTATACTTACTGTACATAATTTGGTATAATATATCTGGAATACCAAATCAGGTGAAAGAATTTGCTACATTTTTTTCGAACCGAAATAGGGAAACTATGGGAAAAGCTTAGATAGGTTTGTCCTATATGTGTGTTATACGTGAGTAAAAACCATATCGAATGCAAAAAACAATTGTCCGACTTCGTTCTGTTTTGAGGAAGATTTCAAGTAACATACAGACAAATGAAGATGACTGAAACGATAACGTCTTTGGCCGTACATCCATATACATAGTATCTTTTCTTGTAATTATTTTTTATTTACGGTTCATGATGTTATTCTTTTCTTCTTCTAAATTTGTACCGGCGTCGTTTCAGATGTTTGAAGCTCTTACAGTCGGTCGACTGCGACCGCAGTACGCGTGGTTGGAGCCTCTGGTAGGAGGGAGAGCCCCAGGTGCCGCTGTGACTGGCTGCGTGTATACATTCACCGTAGCCGCTGCCGCACTTTGTGCCCATGAACACTTCTTGTCAGGACCGGCTGGTCTCTGGGCATTACTTCCAGATATCGTTCTCACTTCAATTATGCTTGCTTGTAAGTTTTTGAGTTAATAGTATTGATAAATTAAAGTGTATACTCGTATATATATTATAGCGACCGTAATTAGGAAGTAACGTAGGACTATTTCACTGTTTCAGGTTTGCTGATAATCAAGGCCCATCAGCAAAGCCCGACTCGTTTGCCGTTCCGAGTGCCCTGGGTGCCATTCATACCGGCCATCAGTGTAGTGATGAACCTAATGCTTATGATTAATCTTAAGGCACTCACATGGGCAAGATTCGCTATATGGATGACTTTTGGTAAGTTCTTGCTTTTGTTTGATTCTATCACACTATGAACACATTAAATAACAAGGAAATCCACATATCATCTATATATATCTGGCGAAAATTTAATGAACTACAGCAAATCAGAACATCTTTTTAGAATTATTTTCATATATCGATTTAAAAGATAAATAAGTATTAAATTAGGTTTACAATTAGTGGATATCGCGTAAACACTCATGTAGGTCATTTTTATTACTCTCGTGAACGGATGGGGATTGGACTATTTGCTTTAGAAATAGCATATGCTAGTGGGCACTCTATACTCCCAAATTTGAATTTAAAAATGAATCTGTACTATTGTAAACATGTACAACGTTTATTTGAAAAGAATACGAGCTCAGTTTGTTGTCAGTTCTCATCTCGAAATCATTCCGAACTTACGGTAGATTTAACATGTCATAAGATTCTGTAATAGACCTACATGAATAAAGATATTTTAATTAACAGACGAAAACAGCTTTACATTACATTACTTTATTTTCATTTGCAGGTCTACTTCTGTATTTCCTTTATGGGATACATCACAGTAAACTAGGCGAGGGAGTGGGACTGTTGTCGCGATCAGCTAGCGGCGGCGGTAACAGTGGTGGCTGGGGCGCTGTCGAGAAGACGAGTGCTCTAGCACGCCGTGTCGCGCGACTCGGTCGCGGCAGCAAGAGTGACGACCGGAAACCGATTATATGTGACGACGATAGCACCCGCCGGGAACCGTGATTCTAATTGCATAGAGGGTTTTATGTTGCATCTAACGATGAACCATTACAAGTTCACACTATAGTGGAGAAGATATATTTGTGTATATTCGCCCATGATTGCCTATTCAACAATGACTTGCAGTGAGAAGGTTTTTCGACACATCTTTTATTTCAAGATAATTTATAGATGTTATGATAATACACGCGATCGTACGTTGGTCCAACAAACATTGGCCGGTAATGTACACATTTATAAAACTACTAATTCATGTTAAACTGTATATGAATAATGAATCGGTTTATTATTTGTAATTACAAATAAAATAAATAGAGATGTACGGTGGCATTGATTTGAATACACGCTAAATTAATTAAAATGTACGTATACATTATATACAACGCCTGCCTTAATTGTGCCAATCATGAATATTCATGAGATAGGCTATCATGGGCGCTTAGGAGTCATCACACTTACAATACGTTTATCACTTTGATGTATCTAGATCTCACTTTTTCACAAAACCACAATTTCGGTTAATATATACGTCTATTTACTGTAAGCTCATATTTATCTGTGGAACTAGGGCTGGCTGTTCATTATCATTGTAATATAATTGGTAATTGGTTCGTTACTGTGTAAGCAGAGAGTACCGAGTGCCAAAGAACTCTATTCTTACTCTAGTTTTATAATTTCCATTGTTATAATTTTATATTTTTGTGGCTTTTTACATGATAGTCTGTAATCAATATAAGTAGGATTATTTTCCATTTTTTTAAGTAACAGTCAGTTGGCCTGTCTTTCCAATTGAAACCAACTAACCTTTTCAGTAAAATTAAAAACTAGCGTACTATTATAAATTCTAGCGTACGTTTTGTATAATTGGACACGACTAAAAGTTTTTTATTTGACGATTTTAGTTGTATATAATAAGCTTATATACCTAATTTGCAATTAATACTATAATTAGCACTAGAGATATTAGAGTCATAATTAACGCGGAAAATAAAAATATAAAATTTATTTCCTAAGAGCACTCTGATGTTTAATAAATGTACAAATGAATTAGCGTGAATTCACAAAAATAGAAAGAGTATTTATCTATACACATAATAAAAATCTAATTAGTTGCTGTTTGTAGATGGAAGATATAAGAGAAAAACTATTATTGAGAGATTATATAAAAGTAATAGAAACAATTGCTTAGGATTTTTTGTCTGTGTCGTTAGTGTGCACAAATCTCATAAACGTAAGCCGATTTAAGGTGCAATTTCACTAATGTATTGTGTTAAGTTCCAATAAAAAATTTAGGTTCGTTTTAATTCAAACAGTTAATAAACACAAATGTATGAAATCTCGGGCTCAACTAGAAAATTATATAAATGATGTAGATTATTTATCACATACAATATATTTGTATCATAAAAAAAAGATATACTCATTTTTACAAAAATTAAAACTGACACCAACTCGTTTTAACTATAGAAACTGGAAAAGGCGTAAGTGTTAAAATTGTTTTATCTTCCATTGGATGCCTGTAACTTGGTAGTAAGCTCAAAATACAACTTGAATTTCGAGTAGTTAAATTGTAATTTGTAGTGTGTATATCAAAATCTAAAAAAGGTATTACCGATTTATTGATGAAAACAGCATTAGAATATTTTATAAAACTTATATGAAACCTTTAAGGAAACCCACTTTTTTGAAAACTCAAGTGGATACTCCTCTTGAGTATTCACTTTATTTGTCACCACCGCAATCACCGACCGCTATCCCCCTACACTGAACTAAATAGATATGTGAAAATATCTAATTTCATAAGTACCACAGTGCATGTTTGTGTAATGGTCAATTATATTAATACTTGTAAATTAATGTTTTTAAAGGAGATAACAACACATTTGTTTGTGTAGTCCAATATTTTAAATAAAAAATGCTTGTATTATTTAAAATAATTTAATCGTAACGTAATGCTATTTATTGTTTTTGACGGGTAATGCGACATGAAAACTTTAGATTGAAGCAATAAGGTAAATTCACGTAGGAATTATTTTATTCGCGAATTCTGCAAGTTACAACTAAATCTTAATGGTCTTAGAAATGTCTTAACAAGAGTACACTAAACAAAATTGGAGGTCTGGTCGGAGGAATGAGAATACGGTCATTTAGGTTTAAATCTAACTACATCAGTTATAAGGTCTTTCTTTGTTTGTCTTTTGTTGGGGGTTTGACTCTCTATTCTCCCAAGAAGCAAAAGCGCTAAAGCTCCAAAGCAACAATTCATTAAAAATGTAATTAAAACCAATATTTGGGATCGATAAAATATTGATTGTATATTTATAAAATATTATATAATACATAATTTAGATTTATGTCACAAGATATTATTATATTTATGTTAATAGCTTTAATGTTGAGCACAAACATATTATAGCTAGTTTGTTTTAACGTAACAGTTCATGTACACTGGTTCTTTTAAATTATTGTTCTTCCAATCAAATCTAATTTACAAATACTTCATTTAGATTTGTTTAATATTTTGGTTGTTTAAAATTGTTCAAATTATATAAACGGGATATTTACCATGATAATATTATATTATTTATACCTTCCGATATTTCAACGCCGTTAAGAATGTCCTGGTCATAGTCGACCACTCGTCCTGTGAGCAGTACATATCCCGTTTTTATAAAGTATTATAATGTTAATTACTTTTAATTATCCAAAATATATATTGGCAAATGTATTTGACAGGTCGTTAATGTTGGTAATTTATACATACACGAATGTTTATTTAAAAAATATAATTAGATTCGTGTACTAAGAGCAGGATTAAAATGTCTATAGAAAAATTCTAAGGCATTGTTGTGTATTTAATTATACATATATTTAAAATATTGATGTGTACATAAAGAAATTATTCTGACATTGTTGTCTTATTCCCTGCTTTTTGACAAATGTGTATAATTATAAATAAATTATATTACATAAAAACACAAATTTGTACTCCATAACATACGTAAAATATAATTCAGTCATAATAAACAACACAACATTGTAAACAACAATAAAATTATACGGATTACCTATACTAAATATTAATCAACAAAATCTCACAACACCACACATCTACTAAGACCATAGAAAAAAAGGAAACGTGTAGCAAAAAATATTCGATACAACTCCAGGTGATAGTATATTATACTACCTGAGATTTTATTGATACTGTATTATTCATATTATTAATATTATAAATGAGAAAGTGTTCTGTTTGTTACATTTTCATGACTAATGGTCAGTCATTAATGGATCTTAATAATATTTAAAAATAGATTATATAACCAGGACGGACATAAGACATTTTATATTAAAAAAAAAAACGGATAAAGTCACGGATGACGTATTTTTATAAATTTTATTGATATATACTGTGACGTCTTCTTTTTTTATAGTCTAAGAACACATAATATGACTGTATCTAATAAGACAAATCATCAAAAGTAGTCACACACTTATTTCTATTACTGTCTACACAATCAACTGAGAGAAAAACATGGAATGGTTCATAAGTTTATCAGAATTGTTTCATTTTATACATATTTACATAAATATACAAATGTATATAACTAAGTATACTGAATTATCTTGCGAAAATTAAACTATCTGCAAGGTTTCATTGACGCTGTATTTTTTATATTAGCATATTCCAATTTAAAAGTAATGTATACCTTTCAGTCTTATCTGTCGAACCTACTAATCTGCCAGGCGGTCGCCGGTAGTCGTTGTAGTCGGTTGATTGTTGGTCGTCCCCATTGTAACCACACGAAGCCAAGCACTAGACAAATCACAGTCTCTATGTAGAAACCATCTATTCTAATGTCGCACGAGCCGCCTTTTGATTTACAAAGCTGGAAGTGAAATGTAACTGACATAACATTTGAATATATACTTAATAATTTTTTACCCGGCAATGATTACATAAATACAATTAGTGTAGCGTAAGTGTGCTCTCAGGCGCACTAAACAAGACGGATGGTGAGGAATAACATTTAAAGCAAAAGTTACTAGATATCTTAGGGTATATTGATTGACTGACAAATACAAGTAATTGAAATTTAAAATAACAATTTTATTACAAAATTACTACTTTGAACAATACTATATGTATTATATATGTTCACAATGTAGTATTAAAATATTGAAAGACTGGTTTCACTTTGATGCATGCCTGTGTCTTGGAATATAGGACTAAAATCTTTGGTCTAATATAGGCTTTCTTTATTCATAGTTGGCAAAAACATTTCAAAGGAGAATAATTTTATCTTAAGTAGATATGTCTGTACAAGAAACTTACCTCTGTTTCCAATTTCGTTGAACAAGTATTATCACTTAGTTCTGATAATGAACAGGACCTAAAAGTTAAGTGGTCTATGGCCCAAAGTGCAAGTGTGTTGGGCCAGTTGGTGCCAAGATTGGACACAGTGTTTAGTAAGGTCATGTAGGTCCCACCGACTGCCGGATCCGATACTTTTGCAAAAAATGCCATTACGGCCACAAACATACAATATAAACATGTCTGAAACAAAAATAATAACATCATTGAATTTTTTCTCAAAAGCAATTGGATAACATCATTACAAAACTATGAGAGATGGCAATTAAAAATTCAGTTCCTATCTACATATTTCATAGAAACTTTGAATTATTTATTGGTAAGTTATAATATCAAGTAAACCTTAGTTTTTCGAAACCAGGGATGTGTTTGAAATTGATTAACACTCATCTTCTTTCTATAATTACAGAAAATTTACTCATTTGTGTTTATAAAGTATTGGTTATGCATTTAGGTAGGTGTAGGTAGGTTTAAAGCTATAGTTATATAGTTCGAAGTTACAATGTCCTCCGATACAAGTTGCGACCAGTGTTTAATGTAAATTAAATTAATATTTTTATATGACTTGAGTCATTAAAGAAAACGTAAAATACCCGTATTAATACAGATATTTTACATTTTTCTTTAATATCGTAATAATGTTTGTCAATTAATTTATAAATTATAAAAAATGTGCTAACGATTCCATTTTCGTGAGGAAAATTAAAATGTAATCTTCCAATGTAGGTACTATATATTCCAAATTATACTTTTATATAAACTAACACAATCCTAGTTAGATAAAGTTAATGTGACTAACCTGATGGAAAACATATAACATCATCAAAATAAACAGATAGGAGTACGTAGGACCAGAATTTCCAAGTAGACTCGGCGTGATAGCGACTAGAGCCGCAGCCAGCGGCCCCACTAGCAACCGAAGAGGAAAGGCTCGGAGCCACAGGGACAGTGGGACCGGACCAGTGGTGTGTTTCGCAAGGATCTGAATTGAATAATGACAATATGTAATTATATATTTCAAAATACTACAAAGAATGTGTCACACATATGTACATAACAAGTGAAAAAACAAAATTGTTGTAATATTTATAATGATAGAATTGCATAGAAATGAGTATTGAAATGTTAGCAAATATAGATAATTTTATTAAAGATTCTTTCCATTATTATACTGCTATTCCAATGCTGAATGCTGTAATTACAGATTACTGGGATAATCATTTGAGTTTGTAATTACATTAAGTAAAATTAGAGAACATCAAAATTTAGAGACCAAATTCAGAATTTATAATAGAGAAATATATCTAATAAAATTTGTTAGATTGAAAATCGGAGCAGCATCTTGTAGTTACCCCGCAAAACGAAATACAATTATATTACGACTCGTGTCTGTGGTAATAGAATTATGACATCACCACGTTAGCCATTGGTAAAGTAATATAAGTATTTCACTACAAAATATAAGAGACGTGTCTCTATAATTATACTTTTACGAAGTTTTAAACAGGTAGCAAAAGAAGATATAGCTTTAATAATAATGAATTACATGTCTATGTACATACCACAGGCATTATAATTTGAACGGGAACTAAAGGTACTGCAAGTAAAGCCAAATCTTCACGTGGTACTCCAGCTTCAACCAACTTCAATCCGGAGACTGCATCACTAGCACAGAAACCAAGCTGTTAACGAAAAGAATAAACTTATTTATCATTTGTGTCAGATTTAAAGTAGAAATTGCTATAATAGCTTTATAAATTGTTAAAATATAAATTTACTTAAACTCAAACATCCCAAGTATATTTTCACAGGATATATAACTATGAGTGAATGTACTTTTCACTAAGCTCTACATCTAATTGTGACTGTTTTTTAAGATTATGCTCTGGACTCTTCTGTTCAATAAATAATTTAAAAAATATATATATATTTACCTTGGCTGTAAATAAAACCAAAGCCAATGTTCGGACAGCTGGCAATTTCACAATAGTATATAGTTGTTTGTAGGCATTGACTATATCACTAATGCCTTTTACTTCATTCTCTTTAGTATTGGCCATATCATTTGCTTCGTGTTTTAACAATGCAATGAATGTTGTTGTTATTATAAACATCCAGCCCCAAAAAAATAGAAAGCTAGACAGTGTGACAAGACCATGATCCAGTGGTTCTGCACGTAGATATTTATTGCAAAAGTATGGAGATTCGAGAGCTAAGAACAATACATAGCCAAGGAAGAAGCCAGCTGTCTGTCCAACTGTATTGCAAGTAGATGCATGTCCAACATTACATCTGAAATTGTTTATATATTAAAATTTTTACAAAATACAAACTTCTTTTTAACTAGTGGTGTATGGAACTCAAAATTATTTGAATAAATAGTGAATCTTTTAGAATTTTATACATTTCTGCAGTTTTGGAAATAGTGAAAATATAGTACAGAAGATTTACAGCTTTCATCCTAGTTTTTGGAAAGCAAATGTATGAGGAGCACCACAAACAACAGGTGGTCTATGCAGTTCATATATACAGGCGAGAGTTTCCACTTTCCATCAGATGAACCATCTAATTATTTGATATACTAGTTATATAAAAAAATCTGATTAAAACATATTTGTCATGATCATTATATGAAGATAAAGATAAGACACTTAATATCTATTGCCCTTGATACATATGAACATAAACTATGAACACTAAAAGTGTAACTAGGATAATAAAATGTTTAGCATGTTATTACTATTACATTTCTTTTCTTTAATATACTTAACTCCTATTTTACTTGTTTATATATATATATATATATATATTGTAATAATAATTAGTAGAAAATATACCTTTTAAGCATTGTAAGGGCCCAGCCATCAACAGCAATATCTTGAGTGGCAGCCAAAAAATTGAGAAATAAGAATGATATTGTAAGGATCATCATTGATGGTGCTTGACTTTCTGATCCCAACCAATCTGTTACACTCCCGGACATAATTATCATCACAATCCCAATTAAATACTGTACAGGAACAAGCCATGTTTTACGTCTACCGAATTTAGGCCAGAACAGGGCATCTACAATAGGTGCCCATAATAGTTTTACACTGAATGGCCAATTAACAAAGCTAAACTCTGCCTGAAAAAAAAAAAAAAAAGAATTCCAATCATTGTTTCATATTTCTTAATTTAGAGAGTATTGTGGCAAGATACTGTACTGTAACTGTGAGAAAGTTCTTTTACCTTATTCCATTATTTCAAATGGATATATTGGTACACAGTATGATCAATTATTATCCATTTTGGTTGCACTAATATATTAGGTACTTATATTTAAATGTTAATTAAAAAATTTAAATGGTATTTGATAAATATTTTTTTTTATATATTTGTTTTCTTCTTTAAATATTAATTACAATAGGTTCAGTAATTATAACACAAATATATCTGTAATAAACAGTATTATTTCAAATTTAATGCCATAAAACAACTTTACCTGTTGAGTATATGTTATGCCTCTATTTTGTAGCAACATAGGCACAGCTCCAGCTAGACCCAAAGGAATGCCTTGGAGAGTATACAGAAATAATAAAACTGCAATATTTAATTCATCTCCTTTGATATTACTACTGCCAACTACGTTAACAGCGTCTCCAATTTCTAGTAATTCTTCTTTCTCGTCTGAACGTTTACGTTTGGAGACGGCCATAATAATTGCTTTCAACGCCTAAAATGTTAATGGATATTGAGAGATTATTGAAAGAAACACCTGCCAACCCAACAAATACACGTCAGTTATATTACCCGTTTACCTTAATTTTAATGGATTTATAAAAATTAGTATATATAGTATAATGAGATATTATTTAATTGATTTCTATTCATATGTTGTTTAAGTGATACTGACGTATTTTTCAGTTTTAGTAGTTGTAAAATACAAAATTACTAAAATACGTAAATATTTAAACAAAACTAAAGAAAGACAAGACAACATTGAAATCTGGCCATTCGCTTAGCTTTGATAACTTTGACATTTGAATGTTATTGCCATGTATGTGAACATCTGTTTGTATTGTCAACAACTTAATAATTTCATACCTAATTTATTAATATATTTGAAAAATATAATATTTTTGGACAATAAATATATTTTAGTTATTACTTTAAAAAATATAATATATTTTTTAAAGTTTTTAGTTTAAAAAAGTAAAGTAAGTAATAAATATTAATATATTTCATATATATACTTTTTTTTACATATTCGTCCATCTCCTTTTCAATGATGGAACAGGCAAATATATATATATATACACTAGCTGTCCCGGCAAACGTTGTTTTGCCTTAAAATAAAAAAAAAAAAAAATTAGGGGTGGACTACCCCTAACATTTAGGGGGATGAAAAATAGATGTAAAATTGATGTTTGCCGATTCTCAGACCTACTCAATACGCTCACAAAATTTCATGAGAATCGGTCAAGCCGTTACGGAGGAGTATGGGAACGAAAACTGTGACACGAAAATTTTGTATATAAGATAGATTCATTTTTTTCACTAGACCACGGAGGCTATTGATATGGAGAGAGACCGTAAAAATAAAGTCAGAAAGATCGAAACAGGCGAAAATGTCATTATGATAATAACGTATTTCGTATATATATGTAAATAAGAATACATTCTTGACTTAACTTAATTTTAACAGAATTAATCAATATTTGCACAAAAGTCTTGTATCCACTCTCTGGAATAAATAAAAAATTAAAGTTGCCATTGACGATAACAGTTGATAGTCTGTTTATTTATGAGATCTTTCATTTACGTTTTGAATCACATTGTTTTATTTTCATTTGTTATTATATATGCGTATTCATGTAATAAAAAAATAATGTATACATTAACAACTAATTAATAAATCGTACGAGTAAGTACGAAATTTAATAATTTCTATAATATTTCCTTACCTAAATAGATTATTCAAGTGTAAGCAAATGGAAATTAATCTGTTGTAAAAATGAGCCGCCAATGTTTCCTGAGATGTCTGCTAGATTTACATGCGCCCATAAACTTGTCTCATCAAGTTGAAACGGTTGTAGGCCGTAGCAAGATTACTAAAATAAAAGATCAGTCCTGTTCCCGTCAGCAACGTAAGTTCATAAATCATTGTGATAAGGTAATGTAAGACGGCTAAAATTATTACATTTAGTCCTAACATACCATGCCAACAATGTTACCTTCTGGTGCATTGGTTGCCTTACACCACCTTCTTTAAAAAAGCGCCAATAGAATTGCGTTGTGCGCCAAATGCGAAATGATGCCATAATTTCTTTGGACTGAATGTAATAATATGAGAGTAGTCTAAGATTATCACTCAAAATGTAATGTCTGATGGGTAGAAATGTCTTTTATTGTATATATATGTTAGCATATTGGGATATAAGTTGGTTCCTATAATATAGTAGAATAGCTGTATAAATATATTTAGTTTGCTATTCCAATATTGCATGACTATGGTCCATCCATTGCAGTTGGTCATCCTAGTGTTGTAGACTAAATTGAAAAATGAGCTCTTTTATCATATATTAATTACAATTAGAGAGTATCTTTTTTACAATGAAACATTTATTAATAATATTTCTTTATTACATTACAGTTAGTTTAAAAGCAGATTGTTATAATTGCTTAGTTGAAATCAAACAGTTGGGAGTCAATTCTTCAGGTTTGGACGGATTTGCTTTAAAAAGGAATGAGGTTTATAGAGTTGGCCATGGTTCTAGAATTGAAATTTTATTGAACAGTTATATTCATATTATTGAGTTTCATCCAGCTCCTGATTTGTGTAAAGAAACAAAAAATAGCAATAAGAGAAAACATGAAGATGATGAACCTACAAGTCATTCTAAAAGGAAAGCCATTGACTCTGTATTAGATGCTAGTCTGAATTCCAAAATGGATGAAAATTTAGATGATATTTGGGAGGAGATAGATAAAGGTGAATTATATATATACACATCAAAGGGTGTTAAAACAAGTAGTAAAATAGCTGCATTTGATATGGATGGTACTCTGATTAAAACAAAATCTGGCAAAGTGCATCCCATAGATATTAATGACTGGCAAATAGCATTTCCTGTTGTACCCCAAAAGTTAAAAGACCAATTATCTAATGGGTATAAAATAGTAATATTTAGTAATCAGGCTCCTATAGGAAATGGAAGAGTTAAAATAGAAGATTTCAAGAAGAAAATTGAAGCCTTAGTGCTTAAATTGAACATTCCAGTTCAAGCTTATTTTGCTACTGGTAAAGGATTCTATAGAAAACCTGCAACTGGGATGTGGAACATTTTAAATGAACAGGTAATAATTTAGAATACTGTTTTAATACATATTTAATTATAATTATCAGCGTAAAAGTATGTTTAATAAATTTTAATTTGAATAGATAATACAGTGGACCCCCGGTTATCCGACAAACGTTTTGCAGGGTAGTGTCGGACCATCGAATTTGTCCGATTATAGAGTGTTGCCTAAGGGTCCCCTATAGTCCGGAATTTTTTACAAAAGAGTATCTTGTAATCTGACAAATTACAGGTCCAGTGATAATATTCTATGTTATATATGTATGTATATGCACTTTGAAGTATAGATCATACTTCATTATGTATGTCAACTACTAAAAGATTCCTAATGATTTAGGCAGTCTAAAATATCACATTTTTCTTTAATTGTCAGTGTTTTGTGCTTTCGCTTCCAAGCTGATATATATATGTGTGAATAAACAGTAAACAATGAACACATGCTATACCGCACTGCTATCTTCATCACATATAATCACAATCATAATCAAACCAAACAAAACCCATACGCGTCGAATACAACAGTGGTGATCCCTACAAATTCAAACTTGTTCAATCATGTATTAGCGAAGATTGTCAAAAAAATATTCAATAATAAATAATAGACCATGTCAGATTATAAGGGGGGCTGGATTAGACAGGGGCCGGATTACCGCGGGTCCACTGTATACCCAAATAAATGTGTATATATGTTGTAAATCAAGAAAAATAATTAGGGTAGCTGAAGAATTTTAAACAAGTTGAAATACAGAAACAAGTAAAGAAATATTATTAGAAACTATCCCACTGGGATTACAATCAAATGTATACTTATTTTTACAATGAATTCAAGTAGTTACACCACATAAATTATATGAAAGGCAAATTACACCACCAAAAATTAAAGATGAAAAGATTGAATAATCAAAAGTATTTGTTTATATTTACATTATGACAAGACAAGTTTATGCACTATATTAATAATACATTTTTTAATGATTTCAGAAGAATGGTTCTCTAAAAATTAATATGGAAGAAAGTTTTTACTGTGGAGATGCTGCAGGGAGAGCTGCAGGCTGGGCCCCTGGGAAGAAAAAAGACCATTCTATGGCTGATAAGTTACTAGCAGAAAATTTGTCACTTAAATTTTACACACCAGAACAATATTTCCTTGGTCATTCTATTAGTAATGTACCTTTTGAGAAGCCTGATTTTATACCTAAAACAGCTAAAGCAGAACCATTCAATGATCGACTAATTACTAAAGAAAAAGAAGTAAGTATTAAAGGGGGCAAAGTAATGAGTAGCATTATTTTTAAGAGTTTTCTCATAACTTTCTCTTATTTCAGATTTTAGTTTTAGTGGGTTTTCCTGGAAGTGGTAAATCATTCTTAGCCAAACAAATAGAAAAGAAATCTAGCCACACCTATGTGGCTGTGAGTCGGGACATACTTGGTTCATGGCAGAAATGTGCAAGTGAAGCTACTAAACTTTTGCAGGTATATATAGTAGCCGGTAGCATATTGTTATATTTATAGCAATTTGTATAAATAGTTATGACTATTATAAACATTGTTACTGTATTAAATATAAACTATTGCTTTAATTACAAATTATAATAGAATTTATATTATACACAACCATTGTAGCTTTGTATTATGATCATGTTATATTTTATTTTTGTTTTGCATTACTTTAATGTATCATTTCATATACATAATTATGCTGGTTATTCACAGTTTGTCAACTGACTGTCTTAAAAATATATCTAAAATAAACAATTAGTATATTCAGTAAATTTTTACATCATTAAAAATAATAAAATCTACTATTACTACTTATATTTATTTAAATATGGTAATGTAGATTTTTTTTTCATGAACTACATAGAAAGGAAAGAGTGTGATAGTAGACAGTACCAACCCAGATGTAGAATCAAGAGCCCGCTGGACATCATTAGCAAATCAGATGAAAGTTGAGTGTCGCTGCGCTAAAATGACAACGACAATGTCTCATGCAAAGCATAATAATAAGTTCAGAGAACTCATGAAAATTAAACATGTACCAGTCAACGATATTGTATTTCATACCTACAAGTGAGTATTTTTTTTAATAGCTGATAATGGAATGGCCGGAATAAACGCCTACACTAATGGATTACGCTGGCGGGGCACCAGTCGGAGATGATAAGATCAGCATGAGGTCAGGTCAGTTAGCTTCTGGTGGCAATTTCACCAGAAATATTGTCACGATGACATGGTACATTGCCAACAATGGGATCCTTGGTTCAAATTACTACTTATAGATGTATAAGCATAGGTTTAGAACTAAGAAATTTAAATTATGATGTAGTGCACGAGGGAAATCAGTAAAATTATCTTCCATTAATTCACCAAAATAAAAAAATAAAAAATCGATGCTATAACAGAAAAAATTAAAATTAGAAATGAACATGACTGATTTTAAAGAATTTAGTTCTTAGTCCATTAACGCAGTCTTCAAAACACTATATGTAATGAGAGGACAAATTATTTATTATATTTTCCGACTGACAGCTGAAACCGAAATAGGCTTTCACGATAGTTCAATCAATCGCCAGTCAACTATTATACGGCACACGTGCATGAAAAACTAATGTTAAATAAACTGTTTTCTTTTTCTAGAAACAAATTTGCCAATCCTACACTAAATGAAGGATTTAAAGAAGTGATTGAAGTGAAATTTAGTCCGTGTTTTGAAGATAAAGAAGCAGAGAAAATTTACAAAATGTATCTATTGGAAAAATAAAATCAGAAATAGTTAAATAAAAGTCATTGTGATAATTTTTTATAAAGTTTTATTGAGTTGACACATATGTTTAACAAGCGGATTTTCTAAAACACAATTATAGTTTATACATTATATAGGCCACGGTAATATTTAAAATTAACATATTTACTTAATTTACGATTTCTATAGTAGGTATAAAAATTTATTTTACACAAAGTAACGGTCAGATTTTAATTAATGATTAAGGCATTTTCTTACCTATGCGACATAAAATATTATTTACTTTTTGCAGAAAATTTTTGACATTTCTAGGAAATGTACCTACATCTTTTACGCAGTGCCCTAACGATGGCGTGTGATAACAATAACGCAGATCCTGGACGGATGTTTAAATGTTTTATTATATAATATATACGAAAGCCACATTTTTGGAGTATTCCATTATATAATTATTTATTAGCATATAGTCTATTTTTAGTCAATCTAATTTAAACACTAACTAATATTATACATGTAACTACACAATAAATTGTAGTTATAGAAAGGTACATTCGGTTTCACAAATCTATTATAATCTAATTAATCAGCAGATATAATCTAACGTCAGGCAGCCGATTCAAATATAGAATTGTTATTTCTTCACAAAATGTAATAACAATGATAATTAATTTTAGTGCTTTATTCAAAACACAGCTACATCAAACAAATTAAGGACAAAATGGGAGTCGTGTCGTATCAAGAATTAAATAGCATGATGGAAGATTGCGGAAAGTGGCAAAAGCTCCACCGACCGTAGCTCTTAAATTATGAATGAATGAATTCAAAAGTGAAATATGATTTGCAAAAATGTTATTGAGGATAAATTATATCAGAATATACTGTATGGCTGTTCTGATATACCTGCCTAATTCTAATTTGTATTATCTGATTTCAAGAAGAATTTTGAACAACCTATGTATGCTGACTATTTGAATTACTTTATTTAAAAGATGTGTTGAATATATTGCGGCTATATCTGTATATATTGATTATAATAAATCTATTTCAAATCGCACGCAACGCACTTATGCAATTATCCAATTAAAATTAGGTTTAGATGGCTCAGTTTAAAGAAACTACCAATAGTGACTGTCGACAAAATGAAAAGTAGGTACCACAGAAATCAATCATTAAGGTAATAACTAAGGTTAAAGTACTCTGTAATGTTACTGCAATACCTCAATTAATTAAAGCTACTTCGTGGCAAAAATAGATAAAACATACGCAGACAACTTTGTACAGATTGTATCTGACTACAGTATATCATAGTGTCCCTTTCCAATGTAGAATTTGAATAACGTTTCTGTTGTTCACATTGTTCCCACATGTTTAGCCCCAAAGTTAGTAAGCATAGGCTTGAATTACACTGTCCCATTAAAACGAAAAATACCCACATGTCAAATAGTTGATACATAAATGTAAATATGTAATTTAAATACCTACCTCTCAAATCAACCATCATTCTGTTGACATATGCAATTGCGTTATGTTATTAAGCTACTGATTCATATGCCTAGGTACCTATAAATTTTAGCAATGTACACAGCATCATTTGAGAAACGCGTAATATTCTTTTGACTTGATATCCAAACTTTCTTTGTAGTTTGTGTATTATTTGATATCTCTACAAATAGGTACGTAATGAAATTATTTATTCATGATGATGACGATTGTATCATTGTCGTGTCATTCGTCATCAAGGTCCTGGTCGTCACCCGCCTCTAATAGATTATCCAGACTCGTATCCGAGTCGTCCTCTTGTCATCTGTAACGAGAGGAAATGTTAAGGTTGTCTTGTTATTGTGAGCAACGTACGACACTCCATGCGTGTTGTATATTTTCATCATAATATATATTTAAGGTTTCATTATAAAAACAGACATGATTCTTAATGAAATTAGTATACAACCAAAATGGAAGAGAGCACGTTCAATTGTAAGATATATTAAATACTTAAGTGTATAAATGACAAAGATTCTACATTTAAAAAATACAGACACAGAGTATGTCTTGTTCATAATTTAGTAATATTCCAATATTATAAATTGCTGAAGGGGCTCCAGCCCCTTCAGCAATTTATGCTATCTACTTCTAAGTCTTATTTTTTCTAGTCGCTTTTTAATATATTTGTTCAAATTATGCGCCAAATATAGAGTAATGATAAAAACAATATACGACTACGTACTACAGACTCTTGTAAAAGTATTCTCATAATTACACTATGTATTACACAATGATTACTGATATGAATTGAAGCAATAAATAGTTCATGAATTTCGATCTCTGCGGTAAACCGTGTAGTTCAAAGTTTTACTTTTTAGTTTAAGATATTTACTAAATATTCAATGTACTGTATATAAATATTTAAAGTAAGTATTACCTGGTGATATAAACTGTATCGATGTGTGCCAGTCGTGAGCCAGTGAGAGGGACGGTTGCGGAAACTGGACGTAGTTTGCGCCTCTCCATTGCGCTTCGGGCCTGTTGTACCGCCAAGTCACCGCACCATCTCTCGCAACGAGCGTAAATTACGACGCCTGCATTACAAAATTTAATTAAGCAACATATTAATTATAACTACATCAATTATACATAAGAATGTTTCCTTACCGGCACCAGCAAATAGGGTAATGGCTGGCCATGAATCTATTAATAATGGCGTGAGAAATAGGGTAGACGCTAACAACGTGAAAGGGCCTTCCACGCTTTGAGTTTTTCTCAAACTCAAATTGTGTGCTGGTTGGCAGACGCAAATTATGGTGCCACAAATCCATACTGTAAATAAAAATTACAATTATATCATAATTATAATTTTAAATCTTATATATAAAATTCTCGTGTCACAGTCTTCGTTCCCATACTCCTCCGAAACGGCTTGACCGATTCTCATGAAATTTTGTGAGCGTATTGAGTAGGTCTGAGAATCGGCCAACATCTATTTTTCATCCCCCTAAATGTTAGGGGTAGTCCACCCCTAAATTTTATTTTTATTTTAAGGCATATCAACGTTTGCCGGGACAGCTAGTGTTATATATTTTTTAGATATTATGTAAGTAAGAATTTGAAGAAATACAATCAAGGATGAAATCATTCATTACATAAATATTATAATATATAGCAAAGTACAAATATTATTTAGTATTTAATAAATTGTAACGCATCAATGTGTAGCAATATATAGTAGATATATATTATAGTTATGGATAAGAATATTTTAAGAATTTATTGCACATAAACAAATATGGTTTGTTCATACTTTTAAAATATAAAATTATAACCGAAATGAGAATTTCTATTTTTGGAAGTGATATCAAATATATCTAATTTGACGTCTATATTACATATTTTCTGAGTTTAAAAGAATTATGGTTTTGATACTTGCCAGGTATTCCTGTACCAAACATATAAATTCTAATAGTTTCATTGAAGAAGGCAACGGCGATGAATGCATTGGCTACGAGTTGAATCGCAGCGCCCGCACCTGACCACTGCGCCCCACGCACGCTTGGTGATGACGGAGTGCTGGCTTCAGGAGTCGCAGTAATTACCTGCCAACACAAGTAAGTCAAGTAAGTAATTACTTACTTGACTTACTGTCAATTGACAGCCTCAATGGTCTAGCGGTTTAACACACCGCTTTACTTCCGATGGTCGCGGGTTCGATTCCTCGCACAGCACAAATATTTGTATTCATGAGTATGATTATTTGTATTGGTCTGGGTGTTTGAAAATAGTTATGTAGTTAATATGTAGAATAGAAAAACTGCACTGCAATGTTTATTTGCGGAATATAGCCACACATAAATATTAGGTTTTGGCTTATATTGTAAACAGATCTTCTGTATATTTCATTAAATGGTATTATAGAATAATTTGTTTTAGAATCAAAGTTGAACATAAGTAATATCTATAAAAATTGAGAAGTAAAAGTATACTACTTATTTATTTATTTACCGGTCTATGTTAGAACGCGTCAAATGTGATATAACTACTTATATATGTTATTATATGGTTAGGTATGTGCAGTGCATGCTCTACGTTACGTTTTTTTTGTTATAATCGGAAGTAGGAAAATATAAATAAATATAAATATGCATATATATAAAAGAATGTTTAAAAGCAAATACTTTACTTGAACTCTGTCCTTGTATTCCTTTACAACGGCGTCTATATCAGTTGAATCGTCTCCTGATGATATCTCCGGTTCACTCGCTTCCACATCAGAGGTGATATCTGGCACTTCAGTTGAAGCTACATCTCTAGTTCCACTGCTGCAACTAGTCATTTGGTCTATTTCGTCTATTGCACATCCCGCGTATTCGTCCAGAAGAAGACATTCACGCTCCTCTGTTTCTGAAGTAAATGAGATTCGGAAACGTTTTAGGACGTGATCTAAGAGTTAAGTGTAGTAGTGCCAATTTATGGGCCTTGTTGTCAGATATCAAACAATAATAAATGGCTTATATTGTTTTCATGAAATGTGGCATACAAAAGGAAACTACAAGTTTCCTTTTGTATGCCAAATGAGAAGACAAGACCAATACTAAAATACTCGACCACGGGACTAATTTCTAAAACATGATGTATTTTAAATTACTAAACGTATTAATATCAATTGTTGTTAAATTATTGAAAATAAGAAGAAGGTAAGGTACCTTTAGTACTAGTGACTTTTGATTTAATACTTTCCAATGTTTTGGTGTGACGTATGGCAGAAGGAATGAACCATAAACCTCGCTTAATTTTTCCATCTGATGGTTTTGTTATCTTAGACGTTCCTTGAATGCCTAAGCGTTTATATTCTATGTCTGAAACGTAAGAAAAAAAGATGAGAAAAACCCCCACGTATATATATAAAAACTGTATTATTTATGAACTTTCGAAGAGTATAAACAAATTACAGAAATTTATATACTGTTTTAAATTTGACGCGGTTATTATTTATATACGTATAATTAGTAAAAATCACAGGATCTTACCACGTTTTATATTTATTTGCTGAGTTCCCGATATTTCGGCAGTGTTTCAACCACCATGATCACGGGTAAACGGAAGAATAGCGGGTGAAGAGCAGCAGGTAGATGGAAAATGAAATCTTTTTATGGGCAGACATATGCGTCTACCTTCACACGTCTTTGTTTGTTGCTACTACTGGAATTCGCTCGATATTCATCTCGGCAAACTGTACTCACAGTATCATTTAATACACTTTTCGATCGCGTTTTTTGTTTTTGTTTAATTATAAATAAATAAATATAAAACGTGGTAAGATCCCGTGATTTTTACTAATTAAACACAGAAATTTAACTTACTATTAACGCTAATATATGACCGATTAGTAATCTCGGATATAACGGCTAAAATGGACCGGTGGAAGAAGATACCTACGTATGTATGTTACATTGGTAGGTACTACATCGACTACAAATAATAGGAAAATGGCAAAACAGATGTGTTTAACATTAATAATTTTGCTTGTATATTTATAGGAGTAATGAATGACTATTTTTCAACAACTAAGTATTGTCCTAGTGGACTACTGAAACTTTCTTTATTGAATTGTGTGTTAACATACCACCAGCTTCCTTTTGTTCAGCAGTAGGGACGCAACGCATTATCATGAAGTGAAAAGCCTGCACTGAGATACCGAGTAAATGGCTGGCATTCATTAACGTGATCATATGAGATAACGGACACGCGAATGCTAGTATTGCTGCTAGACTCCCTGGAATAAATAAAGCAAAATTATTATTTCAATAGTATGTTTTTATATTACTGAAATAAAACATTGAAGCGGTCGATTATGATTATCTGGCGCAGTTACAATTATGTGTAATCTTCACATTTTAAATTTTAGTCGAGCAGAGCGCGAAGCTCTAAGCGATCTTAGAGATCAGATTTGCACTCTTTGCAACGATACTCTTCCGAAACAGGTTGACCGATCGAGACAAAAATTTCATCAAAGTGGGCCTCCATCGTTTACCACTCAAAAAAATTCCGATCGGTCAAGGTTGAGTTTTTAAGAATAAACGCGCTCCGCTCAACCTGTGATCCGGGTGTGTAAACAACACACCGCACAGTGGGAACTCGCCTAAGAAAGCCATCTCATAAATACTTTTTCTAAAACTCCGTGGATATGCTTGTATAATACCTCAAATTGTAGCCAAAGAGTTACTCTATCATTATAAATATGATTCAAATCTTTGACTATTCATACTTCATAGAATAAAGCCTCTAAAGTCAAGGAATGAAAAAAATGCAAAAATAATTTTGTAACTTAAATTTGTTTGGTATAAGTTTATAGTATCAAAATAATATCAAGTCATATAGTGTGATACCATTTTAGAATGCTTAGAATGTGTACTTTACTATAAAATAAAAATATATTTAGTTTAGTTGAATATTATTTAACTAAAAATCCATATATCGTTACATGTACTATTTTCTTTTCTCAGACTTTCACTTGGAGATTTGACAGTTGCCGAAGCTTGCCGAAGTTCTAAATTTGGTTTTATTTATTAGGAAATATAATGTAATTTGATGGCATAACATTTTTTTTTGCAGTTTCACTGCGTAAAATATTTAAATCGAGTATAATATCATGGTGAGATTTGTTTTTTCTGAGTACGTATATTAAGATTTTTTTCTTTATTTGAGAATCTCTGTCTGAATATTCAAAAAAATACTTTTTGCTCAGTTATTACTATATATTTTATCTTTTGCCTTACTTTTATCAATTATTTCACACAGTATATAGTTCCCATTCCCATACAAACCTATTCTATAGCGCATAATGATAAATATTTTTTATCAAGTAATTTTGCACACGTATATGACCATTATTAAGTATAAAATAGTGTATGTATTTGCATATGAAATATTACAGTTCTTCATAAGCATTTGTTATTACTAAATAATTGTTAATTACTCATCTCACCCCATAATATTGAGACGCGAAGTGTCTTATTGATTTAAAGTGATACAAATTATTTGATTCTATTCAGAAATAATGTAGATTGTGTGGTCCTTCATAACTCATTTTCGTCAACGCTATACGAAATATGGTCGAAAGAAAGAACAGTTTTTAAATAAAATAGCAATTGATAGGATATTTTACTGTAAATCTAGAAAAAACTACATGCGACCTGAACCTCCTACTTCGATGCATTTAAACGGACAAACAAGGCTTGCTTGATACCTGTGGACTTCATAGATGGTGTACATATGGTGGTGTAGGATAAATTACTTATTTTAATTGTTTATAATTATATGTATTATTTTGATTTGTGAAGCTAGTTATCAAAATTGTATTTTATTTTTGTTTGTATAGTTTAACGTTGAAATCAAATATGTACCATTTGGTGCAAAACCAGAGATGAACAATTTAGAAAAACTACAAAATAAATCGATGTTTTATCTTGCATTTGTGGAACTTATTTTACATTTATCTTACAGCAGGTTCAGAGAAGAAATAAATATTATTGTTAGAATTTTTTCCAAAATTAATGACATTACTTTTCTGTCTTGCCTTTTACTTTATTCGGAACAAAGACTATAAACAGCTTCAATGCAAGACAATGTTCGAGGGTAGCCTCTAACAAAGATGTTCTACAGCATTTTTATACACCTCTGACCCATACATAACAAGTTTGAAAACCTTCCAATTAAAAATATTTAGTACAGCTCTTGAGTGACTTAAATCTTACCTTATTTCTGTATAAACTTCAGACATAAATGTAATATTCTATATTTTTTGTATTCCTAAATTATTTATAACTATTAAAAATATTTTTTTACTAACATACATTATTTAAAAGTATATATATTTAAGATTATCAGGACATATCTTTATTAATACAGAAGTTATAGATTTATGAGATGAAAATGAGTCAAAGTTCGTGCACCGGTAAGAAATCAGTATGTGTCATAATGACCATTATTTTATTGGTTTTGTTGTTCTAAATGGCTTCTGACTGAAGTAAATGTGCATATTTTGAAGTGTTCCATTCAGATGTAGATTGTGTGGGATGCGATTTAGATGAACAAGATAAAACTTATTTTAATTGTTTATAATTATATGTATTATTTTGAGTTAGTTTCTTTTGTTTGTGTTTAATGAATAATATGTTGGACCGAATTTAAATATGGTTTTATCTTCAGCAAAATTTATTGTTAGAAAATGACATTAGCTATATTCCGGCAATGAGTGTAAACTTACCAGCAGTAAATACAGACACACCCCCGCGACCGTAACAGCAGCTAATATCGGACAGACCCATCCGGGCGCCCTTGCCTCTAGGAGCGTAGTTACAGGCAATGTGGCGTCGACAGTGGTGCTGTAATGTATGTTCAGTGTTTTTTTTTGGACTACTCTAATGCTGTTGGCCGCAGCTGGCTTTTCCAGCTTCACCGGACGATAGGGGGCGAGTGCAGATGGCACTCCAAACCCGCGGAAGGACTTATGGAGCGGCTGAAGTCTAACTCCCGCCTGACAGATACGACTTTGGTCTGAAGGTACCGCTAGAGGTTCGAACCTCGGTTTAGGCCGTCGTAATTTCGATCCCCGGTTGAATTGGACGGGGGATCGATCAGAGGGGCATGTTCAGTGATAAGTAGCTGGTAATATAAATATCTGTTGACACAAAATTATAAAGCAAGTACTGAATTAAACGATGTACCTGGTATACCGTAGGATACAACTCTAATGGTACATTGTATTTTTACGACTCGGTGGTCTAGCGGTTTAGCATACCGCCATATTTCCGATGGCGCGGGTTCGATTCCCCGCACGGCAGAAACATTTGTATTCATGAGTATGATTGTTTGTATCGAGCTGATTGTTTACTATATACATATAATATGTATGTATTTACGAAAAAAAATATCTATCTATGTACCTATTTGTATTAGTTATACAGTACGCATAACACAAGCTTTAGCTAGCTTAATTTGGATCTAGATAGCGCTGTGTGAATTGTCCTGAGATTATTATTATTATTATTTTATAATTATGTCAATACTATTATTCATGTCTATTTTCTGTAAGTTTTCATTAATCTCTACTCACCCTTTAAGCATATTAGTATAGAGAAAACATAAGCCTGATAAGACAACCATAGGCAAAAGAACTCGGAGTAAAAGTTTTTTCTTTACACCTCCATTTTCTTTAGGTGGTAAATTAAAACTGAAAGCATATGATATCGGTGCTCCAGCGGCAAATAACTACAACAAAAAATATGAATTGTTTACTTTTCGTCATTATATTTGTTAATTTACTTCTTAAAGATTTCTTACCTCGTAAATTGTAATAGGTATAGGCATATTTATATTGGTAATGTCCAAATTGATAAGGCCAACAATGGCAAAAAATTGGCTGAACGTGTACAAAAGAATCAGCAGCATAAATGTAAACATCATACTTTCCTGAAAGAAAAAAATGAATATTTAACAGTCTGATTTTGAACTAATATGAATACAATAAGTTAAAACGTCTTGAATTTTCAGGGACTTCGTAACGTTTCTTATAAATTGGTACTATGTCTGTATGTAAAGAATATAAGTAACTCATTGATCATGTATAACAATTACTTAACTTTTCAAGATCGAAATAGTGGGATAAACAAATAGATGAGAAATTAAATTACTTGAGTATATTATGATAATACTACATTCAAATTTTGAACAAAGTAACTAGAAATTAAATTAGCTTATATTAATACATTTTGACCTTAATGAGACTTGTCTGTGGTTATGTAACACAATCATTTACATCGTCATTATCAATAATTTAAAATGTAGTTTTTAATGAAGCGTTTAAGTACTATATACATGAAAATTCGTACGTATAAAAATTATAAAATGGTATGGCTTGATAAGCTGAAAGAGCTTTATTTATTAACTCACTATTGTATCCATACCTCAAGACCACACATAAACATAGCGCAGACCACCATAACAACTGTCACTCCTAACACATCAGGCCAGGGTTCGCCGAGAGACCTGGTCTCGTATCCAAATAACCATCTTCGAGTTCGTCCACCGGTCACGTGGTCTGCAGTCGCGCTTAGTATTCTGGCGCAGATGGCCACAGCGACCAAATGCGACAAAAATGACATCCACATGGCCATGAAATCAGCAAACGAACGTAAATTGCGTTCTCGGCGACCTCTTACTGTTTTCGTTGGCGGTAATATTTCGGCAATTTTTTTTAAGTCTTTCGAAGTGAAGGCTGTAATGAAACAGTAAACGTAATGCATAAATTTGTTGATTTTGTATGCATCGCTAAAACTATACAGTCTTTGATTTTATAGATTCTTTTTGTAAAGTTCTGTGTACATTGGAATGGACTAGAAAAGGAAGATAAATAATAGGTAAGCATTAGTCTTAAATGAAAAAAATCTCATTATGTCTTTTCGTTCATAATCAAAGATCATAGGATCGTAGGATCATAATATTTATATATGGCATTGTAAGGTGCTTTATGGGGAAACTTACTAGCAACAGTTATAAAGGCAGCAAGCAAAATCACAGCGGGAACGGCACAGTAACTGGAGTTGGCAGCAGCTAATGGCGCCAGGAGGAGTGCTCCAAGCGTCCACCTTGCGCCACATCCTTCGCCGCTGCCGAGAGCGTTCAGCGTACCGCTCATTTTGGTTCTTTTAACCAAACTTTTCTCTTAACCCCAACGCTAAATCAAAAAGGATTAATACATAGTATAGGATAAGTACTAGAAAGAGATTGTTATTAATGAGAACTAGCAATGTAGGTACATTAGCAGGTCTTTGATGCGAGAAAAGAAAGAGGTTTTTTCTTTGATTGTGAATAATTCGTGGAAATAATGGTCTAACTGACCTGAGTTCATACTTATCCTATCATTCTCCACTGGAGTCTAGACAGTGTAAATCATTAACGTATATTACGGGTATTGATATTATAGGCTACTACTTACTACTAAAGGCTATAAACATCTAATAAAAAATAGAGAATATGAATAACAAAAACATTAATGTTAATTGAACATCGGAATTGTTAAAAATAGGTAGATAAATTATTATATATATATATATAACTTAATCATAGAACCTAATATTAAAAACCTTAAATAAAATATAATCTAACAGGTAACTAAAATATATTATTAAAAGGAGTCCCTCTAGGCAAGGTTCCGAAGATACTGGCAGCGTCCCCCTTTTTTTATTAATTTATTAATTAATATAAATTAATGAATTTTAGTTTAGTTGCCACTTTCACTTAAACATTATGAATTTTTCACTTTTAATGAATTTTGTACGCTTGAAAAATAATTATGAATCGATAAAAAAATAACAAAAAGTTAGGCTACTTCATTATCTTTATCTATAAATTACAAACAAATACTAGGTATATATCTAATACCTTTAGTGCATGTGTTATGTTTGTATGTAAATACATACACTATAAATGTTGCTAAATATAAAGGTTATTTATAGGAAATAGGTTAAAACGATAAGTACTTACCGTAAGTATTTAGCACTTGTCATTAGGAACGAGTGTTTACAGTAATCACCATTCTAGCTTACGGTTTCAAAAACGATTGTTGTATCCAGTTCTCGTAAATACTAGAAAAATAACCAAATTCTGAGATTCATAGCTAGACCGCGTTTAATGTTTATGCGACAAACCAAGGAGAGTAGCGCTATATCGATGTCTCTTTTGTTACATCCCCGATCGATACCAGTACACACCGGGCAGTCGCTAGTGTGACCATACCTGAGGCTGCCGGCAACCTGTTTTCCTATTAATTTCACTGATAAAGCGGGAGAATATAATTAATGATAATGTCAATCATAGCCTCTATATATAGTTTTTTCATTGCCTTGACTTTATCTCATTTTTTGGGGTCGGCGCAGTATTCATTCTTTTCCACTGATCTCTATGATATGTGACCGTCATATCTGAGTATACTCTTCTTTTATTCATGTCATCTTTCGCACAATCCATTCAAGTTTTTTTTACGTTTAGGGCAGAGAGTAAACTCCAAACATAATATATCATACAAGAAATCTGAACCAGTAATATAAAAACCTTATAGTTTATTAATTGTTATTAATTTATCTCATTCATTTAAAGCTCTATATTAAAAAAAATATAAATGACTTAGAAAATTGAAGCATTAGATGTTGCTGTATTGAGTTGTATCAATATTATTGGTATTGGAAAAGTTTAATAATATCTATGTAAGAGTATTATTAACTTTGCGAGAGAATCCGCAAGGGCAAATGCCAAATATAAGAAGCGTTAAGCTGAAGTAAGAAATCATATTATTGATGATTCAATTGTTTATGTACTACCTATTTATTTAGCATCCGTTAAAACTTTGGCTGAATAATAATATGCTTAAAATAAATTTTCCTGTTTTAATAAATATGAATAATGAAATTAAGTATCAAAATATGGAATGTAGAGAGTGGTGACCACTTTAAAACGATTATAATATATGGCTTCTTACTAAACGGTTTGTATATATAAATAATAATGTTGATAAGTCTATGTCCAGTTTCTTGTTTTTATATACTTAACCGGTTATTTAATACATACTATTATGTGTGAACAAATAACAATAAGTGTAACACAATATGAATATGAGTTATATTACGTTAACGCCATATTAATTCCTTCAGGGATATTTAATCCAATTAGCACTGACTCAATGCTCTTCGTTGCAATTCACGGAATGATTACACGCATTCGTGTGTCACTAATATTAGGTGTCAGACAGACAAACACATTTATTAACACAGAACGATGTTAATACGGAAATGTTAATGGGAATCTTTTTATACGGTAGTTCTATAATGAATTCTGGTATGATCCAAATTATGTATGTTTTATGTAAGATCTAATGAGAGAGAATAGGTACCTACGGCAGGTATTATGTTGATTGTACCTAAGTTTCGTTTCTCTTGCCATATACATTGCTATTATACTTATCTGTACCCATCTCCAGAGTTCTATAGAGCAACTCCATCTCATTCACTACTCATACGTATACAGACACAACTTTCAATTCGATTGGAAATGTATACAGACAGACAACTAGTCTGTCAAGTTTCTGAAAAGAAACTTTCTTTTCGAGGCTTTTTAAGGATAAAGAGTATATATGGAGAACTATTCTCCTTTCTTAGTTGTAAAATTTCACCATCACGTAAAAACCCTGCACTAAAACTACGAACCGTATCTGTGAGACGTATCGTACTAAGTTGTAGTTTTTTATAGTTCTATAGAATGAACAAATAATAGAATTTTTACATTACCCGCAACCCATCGAAATAGGATTCGTGGGTTCTTTAGAGGTCACGACCTACAGTTTTACAAACATTTCCGTTTATTGATTGTTTGTTATTTTAAATCCAGATACATATACGCTATTTTACGTTCTATGGTTTTTTAATATACTAGTTATATGTATGTGTTAAGATTGAGGTCTGTAGGTACAATCCTGAATATAATATTAAGATATCGTTTGAGATAATTCTATTAAATCTGTCGTTACATAGTTGTACGCTGTCAGAAGGTTTAACATGACTACAAAGGATAGAGGTACCTATCTTTACATGAATAGACTATTGTTCATCTTTGCATAATAGACTGAGATGTTACATTTTAATTAAATTGGCAGAGTATGAAATATTATTTATATATGGTTACCCATTTATAAGCGCTAAATTAAAATATTCAGTTGCTAACATAATATGTATCTTTTAAGGTTTTTTATACTACGATGGCGTCAATCAATATACGATATACAATATACAATATACGGCCTATCTGTTGTTAGACGGTTACTGTAGTCTGTGAACTCCTAAAATATCAGAGGAGTCTCGCGTGAGCTACCGCGTGAATGCTTTGTGAATGGCATCGTCAAATTTGATTGGCACATATAATATATTATTTTATGATGTATAAAATATATTATTACCAAGTGTTAATAGCGTGTTCTGTCGCACAAAAATAGTAAATCTACTTTGAGAAATAGGAATTGTGTGATATTATCTATACATCTATACATATAAATGAAATTGGAGTGTCTGTTTGTAATATTGAAATAACTGTTCTCTACTGCATGGTACATACACCAAAAAAACTTTTTGTTAAATTGTTGTCTGTCTGTCTGTTTGTTCCGGCTAATCTCTGAAATGGCTGGGCCGATTTCGGCAGGATTTATTTGGCAGGTAGCTAATGTAATAAGTATTAACTTAGGCTACTTTTATTTTAGAAACATTATTCTATTTTCGAAAAATAAAGTATAATTCCACGCGGACGAAGATGCGGGTACAGCTAGTATACTATAATTATGTACATATGTGATATGGAATAAAAATAATTTAAGACATTATTCCGATGCTTATGGATCAAAGTGAATGAGGGTTTTTAGATTTAATAACTACTAATAATATTCGAGACAAATCTTAATTGAAATTGACAGATTTGTGATTAAACAAGATTCATTTGATAGAGCAGATATTAAAATAAATTCATAGATAAAAGAATATTACAAACTAAAACTAACTAAAGGCTATACCTAAGTAATAGCAGACTAGCAGCGTGGATTCACTACAACCATTGAGTAGTTGACAATTATGTCGGTTAATATCTAATAATTTTGTAAAGAAAAACTTATGTAGTAGATTTATGTAGTATTTGAGACAAAGATTATTATTAATAGTGTTTATGTTTCTTTTCTCTTCTTGCTTTTTTGGGTTAATTATTTTTATTAAGACAGTTGTTATTATTATTGCTTTAGATAATAATATTTTTACTTAATATCTACTACTTCACACATTGTTTTTATTCGCTGTCCGCTGCATTCCGCCCTAATAGGACCTCTGCAATTATATAGAACTGGGAAGAAAGTGTGTGGGCGCCGTGTTCCCTTATAAATGGCTAGCACTGCTCGTTTTCCAGACATATCTGCGATGTATTTTGAACTAATCTGACGTTGGTTTCTGTGTTATCAGTCTCAGTGTCCAACATTGGTTATTGGCAATAGAAATGAAATTCAGTCACCTATTTATGTTGTTGGCCGTGCTTTTATATTTGGTTATATCCGATGCTTATCCTTACCGAAGTGGAAATATAGATTATGTGAGTACATTTAAATAAATTAATATTAAATGATGCGATTTCTAACGTTGTGCTAAATAATCAGGCAAATTTAATATTGATTTCATTCTGTCTAGTTTGTTGTTCATTTATGGCTTTATAACGTGCTTGTAAAAAGCTGCGACAGTTATTAGCAGATATTATACAAATTTATCTCGATGTATTGACAAAATGTAGGTATGCTATATCTTTTTACTTATTATTTGTTGTATTTACTTATTAATTGTTGTTGTTTATTTTTCATATGTACCTAACATATGAAAAATAAATTGGTAAATTAAACTCTTTTAATTAAAATATTCCCCAGGAATGTAGGGATACTGTTAGTATTTATAATAAAGTTGAAAAGTAAATATGTGTATTTTTGAGTAGCTTCGATTATTTATTATTTAGGTACCATCGAAAATCTTCACTTTATTTTGGTGCGTGTAATAGCAACACGCCATGTTATACAATAGAACTTTTTTTGATAAAAATCAATATGTTTTTTAAATCAAAATATTTATTTGTTTAGTTAAACTCAAATTATATTTCAAGTTGATATGTAGATATATTTTCATGTAGATTCATGCAATAAAAGTTGAATCCGCACTATTTGTCTATCATTTTTCAACTTGAAAAGTGCATTCTTCAAGCGAGAAGAACTGACCAGATAGTCTCTTTAAAAATATTTTAATATAATAGATAGTCAATATGTAAAAATAGTTATTATATAATAACTATTTTTATCTTTTTTATGTCAGATGGAGGCTTTGCGGCGTATGCAGCAGGTACCCCAATGGCACTGCATGCGGTATCGACGGATCCAATTACATGGTCACTGTAGCCGATGGTTACTCATGAGAAGAACTTGACATACGGAAACTACTGGAAAAAGATACAGCTAATCTGTTTTTTAAATGAAGATTACACACTTTTATATGTGTGAATCACATCACATTATGGTAATCATAGATATCTAATATCGAGTAGATACAGTTTTGTACTAGTCGTGAACCTGATCTGCGAATTAGTTGGAAGAGAATTTTAATTTTTAAAAGACTTATATAATTAATTATCTTGAGATATTGTAGATGTAAATATTAGTGTTAGAAAGTTATAAAATAAATCGTGAAAATAACGAATAAATGAAGTAGTTTTGGATTGTTTTCTCTGAATATAATTTTATTTTCATTATAGATTTACAAAATAAAAATTAAATTATGATAGATATTAATAAATTAAATTGACGCCGAAATGATGACCAAACGCGGTGAAGCATCAATGAAAGATGAAATGAGGATTTAATGAGTTAATTAGTCTATATTATCAGACAGGATTGATTTTGTTGAAGAAGGGATTTCATATACCTAATATTTATTATGGTATGTAGGTTATAAGAAAACATAACGTCACTATAATCAATTATACCAATCAATCAATATTCAATATATATATATATATATATTTCTGTACATATCAATACTCCATAGTATTGATGTTGTGGTGGTGAACGCAACACTTGACATAGCTATATTTTGCTTTTAATATTTTCAATACAACGTGCGAGAGCGTGAGCCAACCGTGTAAATATAATATATCAATAACTTAAAAAAATGTAGTACCTTGATTCAATAAAATTATTTTTTTATATAGTACTAGCTACTCGCTCCGGCTTCGCACGGGTGTACATTTATTATTACATATATAAACTATCCTCTTGAATCACTCTATCTATTTAAAAAACCACTTCAAAATCCATTGCGTAGTTTTAAAGATTTAAGCATACATAGGGACTAGGGTTCATGATTTCTCGAGCTTTTCAATTTCTCGGGTCTCGAGAATTCTCGAGGTTAATTTCTCGGGTCTTCTCGGGTTGTCGAGAAATTTACTTTTACGTACGTTTTCTCATATTATTTGGTTCCAATAACGTCAAAAAACTCAGTGGTTTCATTTGAGACGAAAATCACTGCATTTTTTGTTAAATATTAAATATAAAATTTAACTATAAAATTAATTATAGAACTTTTATTGAGTAGGTATATTTAAAAACATTATACATATTATGAATAAGCCATTTTTTTTTTAAATACTGAAATATATTGGGTTTTACATATGAAATTAGCGTTTTGTCGTACTTGCCACTTTGATCTTAAATATCTCCTCTTTGGTTAGAAATTTCAATTTCAAATTTATACCGCTATTCACTCACGCATTTGTTTTTCGAAAACCGTAATACATATGCTTGGTTTTTTCTTTGGGTCACTCAGCTTACAAAATGGAAAACTTAAAATATAGCGTCATTTACAAGTACAAGTACGAGTTCTGCCATGGCACTAGTGCTGCAGAAACGACTCGATTAATGATGTGTATATGGTGGTGGTGTCGCAAGAAAACACAATGCATTTTTGGTTGCAACGTTTTCGTTCTGAAAATTTCGACCTGCAAAACAATCCCCGTGGGCGGCTGGAGTCCAAGGTTGGTAATGAAGAATTGAAGGCTATTATGATAGCAGATCCATCGCAAACCACGTCCGAGTTAGTTGCAGGTTGCGGTGTTAGTGACAAAACTGTATTAATCCACTTGTAGCAAATTGGGAGGGTGAAAAAGCTTAAAAGGTGGGTCCCTCATGAATTGAGTAGACAATTCGCGTTTCGATCGACAAACGCCCGTAGACTGCTGCGTTACATTAGTCAACCCGCATAATAATAAAGGGATTTTAATCGAATCATTACCTGTAATGATGTAGATCTTGTATGATAATTGGAAATGCTCATCGCAATGGCTGAACCCTGGCAAACCAACCAAATCCTGCCCTAAGCGAAAATTGACCCAAAAAAAGTTACTTGCGAGCGTTTAGTGGACTAGTTCCAGTGTTGTTCACATCAGCTTTCTTAAATCTGGCCAGATGATTACGGCAGATGTATGTTGTCAGCAATTGAGAAACCGTAATGAAAAAGCTAGCTGCTAAACAACCGAGGCTGGTCAATCGCCGTAGGCTACTGCTGCTTCAGGACAACGCTAGACCACACCCTGTACAACTGTCATTTACCAAATTAGAAGAGATTCAATTGTAATGTTTAAAACTTTACAATTGCTCCCCGGATCTTGCTCCAACAGATTACCATTTTTTTCGAAATTTGGATAACTGATTGGGAAAAAATTCAAATCCGATGGGGCAGTCCAAAGTCCAAAGATTTTATTGATTTGTCCAATGTTCCCGTTCCTGTTCAAATGTTTTTTTCAGTAAAGGGATCAATGAAGTACCTATGAGATGGCAAAAGTGCATAAATAGCAATGGTACATAGTTTGATTAAATAAACATGTTATATTTTGAAAAAAAATACTTCAGGTTACTCCCTTACAAAACACCACTTTCATATGTTAGGACCTAATATTATTCAGACTTATAATTATAATGACAGCACCATTTTTGACTGGTTATTTAGAAAAAATCTACCTTAAACTTGTAAACAAAAATAGTTTCTGTAAAACAAAAAAAAAATACATGAAAGAAAACCTTAATATCTTGTATTATTGCGCCGCCACGCAATACAACAAACGGCAATTTAATTTCTATATAGTTACTTGATTTCTCGAGTTCTCGACTTTTCTCGAGCTTGATTTCCCGGGAAATCGTTGTGTTTTGTTGATGAATGAACCCTAATAGGGACAGAGCGACAGAGACTTTATTTATACTATGTAATAATGATGATGATGATATTACAATGAAGTACTTCAATGAAGGCAAAAAAAAATATAACGATTACTTTTACCGTGTTTTGTTTCTAAGGATGTTAATACAAAGATATTTACTGTTACTTCAATTGTAACTGTTGGTTTCCTGTAATTAGGAACTAGGACAATCCAGAGCGTGGCAGAAAATGGACACGCAATCCGATATTCTTAATAACAGCTGTGACTCACAATTTCTATGTACATCGTATACCAAGTTATAATATTGCACGAAAATATTTTCACAATAATATAGGTATATTACGAATTCAACTGTAAAACTTGATATAAAAATTGATTAAATTCGTACCTAAATTAATATTAAGTAGCAATAACATGAAGAAAGTTAACCGCCTAAATACATAAAATCCTTTATAAGTAGATATTTATAATTTGTTAACTTCTCTATGGCAATGAGTGCCACGATTTACGTTGTGAAGTGAAATATCAAGCGAAAGGCTTCTGTATGTCACACAATGATATGTAGAATGACGCAACTTAAATAATTCCACGAATGCATTAGAATAATTTATTGAATCTTATTTAGATATAACTTTACCTATTTATATTTTCTTGTGCACAAACAAAATGTTACATAATTTGAATGAGAAAATGAAACTGACAAAATACGAGCGTAAAAATTGTACGAAATTCATTATATAAATTCATTAGTATCTTTTATTTATCTTTTTGTATATGTTATCATAAACGATAAGTTTCGAATTAATTACTCTACTGTTGTCGTACAATCTTTCCGTTTGTTTTTTTTTGTATTCCAAAATTAAAATTTTTGCCTATTTTTCTTTCTTGTCCAGGCAATATGAGGTTTGTTTTCTTATATCGTTTGTCCATTAAAATATTACTTATAAATCTAACTGCGAAATAGAAAATTAATTCTATAAAGCTAATCAAACTAGCTCCAACAAATAATCCAGTTGTACCACCAACAGACACTGCAAAAAGTACGTAATAATTACTACATTTAAAATAAAGTTATATTAAATTAGTTACTTAATACTTAATTCCTCTTACCGACTAGATCTAAACGACTTCGTACCACATTACGCTTGAATCGCTCAGCAGGTAAACGTGCTAATGAAATCTCAACTTCCGATTTCTTCTTCATAAATAAACGTTCTCTGAAAACGTAAGTCAAAAATTGTTATTCCATTTTTATTCAAGTATTTACAGTGCACAATGCACAGTATGCATTTCAAAAGACTCTTATATGTTATCAGATGGATAGCACAACTAGAGAAATATAAGCTTTCACGATGGGTTGTTAGTAATGAGTTAGCACCATACGGTCTCTGAAAATGCGCCATCTGACTACATCCTCCCCTAATGGTAAGATGAGAATTATCTACTTTTGTACCTTTAGGGTAGGCACAAGCATTAGTCTTTCGTCATCTTCCATAAATAGTATGCATGCAGTATGCTTAGTTTTTTAAACCACAACGGATTTTTTATATGGTTTGATTATAATTTCGAGAGTTTAATATTTTAATATACGTTTTATAATTAATATATGTATACAGTCTTACGACCACACTACCATACAATAAAAGAATATAAAGTGTCTATCTAATTGAGAATCTGTGACAATATGTATGTATCTATGAATATCTATTGATTGTAGTAGGTATATTTATATGAAACTATTGTTATAGAATACAATTTAATACATTTGCACACCGACAATGACTAAAACAACTTACGGGACAAATCCGTCTTTGATAACAGTAACTTCTGTTTCATCGCAAGAAGGTAAGCAGTTGCATACTTGTCCAGGCCTGGTGCTCCATGATGGTTTGAGGTTGGTGAGGCTGTCGCCATTTGTGTGGAGGCAAGCCATACCAGAAATGTTGCAGTAGTGGGTATCGGCTGCCAATATAAAAATAAAATATTGTAATTTGTTTTATTATCAACATTAATTGTTATTAACGAATAACATAATACTAAATAATGCATAAAACTTCTACAGAAATTGAGCTTAATGCAGTATGGTATTCTCTAGCATGCTACTTCTCTGTCATTAATCTTAATTCCTCTCTATATCTACAGCATATAATATTCTCTTATCTGTGCTAATATTAATAAAAATAAAATAAAATAACATTTACATGTTATTCATCAACAATTGTTTTCAAATTCACTATAAAATAAATTAATGAAATTGATCGGTAAAGTAACGTAATTGCTAACATACATTACATAAATATATGCCTATACAATTTCGCAATTGTGGCTGTACCTACTATTTGACAGCTGCTGTTGCCAACTATACACCGCGGCTTCTAAATGGTACTGTCAAATTATCATAAGGAAATCTCACATGTGGCAACAAAGAAGTGGTCGTGGCATCCACACAGACGGATCTGTGCTTGTTTTCGACATTGCGTTAGACATGCACTATAGGAGTAATGAGGATATAGGCTGTCTTGATTTTCCGAGTAGAATTGACAGGCTCGTTGTTTTGTCGTCGTATCTGCCACTAATGGGTCATTTTCAATATTATTTACTGCAACGAGACGCCTGGAATCATGATGAGGAAACATTACCGCTACATTATTAATACTAACAATATTTAATATTTAGTAACAAACGTTTTATATGAGGACATAATTTGTCTACTTAAGCACTTACTTAAAATTGAAAGCAACCAATTGCTACAACATATCTGCAAGTTATGATGTGCAAGACTTTACGTTTTTACATATGATTGTGTTTTCATAATAGATGCAGTTATATGTACCTATATAGTAACATTTTTAAACAACTGACCGGTATTTACGTCCAAGCTGGATTCTTAATGTAGTTGCACGTAGTGAAGTAACACTGGGAATTTCGTCTTCTCCTAAAGTATACATCTGAAAAATTAAAACATTTACGTTTATAGAAGTTTAGGATAAAATATTATGATATATTTAATGTTAATTAATATCGTTATACCATTGACGATAGTAATATATCAAACTTGATAGATCCTCTTTTCTCGGTGTAGTTGCATATCATTGGATAGGGATTTGTTTTTCTGAAAGTAAAGAAGAATGAAATAAATAAATTTTATCATATTTGTGCTGCTTATTTATGATGTATGTTAATTTTATGTATTGTTTCAAATTATTTAATAAAGAATACTATAATTTGTACATCTACTCTACATGAACTTATTGACTTGCGAAAACATTGCCGATATTATTAGGCTGGAAAGCGCTTTATATACAAAGTAGAGCCGTTAAAGTATGGTTATTTACTATATTTATTTTTCCAAGGATGTAATAGATAATCTTTATATATTATATGTGTATTTTAATGCAGTTTTAGCAATAGATTTATATAATAGATAATAATACATGCATAATACAGAAAATACGAGACAATCAAAGATATCGGCAGGCGGGTGGCTGGTATTGTATAAAGATAAATATTTAATTAAACACATACTCTGTTTGAATGGAGTTAATAACAAAGCATGATCCCACATCAGTTGGCATAAATAGAAAATATTCACAGCAGTCAAATGGTATGTTGTTATAAGAGCAATTTTGTATAATTCTGGGACAATCGCTGCGAACTAAGTTTGCGTAATAACTGTAATTCGACATCGGACATTTAGGGTCTGGTTTCTTTGTATTGTAACAAAGATCCACAAGATTGAAGCAGTATCCTCGGAAGTAAGCAATATCTTTTAATGCGTCCTCTAAATCCAAAAGGTGGTCGGCGGACCAAATTCTGAAAAGAAAACAATAATTATTATATTATAGCTACATATTAGAATAGGTACTCTAATATGCACATTATTTTATTATTTAAGTTTTTTATTATGTGACATGCAAACTAAATATGTAATTATTTATCTAGTAAATAATTCTTTTATAGAAATGTATGAATAAACTAACCAGTGCCCACTTTGTTGGACATTATACACTTTTACTTGTCAGTGACCTATCGCTGACAGTAGAAAATTATTGAAGTATGTATCTACCGATATCGCTATTCAATTAAGGGTTCATGGTAGAAAGTTGAAAATTTAGGGTTGTATGCATTTTTAATGCCGAACCATAAAAATATTCAGTGAAATATATCCAAAAAAAAAACAAAAATTGGTTTGAATCACTCTTATCACTTAGGGGTATGAAAAAGTTTACGTCTTACTCTCAGATCTATTTAATATATACACAAAAAATTATAAGAATCGGCCAAGCCTTTTCGGGCAAGTTTTGTTACAAACAAAACTCGCCCTGTTTGTTTGAGAATTTTGTGTATCGGATTGTTTGTGAGATCACTCGATTGTTCTTGGATATTACTTATATTTACAACAATAATTTAGTATACAGGTTGACATATAATAAAAATAAATAATTGAAACAAAGTAGGTACTTACTTATCGGCAACTTCAAAAATGCGATCATTATTTGACAATTCGCAAATAGCCACAGCCGGCATTTTAGTATTCCAGTCAATATAAGTAGTCTCTAAGCCGAAGCTAATAGGATTAAGAACGAAATCATTCCAAGCCGCGATGATTAGCACGGCAGACCCGTACCATCCCAGGAACACTAATACTCCCCAAATACATCTGGAAACATATTAATATACTTTATCAATTTTATTTTGCAGCTACCCGCTAACGTACTATCGTCATATGTATATCAATATTGAGTCAAAATCAAATTAAATCAAAATATATTTATTCGGTTGGTTACCTACCACTTATGTATTATTATGTAGTATTATGTTATCTGTGGTATTATTAAACTTTTTAAAGTCGTGTACAATCGTACTAATTCTGATATTGACCCGTAAGTACGGGCACGATCATTTGGATTTTTAAATGAAATCACACACATACACACTTTATAATCATCAACACTGATGAATCTTTAGGTCAGTAGTAAGGTCAGCAGATAGGTTATCCGCAAGTCATTATGAAGTGACCTCCCACGAATAGTGGAAAATACCTACCTACTAATATTTGATGATTATCCGAAATATTAAAATTTTAACGAATATGTTGATCTATATCAGTATGTAATATTGTCCTATCTATGATATCAGTAAAGGAAGGCCGCGTGACATTGCTTTTTTTATTTGTTGCTAGAAATCTACTGTCAGGTTGATTTCCACATATTTAGTTTCCCTGAAAATCATCGTTGTGAATTTAAAGTAAAATCGCCATTATACGTTCTCTAACTTAACGTAAAAGTGATACACTGGTACGCCAGCGTATAGTGAGATATTTATAGATAGCGTATTCTATGGCCCCATAAGGAAAGTTGTTAAATTGTAACCATTGGTGAATTTCGTGTTGTCACAACATTATATTCTATAGCGCTGTATGAACTTACCTCTCGAACCAATGTTTTGTATCATCAGCTATAAAACGCACTCCAGCAAAACTGCAGTTTGCGCAATAATCTTTTATAAGAGCTTTGCAAGTGTGTGGCATGTCCAGGCTTTGTAATGTAATGGTAGCGAAAATTATTTATGGTAGGCAATCCTAGCTTGCACACAACATGACTCATGCTTCATATTGTACAAGCATTATAAATATTTAATGCAATAATGAGTAACAGACACAATGTCGTGATTATGCAGCGTGACGAATACCTAACATTCAAGGTTACATAGCAATAAAACACAAATGGCATTTAACACATTTAATATGCACTTAAAATATATCAAAATGAAATGAGGCAGTTACTCGTAAGTACATAATTTTATTTATTTATTAACTTTATTATTATATATTAACTTTAACGCACATAATACAATATTACATTTGGAGCGCTTAACACCGTACGGAATTTTCTCACCATAAATATTGCAGAGAATAATTAATTATTATAAATTTATTTCTTTTTTCTTTAAATTAAATAGCTTGAATTTTGACAACAGAACACTGATATGTACATTTTGTAATATTTCATATATTAATGAATTAAGTAACCTAGCAATACTTATTTACAAAGCATAGCAACATCGGGCCTAAAATCTAATAGCTTCCATTCACTAGGATTCACAATCTCATAACTCAATAATTATCACTTTAATAGTTTATAATTTACAAACATAATAATGAGAAATTATTATAAATAATCACATACTAATTTATTAATTATTATAACATGTTTATAGTACCTACAAAGTTAGACCAAATTAAATTATTTTTTTATTCATAAAAATAAGTCATTGGTTACATTGCTTTGTATTGTATTAAATTATGGTGTCATGATAATGCTTTTTCTTAATTTATTTAAAGGGGATTGTTTAACTAAATTGTAAGTTTATGACATAGTATTCAATGAACACTTTGACTGTATATTTAACATAATTACTATTATACAAACGTATCACATTAAGTTATAAATGCTGTAGTACATCAGGACTGGACAGTAAGAAATGTTCGTCAAACTGTTGTTGATGTGGAACATGCGGTTGACTTTGCGAATGTATTGATTTCGGGTGTTTCTGGTGTCGATGGTGTGGCACTTCTGGTGGTCTATGGAACTGGTTCCTGGAGATGAGGCCTGCGTGTGTGAGAATGTTATATATCTCTCTACGAGATACATCGTCGGCTTCGCGTTCATGTACCTAAGAAACAAACATCCGTCTATAAAATTAAACATATTTGTAGATCTACTGAGTGGCAGCGAATTAAAAAGATATTTACTTATTCAGGACCCGATTATGATAGTTACTTTGACATTGAATATAGAGATTTTGATTTATTATACAGATCTTTAAGTAGTAATTTCAACTACTGCAGCTGTAGCAACAGCGTGTAGTGTAGGATAAAGACTTATCCTTGGCGGCGTCACTCATTAATCTGACAATAAAGTATTAGTCACATAACTTCAATTCAAGGCCGTCAACGTCTATGTTCGTAAATTTTATTACAATTTTAATTTGGTAGTAAGTAAGTAATGAAGTCTCTCGACTTGAGACGTTAGTGTCACGAGAACATAATGATTGACTGCTTTAAAAATTGTAAGTATAGTTCAATATTCAATCTTACCAATTTCTCTCCTTTGTGTAGTAGACTAGTTAAAGAAAGTAACTTTAGTAGGTGAGGATTTTGTAACGCCCGGCTTCTCATGTAAGGCGGCAGTTGTCTCTCTTCTTGTAGCACTTGGACTACAGCAGGGTGAGGGGGTGGCAAGCAGTTTACCAAGTGCAACCCCATCAATATCAACAGCGTACGTCGCATGGTAATGAAACGATACGTATCTGAGAACATATATCATAAAATTTAAGTGGACCAAAAAACTTAATTATTTAATATTCATCTTCATCATCATTCATTCTCATAATATCATTTAGGGTTGGTGTAATATGTTTTTCTGTTGCAATAATTTCTACAATCTTTCTATATGCAATCTCTCTGTTGCATATACTGTAGAAATTAATGAAATAAAATATATAGGAATATTCTAGTTTTATTATTATATTTCACATGGAATTATTTAAGATTTTTTTCAATCTACCTACATATTATGTTATATGTTATTCCGATCCCTTTACCGTGAAAAGGACGAGAAGTTTCATTGTGAAGGGAGAGACTTGCATAACATATTTTCCTTCACATAATTTCATAACTCATTCACTATTTCGATAGATTAGAAATGAATCAACCCGACAGAAAAGAGTAAACGTAATTAGGTATATATATAACTGTAATCACAGTAATCACTAGTTTTAGTGAGTAAATATGTATAGGAACAACAACATAGAGTCACTAAAACTCTATAACGTTGGAAGAACGACGTTTTTGTTTTAAACAATCATATTATAATAAATTGTAATCACATTTGTCAACTGATTCTTATTAACAAATGTAATAACATTGACAGTAAAGAATAGGTCTATTAGACGAACACCAAACTGACACAATCCCAGACAATGTTTAAGCATTCAACATGTTGGTAGTGTTGCAATAGAGTTGATAACCCGAATTATCCACTTAGCTTGATGTTTGATGTAGGTAATCAGATCACGCCTTAAATTTAGGACCCATGTGAGATATATGTTTATTACTCATTGTGTACTTTTCAGTAATGGATTATGAGATATGTAGATACTATGAATTGTAACGAATATATATTAATACAAAAATTAGTAATTATATATTGTTGTATTAATATTGCTGACTTGACATGAAATACCCAAATTCAGTAGTTCATATCTCTCAACTGTTTTCAACTAATTGATATATAGTAGGTATTTATAAAATACCAACTACTTTCAATAGATTTTCTTGGTAACTGACGTTTGTATTCGTAGTGCGTGAGTTTGCTTTACCGAGGGACTAAGATGTCGTAATTTCTCTGTGGACTGTAACTACGATAGTAATTGCCTGCGCGGCACTAAACTTTCGTATATCTTTTCTTGGTAGATGTCTTCGATATACAATAAACATATTTTACACATTTCAGCATTTTGTAACGCACAACTAAAACTAAACTAGGTAAGTTTAGTTTTAGTTGTGCGTTACAAATATAAAGCGATTTAGATTATTGTTTGACAATACAATGTTTAAATATATAAATAGATATGCACATCTACGCCCTCGGTCTAACATGAATTTTCAAATAACAATTCTCAACATAAAATTACATTTATTTTGGTTTATAGTACGACATATTTCATCTTAAATATATAAAATTCTCGTGTCACAGTTTTCGTTCCCATACTCCTCCGAAACGGCTTGACCGATTCTCATAAAATTTTGTGAGCGTATTGAGTAGGTCTGAGAACCGGCCAACATCTATTTTTCATCCCCCTAAATGTTAGGGGTAGTCCACCCCTAATTTTTTTTTTATTTTAAGGCAAAAGAACATTTGCCGGGACAGCTAGTATTATTATAAGATTTATTTTCACACTTTTTCAAGTTTGAGGTTATCTAAGGATTACACGTAACTTATCAGTTTCAATAAAAGTGCATTCCAAGGTTTTACAAGAATTGCATAATTGCATAATGAGAGCATTAAATAATTAAAAATTAAGTTAACAAAGAATGTAGAATTGCTACATTAGAATATCATCTGTCATATATTATATCTATTCGTAAAGAAGTATTTTTAATTTCTGGTATCTACGATGCATTTTAGTATCTAGGTATTTCGTTATCCTCTTTAGCCTAGAAAATGACTACTTGACATAGATAAAAAGGCATATACCTTTTTTAAAACTGCATATTTTGCTTGAATAATCACTAGTAAGATGTTGATGAGTTGAATCAAGAAGTTGTCTTGTGAGCTAGTGAGTGTGACATAACCATGGAAATTAGAAGGTCATCGTTTATCGCGGAGAGTCGAGCGCGGTGCGCTGATGAATGTATGGTGTGTAAGTGGCTCGGACAATGGCTCTAGTCCCCAAGGTCACGATGGATCCCAAAACAAAACACACTTCGAAATCAACAAACACGCCGCTAAATATTGGTCAATACCAAGTACTCACGAACATTACTAAGTACACATTAATTTAATACAAGAGCTCTCATGTACGATCCTTGTATACTGCATAATAACATCAGGTTACATGCCATACTCCCGTATATTACGTACATAAATGGTGTTAACAAATTTGAAATTTTATTTTGAAGAAACTTGTTTTATATGTAAACTAGCTACTCGGCCCGGCTGTACATGTATTATATATACATATAAACCTTCCTCTTGAATCACTCTATCTATTAAAAAAAAAGCGAATTATTATCAGTTTCGTTGTTTTAAAGATTTACCTAAGCATACAGCGACAGCGACTTTATTTTATACTATATAATAATGATGATGATATTATATTTTAGGTTTTCGGTAAAGAATTTGCGGAATTGAAGACATATTATGAAATAAATTGATCTCGATCTCGATCGATGATGTAGACAATAATGATACACTGCTACATTATATAATGTGAACCATTGACATAATGGTGTTCGTAATATGTAGGCAGATATTATTTTTCCATAGCTAATAACAAAATCGGTAAATATCTAACTCACGTAATACTGATGTTTTGTTGAATAGGTATCTATTTTACATACCGATCGGACAAGATTCGAACTTGCATATTAGGTAGGTTTGTATTTAATATTTATGTATAATTCGACTGTTAGATGTACATATTATGGTTTTATATGTTAAGTTCAGTGAACTGTGTTATATTCGACAATTAGAGTCTAATGCACATGCATACTCGTACGTAAACAATTGAATATTTCAAAAATAATAAATTAGAAAAAAAATATATAGCTTAAGAGTTGTAAAATATTTAGAGCGAAATTTATAAATAGGGTGAGCCTATTAGATAAATACATATTCGAAAAATCTAATAAAAATAATAATAATAATAAAATCTAATTCTCGTAAGATAAACTACGTAGGTACAGCTGAGTCTATACTCATAATAATAGGAAATATTTTAAAAAGGAACTTACTTAGAGTGTGCTAATGAATGAAAGATAAAAAATTTTGTGGCATAACTAGATTAGGTATATAGTCATCATAAAAATAAGAATAACAGTATTGAGGATGTGAAGTGTAGATACATAGTTTATCACTATAAAATATCTTATTGTAGCGTTCGGTCAAACATCTAATTTCCCTTCTCTCTTTTCTTTTTAATTTATTTAGGTCAACAAACAGTTTCACATTTTATAATATTTTTAGCGAATGTGTCAGCCACTACGTTAACCACTAATTACTGTAATTATAATATGCTGCTTAAGATACGTTACGTTACAGATCTCACGTATTACTAACTACTACTACCTATAGTTATACTTGATTAGACTAGATCGTAATATACATAACAATTTTCATAAGATTAAATAAAATAAAAAAAAGAAATCATAGGAACCTTACCAGGTATAATATAATCAATCCGTTTTGAGCGTTAACTTATATATAACTTATGCACACACTGAATTCTTAGACAATAACTTATCACTTGGTAATTTAATTTCTCAATAAATTATTTAATTTTACTTGTAAATAGAGGTTGTTGTTATGGAGTATGGTTGCTTAGTGTTTGTATAGAGAAGCGGCGTCAAAGAGAGCGGTTGACGATGCCACCACCACCTCACGTGTTGCGATAACAGAATGTTCTACAACCAATTTTGCTGATGTTGTTTAGCAAGATATTTTGCAGTAAAAAAATATTGCTAATATAGTTTAATTGTGTTATAAATGAAAACAATAAATTTAAATAAAAATAAAATATTAATGTACATAAGTTAATATTTTTCAGAAGAGGTCTATCTATCTTATAAATCTGAGGGTATATGTAACGGTATCCCATAAATCACTCTCAATTGGGTGGAATTATTATATTAAAATGTCAACCGGTCAATCTACTGATGAACAAAAACTTCCCCCACTAATCGGTCTAAGAAATGGCACTTAACCATTGGTAACTGGTCTCAAGTGCAAGTGGTTTCATTGATAAATGTCAGCTCTACTTCACTCCAAACGACTAAATTCTTCATCATCACAGATAACACAATATTACGTAGGTACTATCATCTTCTATTAGTACCCCGCCCGCGAATACAGTTAGCGAAGGCGGAAGTATTATTCATTATCCATTAAAAAAATCTGCACCAATTCAACTAAGTACGTTTTTATCTATGTATGGCATTTGATTATTTATAGCATAATAACACGTTGACATTTACGTTACGTGCAGCAGGGTCTGCTTACCTGATCGAAGTTACAGCAATTTTCAAATAATCAGTATTAGATTATAATAGATAGTACTATTAAAAACATTACTAGATATGTAAAAATGAGTACGTGAATTGTTAATTACGTAAAAGCAATATTAGAACTGACTAGCAAATATACAACGTTACAAGTTGCATTATATATATGTGAAATAAATTAGTGTAATATTCATTGGATTTACTTATTACGGTACAATTTTCAAAATTTTAGCTTAGGAAAATACTATAATTGTGCGTATAAACTCTTTTAATGAAATTATAAATTTACGATGCAAAATAGTTAAGATTAATGCTATGGTTTTTTGCGTGTTTCATTTCAAAGTAAACCTAGTGTTAAAAACATTACTAGATATGTAAAAATGAGTACGTGAATTGTTAATTACGTAAAAGCAATATTAGAACTGACTGTGCATTATATATATGTGAAAAAATTAGTGTAATATTCACTATTCTCTTTATTATTTATTTCATTTAAAAACACCGATAAATATAATTTAATTTTTTTGACAGTCTTATGCTTCTTTATAAAATAGAAGAAGATTATCTCAGCCTACGTTTAGAATGACTGTGAAATTTATAAATTACAACATTGTGAAAAAAGGTCAATGTTTAAACAATTTTATTGTCTTATAATGGACATGAGTTTGCGCAAATCTGGACGGATAAACTCGTAGTAATGGAAGAAATAAATAAGCACAAGTACTCAAGTCTCTACGCCTTACAAGAATGTACTAAATTGCAATAATATGACTTAGCTGTGCATACGTATTTGTAACTACTGTGATTGAGTGAATACAGATTGTGTTACATCAGGAGCAGACGGGAAAGGATTTTGCATAACTTTATTATTAGTACGGATTTAACTATTACCTACCTGAATGCTGATTGTCAACAAGAACAGCTATAACAATGTGATAATTATTGTGAATGTCGAACTTACGGTAGGTATACTTAATTATAAGTAATCTTGTTACTGTGTTAACTGTTACACGACGAATTTTACGATATTGCGCTTGAAATTTCTGAGTACATAAGATTGTACTATTTTATTTTTAACGATGCTTATCAACACATATAAGTAGCAATTATTACGGTAAATTAATTTCTCATATGAAATTAATACCCGCAATACATAATACATATTTTATGTACTTACGAAAGCCTACGATTGAAATTTCTAAAAGACGTACTTCAGCGCATAGACATGTTGGTTTTACGATACACTTAGGACAAAGAGAACTGCGAAAGTGATGTACAATTGTCTAATTTATTAGAACTATTCTGGTTATGATATCAAATTATGTCGACACCAAAAATATAGTGTGTCAATTTAAATGACTCACCTGACTAACTCTCTAGTGATGAATGACATATTTAAGAAATTAAATTATTCCTAAAGAAAGGAGTATGGTCGCGCATGTCATGTTGTGTTCAAATATTCAAGACGAAATGTGGGCATATGGAGTATTGCATTCACCACAACTTTCACAGCCGACTACGACGACCTATCTGAAATTGTCTATAATTGTATGTATATTGTGTGAGAATGTGATTCTTACATAAATATTTATATAAAGGTATGATTTTTTTTTATATTTTATACTAGATGACCCGCGCAACGTGGTCTGCAGCACATTTACTTGATATTTATCATTATATTTCGCCCTATTCACATATTATCTTTTTAAATCATAGTCTATATGTTAATGTGGTGTATAAGTTATATTACGGTAAAGTTTCACCAAAATCGGTTCAGTAGTTTTTGTGTGAAAGAGTAACAAACAACCAGCCATACTAACAAATTTTCGCGTTTATAATATTAGTAAGATTCTGTAAATCATCTGCATTAAACCCTTATAACTACCTACTCGTATCAATTGTAAAGTAAGACAACTATAAAGATTTCCTAAAATAGTATTAAATGTTCTTTCATTGAACTTTGAACTAACGTACTTACATTCACATAATCCGGTACAACACCATAACGTAACAGAATAATTCCAAGTTAGCTACGTATCTACCTATGCTGCAGTCTCATAAACGCAAGTTATAAGTGAATGTGGGTGTTGTCCGAGATGGCCAGATAGTTTGGCAATGTTGTTTTGTAATCACTGATGGCAGTTGCCGGCGGATCATGTGATCGCTTTTACACAGCAGTCTATAAATAAACAGCAAAGGTGGCTTCATTTCGATTTAGTTTCGTATAATATTTGCATTTATGGGCTTTTGCCTGCATTTATATAATATAATCCGGTCCATACAAGTTTTCTCAGATCAGTTGTGCTAACTTTATGTATTTAGGTGTCTATTATGTGTATAAAGTAGATGTGATAAGGTCAGCAAAATGAGTTTAATATCTTCACAGAGAGTTCTTCCATAAGTCTTTATACATATAAAGTGGCTTCTTCTAATTGATTTGTCAATGTATTAGTTATTTAGTTGGTTACTAGCGACCCGCCCTGGCTTCGCACGGGTGCAGTGCTAATACTAAATATACCTACCTATTACAGGATGTCCTTATAAACAACGTTTACAGCTTTTTTGTCATTATCAATACTTTGTGAAGGAAATATAAAAATAATTGTATGCAGGTACCTACTTAGTAGGTACTATAAAAATAAGCCACAGTAATTTAAAACTTATTTTATAATACTCATGTGTGTGTGTGTGGGGGGGGGGGGGGAATGGGTATTAGATATGTGTTAATAATAGCTAGATATAGATATAATATACTTACCTACGATATATCTAATTGTCAGTCAAAGAGAATGAATTATTAATTGTTTTACTTTAGATATAAATAATAAATTAATGTGTCTAATCATGTTTATTTTATACAGAAAATTGTACTTTCTAATGACATAGACTTGTTCTAAATGTTCACAATAGCACGAGAGAAAACAATTAATCAAAGCCTATTCACAATTTTAATGTATGTTTGTTTCAATAAGTAAAAAATAGATTACCGATCTTAATGACTGTCATTTATATACATATACTCGTGTATGAGAATACCTGTATAAGTGTAGAAAGGTGTTCCCTTCATATGTAGCGCAATATGAATAAAATTCCCCAAACTAAAACGCTGCATAACCCGCATTTTTTTGGCCACAGAACTCGTTTTAAAAGAGAGAAACCAGACGCTACAAAATTCCAGATCTTCAAGCAGAGTTTTAAAACAATTACAAGAGAATATTGTGCAGAATCGTCTATTTGTGGCTTAAAACATCTCGTTGACAGTGATACACCGCCTATAGAGAGGTACGTATGTACGTATGGTTTCGAAAAGTATATTTCATTATTTCGTGTAATAACCTACCTGTATGGCAACTTTTGAACTTGTTTTCTTTCACTGATGGCTTAGTCTCTTTTTACGCAATTACCTACTACAAGCTCGAGATTACGTCACTCCGTTGCTGTTCTATCTTGAGTACAAATAACTTTGTTCGAAGTGTTCACATTGATTATGATGTATTGTTGCATTGTTACGCTTCTGTTATGCAGTTCGAGTAATACACATTTTTTTAACAACGATGAATGCCGGTATATTTCTATATATGTTCATTTGATCCATCATAACTTCTGAACTATATAGGTATATCTGATAACGTTACAAATGATGTATGTATCATTGGAAGAGTTTTAACTCACTGGTAGTTTATGCAAGGTCACATTAATAAGGGCGAGTAATATTTAGGCTATTGTGCTTTCCTGGCTATTGCCCTCCAATAACAAAAGTCACATTAACAGAAAGTAATTGGCGCCTTCTAAAGGACACAAGAACTCTCATACTTTTTAACTCGTAATTTTAAGTGAGACGTGATATATTTTTATTTACCTTTTATTACAGAATTATATGGATTATTGTATTGATCGGTGCTTTAGTGTGCTCTGTGTCCTTAGTATGGGAAACTTTTGATAAGTACTATAGAGCTCCACTCGTCACCACTCAGATGCCCGAAGGAATACCAGTGAATACTATTATATTTCCAGCCGTTGGAATTTGTACCACAAATAGAATTAGCAAGCAAGCTGTTGTCGCTTTGGCGAAGGAACTGTACGTAATATTCATTACTTTTATACATGTAATAAAAATATAGTTGATAGTTGTCTGCACATAGAAGATATATGAAAGCAACGTAAAAGAACCAAAAACAATTATTGTTTGAATTTTTGTGTGTACGTTTGTGCGTTTGTATGAGCTAATTTTTCTATCTCTATACTTAACTAATTTGGGTGTTTAAGCTTCACTTTTAAATGAACAACACAACATTATAATGTTGTGTTCGTTCTATTCCATTCGATTAATAAACAAACTAACTCATAGACCCGCGCAACTTCATCTACAACACTTACTTAACAATTGTGTTATATGCCTATGTGTTATTCTGATGTATAAGCTATATTACTATTGAGTTTCATCAAAATTTAGTAACAAACATCTATGCTTCCGTAAACAAAAAAACGGTTACGAAGTCGCAGAATACATAGGATCGAAAATCGTTGACTACATCCTAGTAAAAACTAACCAATTATTGAAATAAGTGTAATTTACAATTTTATTACTACTGTAATTTACAACACGATATTGAATTAATGTGTTTTATTGCATTGCTCAATAACTAAGATCGTTTTAATGGATTGCCATTATAATGAAGTTTTTCCTCATGAGTTGCAGCTTCTCAGGGTAGAATAGTGGCCAAATAGTGTAGTGAATAGGGCTGTACTATAACAGACTGCCGTCATAATAATACGTGGCCTACCCACATTAGATACCTAATGTTGTAAATCATAATACGAGTATACGGATGCATTACGAAATCTTTGAATTTCTCTGCTTATACTATACTATAACACGTATGTATTCTATTATAAATTCCCATTATTAAGTAAATGCCCTATTGTTAAAAACTGCATTAACGTCTGTTAAGTAATTTAAAAGTTATCAGCGAAAGTCAGAGGCAGCGACTTTGTTCGACGCCGCCTTCCTTCAGATAATCGCGGGTTCTATTCCTCGCACGATACAAACTTTTGTGTTCATGACTATAATTATAATTTGTAATAGTATCAGTTGTATAGTAAACACAACTCAATCTCTTCTCAGTTTGAATTGTCCCGGGTCGTTATTATACTACTACATTATTTGTATTACAGTATAAAATCTGAACGTAACAAGAAATATAGCGAACAAGCAATGCTATCTCTGCTATATGGACTAGGTCAGCTGTATGACTTGCAACCTATTAATGAGGACAGTGTTCCAGCTTCTGAACTACATCTCGCTTTGGGCAAATATGACGTCCACGAATTAATAAGAAGAGTATGTTTTCTACTTTACTTTCTAAAAATGTATACGTATCAGTAATAGCGAATAAAATGTTTGCGAGGTATAGTTGGTAAGAAGTCCATGTTACTTCAGTCTCTGTCAGTGGTAGCATATTCTCTTATCTGTGGTGGTAGGTACGGTCTGATTCCGTTGAAGAATAACTGAATGAAATTATATTATAAGAGTTCATATCAATATCATGATACCATGCTTCTCAAGCGAGATGTAACGGCGTGATGTTCATAGTACTAGTGTGTATACACGACACTAGTGTTACCACCTACCATCAGATGAGATGTCTGCTAGTTTGCCATTCCAATTACGTACAAGATAAAATAGTGCGTTAAATGCACTTTTTTAACCCTAATTAAAGTATATCGGTTGTGCGCACTTAGTCAACTTATACATATCATCATCATTTTATCATCTAATTAATTATTAGTAGAATCTATAAAAAGTAATTTTCAGTTAACGCCTAGTTGCGAAGATCTACTAAGAAGATGTTCATGGAATGACGAACCGAGAAATTGCTCAGAACTGTTCGACTTTCGTCTCACTATGAACGGCTATTGCTGCACTTTCAACTATCTTAGACAATCAGATAGCGAGTTCGAAAAGTTAGTTTTAATGTCAATAATTCACATTTCTTATTGATGTTTCATTACACTATCTAATGCATTCTATTTAAACATTAATGCCAAACATATTAACGTATCTCTGTGTAAATTTAAAATAATTATGTCAGTCCGACAATTAGAGAATTTGAAGAGTACCTACAAAGTATAAAGATAAGTATACATAAGTTATGATTTATGCTTTACATTTTTTCTTATACCTAATTAATTTATGTACAGCCAAAAATGTATAATTAGAATGCGTCATATTTAAAATTATTCTCTCGTGGAACAGATAAGTAATTGGTTCGAAGTCTTATATTTCGTTTCAGAAAATCTTTTGTTTATGGAGAGCATGTCTCTAAATTTTGCAGTTGCTGTTTTCGTGTTTACTTTTCGATATACTTTTCGTAGCGTTATTTTTATTGATATTAATTTTTTTCAGTTTAAATGGCACGGCACGCAGCATCGACATGTATAATTATGGCAACAAATCTGCATTCGATTACGAGGAGGGACTGAAAGTGTTAATGTATCTAAATGATAGTGATGACTTCTTTCGCAATATGCCAGTACAAGGAGCTCAGGCATAACTTCATATATTATGTTATATAGGGTTATTGTTATACATATATTTATTTAGCTTATTTTTCAGGTGCAGTTTTCTGATGCTTATGATTTTCCAGACGCGCCCAGTGGCAGTTTTGCAATGCAGATTGTTAGACCCAACGTTCAGGTGAAGTATTGGGGTAACTGACATGTAGACTATATTAATATGTTTTTTTTAGTATGGTGTTATTTTGTGTAGTTTATGTTGCATTGCGAGCGCTATTTCCGAACTCTATTAATTGCCTCATAATGACATGTTTAGCGGCGAAACATTAAACAATAATGTCGGAAAATTATCACTAATAAGGATAGTTATATAATAGCATTAGAAACAATCATACTCATGAATACAAATGTTTGTACCTTGAAACACATAGAATCTGCGACCATCGGAAGTATGTGTCTATAATGTTATTAATTCATGTATTTTATTCCAATTATAGATGACAATAATGGTAGAGCCATCTTTTACAACGGCATCTCGAGATATAAGCCATGTTCCAGTAAAACTTAGAGGGTGTTTGTTTTACGACGAATCAACATATTTGCCGTTTTATACTCACAGCGACTGTATGCTGAAATGTCGCATGTTGTTTCTACTTGGCAAATGTAACTGCACTCCATTTAATATGTTGAAAATGGCGCACACACGAACATGTGATATGAGAGATGTGGCATGTTTAAGACGTTATTATGGTACATGATATTTGAAACTAAGTATTATAATTACCTAAAATAATATGTTAACAACAAATCAATATAATATAAGTTAGTGACTTAAAATTTGGCATAGTTAAGACTAAGCTTCTTATAAAAAATATGTACTATAATATATTTTCTTTGCTAGCTTTGACATGAGGGTTTTCTTAAAAATATTTTTTTGAATCTTTTATTTTAGATTTAGATAGTGTAGTTTCATGTGGTCAAACGTTATTTGTGTATTGATAGAATCAGATATGGAGAAAAAAAATTATGGTGATAATTGAGTATTTACTGTTACCTATTGCTACATACAAATATCTATAATAAATTAATTAATGATAACACTGCGGCTATACAACAACAATTTATTCATTTTAGCGCAGTCGATAACTATACGACCTGAAATTGAATCGCCTCCACCTGAACTGGAATTGGAGCTAGTTGGAGGCGGCATATCGTGTCCCATGTGTTTTCCCACATGCTCAAAGACTGCCTATAACTACGATTTTATAAATGTAAACATTCACCCCGACAATCTCAATACAGTACCTGACGGCGACAGAGATTTGTGGCTGTGAGTAATTTGATCGCTATAATAACTTATTCTATAATATTACTGTGAATTTTCATGTTTCCATCTGACGACAAAGGACGTATCATAACATGAGGTTTAATGTAAATGAAAGATGGTAACTGTTTTCCTTAGTACACATTACATGTGTATGTATACTTGTTATTCATAATCTCATAGCTTTTATTTGAAATACAGATGATTTAATTTTGTTTTACTTATGTAAATAAAAAGTCAGTTTTTTTATTATCAACTAAGCACTATTTATTACAAAAAGTATTACAAATTATAAAAGTTTTAAGAATATTTATCGACGTATCTCAAAAGCTCTAAAAGCGCAACTGTTTATTGATCCCTCATTTCTAAATGCAGCTTTTTCAATTTTCGATTTAGGGCTTCCGATTTTTTGTAACCATATTTTCATGTCATCAATTGCATTCTGAGGACCTTGGAGTTGTCCGATAACGGTACCTTGAGCAGTATTCATTACCCATCTTTTAAGTCCAAGTTCAGTTGCTTTTCTTTCCGTGTACTTTCTGAAGTAGACACCTTGCACTTTACCGAATACTTCGAAGTCTGCAGTAGTTAGATCATATTGTCTGTTTGCACTAGCCATTTTTATCTAAATCTTAGTTAAACAATTTTACACCAACATTGAATTGATATTTATATTTTGACATGTCGTTTCGTCGTTGAGGATACGAATACAAATAGTAAATTGAAAATAGTTGTAACTATGGAGGTTGTGATATCGATTCAACGTCTTAAAGTAACTTGGTCTATTTCGCTGCGTAAATAGATCATTACATTCTAGTATTTATGTTTACGTTTTAAGACTTTAACATTAATGGAGAGATTTTGTATAAAATCAGAATGGGATTTATACAACAGTATAATTTTATTACCCATTAAAATAATTTCGTCGTCGACTCTAATCGACTTTAATCGTGTGTAAAAAAAATAATGAGAAGGAAATCGATTGAAAAAGAAAATTGTTAAAATAGACAATTTTACCGAATATGTCCCTCGGCAAATAAAAATCTCTATGCTTTCCATTTTTATAAAAAATTTAGGTAGTGTAGTGTAGGGCCAAACGAATAATAATTGTTACAGACGAGGTGCTAATTTCACCGGAACATCGATGGTACATGTGAAGTATTCAAGAGAAACTGTCGACTTCTTCAGACAGAGTGTTATCATGAAGTGGTTTGACTTGTTTAGTAAGTATCTATGACACTATTTATCATATTATCCGCTATTAGGTACTTGAATAGTACTTTCCATTAATCTAAGAGATGTTTTCGGTTTAAATAAATATTTTTTTTCTTTCTCTTCAGACGTCCTCATTATTATTAAATATTTTACCGACTATAATTTCGTTGTTTACCTGATTGGAAATTAGTGCAATTATCATTTTATAAAATAAACGAAATTATCTTTTCAGGTGATATGGGATCCACGTGTGGTTTTGTTACTGGTTTCAGCTTCGTGTCTGTCCTAGAGTTTCTTTATTTTTTCACAGTCAAATTATCAAGAGAATATAATGCGAGACGTAAAGAAATCTTCTTTATTAAAACACGAAAAAGAAATACTGTATTCACTGTGAATTCGGAATTTGAGCCTGTCGGTCGCTATAGGGCGATATATTGGAATGAATTAACAGGACCGATCTATTACAAAAAGGAAAGTAGAATCACAAAAAAATAATAAATATTGCTCAGATGTTTAGGTAGGTAATAGACCGAACTACCTTCAAGGTTTCCCCGGATATCAAAAAGATATAGTACTAGCTAATTGAATATTTTATGTTCCAACAAATCGATCGAACGATTTTATGTGTCGATCGATCTAAAAAAATAACACTAAATAGAAACTGATCATTTTAACATTCCTTCAGTCAGTTTTATTTCAATTTGAATTCGATACTCCTGGTATGCTATAACTAGTTAGTTACTAAAGTATACAGAATATAAATAAATAAAAATTACTATGATCCCTAATTCATGTATATTCTACTCTATATTCTCTATATTAATACTCTGTATTTACAACACATTTCTAGACTATTCTCTAACAGACTTGCAATATACGGACTTTCAAATATATTTTACAATTTTATTATATGTGCCTAATTATGTACATTATCTTTTTGTAATATCTAAATACTTAATTGTTGAACTAAAACAAATATCATATCAGCTAAATCGAACACTCGATAATTCTCACGGTGATTAGGATCTCTATTATATTCGGTTCAATGATTTTTTATACATTTGTTATGCAAGTAGATACATAATTGAAGTCGTTTACATGAATAATTTGTTCCTTTTGAAATATTGACAAAATGTAATAAATAACATTTGAAAGAATGCGTATATCATTTCTATTTTGCCTTCGAACTAAACTATCATGCGGAACATAGTTCACGATGAAACACTAAAAAAATACTTTGAGATATGGTGGAATGGCATAAAAAGTTTACCAGAGGCGACCTCCATACATGGATTTAGATTCATTGCAGACTCTAAGAGGCACTGGCTGGAAAGGTAAGACGGAGAACCCGGATTTTCTAATCTGAATAGTACCTACATAAATTCTTATTAGTACATACTCGTATTTTAAGTTAACTACACAAGATTACTTTTAGCTTCTTACATATAGTTTTTAAATTTTAAAATACTTAAAGAAACAGTCGAGATATTAAACAGAGAGATAATAGCTGTTAAGAACATTTAACAGTCTTTACAATTTAGTTGAGTTTGTATATATGTATATCAAAAATACAAGACTTTATCAAATAAATTTAAGCTGTGTAGATATCTAATTAAGAAAATATTTATTTCAGAATATTTTGGTTATTTTTTGTGGCGTTATCATGGTATGGTTCTTCATTATTAATCACTGCCCAGTACGATGCATTCCAAAATAATCCAATTTCGTTTGTCGTCGAAACAACATATAAAGATTGGGATACGCATTTTCCATCTGTAGCTATTTGTGAAAATGATAATACAAGACGAATCGAAGAAATATCAGATGGGTAAATACACTGCGCTGATTTTTATTACAATTTTGTTTATTGGTGAGATGGTATACTCGCCTGACACTAACAGTAAATGCTGGCGGGGCATCTGTGGAGGATGACATGATGACCACGAAGTTAGGTCAGTTAGCCCGTCATGGATAACTGATCAGGTATTATCGACGTTGGTTTCTAGGGGGGGTAAGAAGTCTACAGTTGACAGTGTCTGTCACTGTCTACCACATCTAAGATATTAGTCGTGAACGTGTATAATATCATAACTTTAATTACGTAAACATTGTTCTGTATTTAGACTATGGGGCGAAGACCATGACTTTAATATGGAGGAAGTTCTAAAAGAATTAGCATATTTTAAAGGTATAACATATTACACGTCGGAGTTTTGTGGTCTAGATAACCCTCTGCCTGATTGCGTTAAGTCTAACCTGAGTCAATATGCAAATTTGGTAAGCATAAAATAAATATTATAGATTCAAAGTTGTTCATAAGCTGCAAAGTAATTTGATTAATTGTACCTATTTATTATGTATAATCCTTTAATTTTATAACCTTCGGAAGACGGTGTTATTTTCAGCGCTTGCGTCGTTCTCATACATTTAAAATGTTACGTTCACCATGACATAGAAAATTAACAATATATGTAAGTATATACTTCATTTGGAATTATAGTCGTGAAAATATTTTTTTAATATTCCATTTAGATACGAAGTACTTGCGACGAGATACTAACAAACTGTTCGTGGAATGGGATTAATTTCCCTTGCTGCAAATACTTTAGACCATTGGACACGGAACTCGGGACATGTTACGCTATTAATACTATTCAAGGAAGGTAAGAACGATTTAGTAATTTATCTAGAAACATATAAATGTATCACACATGATAAAGGTACTTACTACTCCATGATGAATGTGCAGCTACGAACAATTATACTTAAATACTAGTACGTGTTTTGTCACAACTATAACTGTATTCGCTGGTAGGGTATCAGTAAAAGGTGATAGGATAAGAATAAAGTCAAGTCAGGTAGCCCATCATGGCGAATTCACCAGGGACTAATACTTCTTATTAACCTTTCAGTCCATATTTATACGTTAGTTATCTACACATAGATATAGTAATTACTTTAGACGATATCCATTCTAGAGAAATGCATCCTCCTAAATTATCAATGATCAGTAATAAGACAACTGGCCCGGGCACGATCACGTTTAACATAATGGTGACTGCGAATGTTTATGTTTTAAACGAAGAAGAGGTTCCATCATTGACAACATTAGGTTCTGACGTGCTTGCAATTGGACCTGAAGTAGTGCACAAGTAAGTATAAGTAGACATTGAAATATTTTAAATAAAATCAATCAATCCACTTCAGTGCGTCGTGGCCAGGTGGCCGACTTATAGCCAAATGTCGCGCGTTTAAATCGGATTCACACCAAAAAACTTTGTGTCAGTACTCTCTTTCTCTTCTATGATGGAGGCTATAAATAATCATACCATTAATCTGAGAGAGATATGTAGTCCCCTACTAGAGCTAGGGCTCTACCTATACCTAATCGTCACGTAATTAGAAGCACGAAAATCAACCTAGAAATTACCTATTTCATTCAGTAGTATAATTAAGTCTACCGTTGCGACTGTGATTTGTTCATTTATATTGTGACATCCGTTATAGTGTTTCTAAAATTTACAGGCGTTATATCACTATAAGAAATATTGAGAATGACGCTGGAGCTCGCCTTATATCTCCAGAAAAAAGGAAGTGTCGTTATACAGATGAAAACTCATTGAAAGTGTACCGACACTATTCCTACACAGCGTGCACTGTCCAATGCAGGATGGATGCACAGATGCGTCTTTGTAACTGTACCAATTTCTTTATGCCTAACACTCCAGAACATCTCAAGTGTAATGTAAGCGGCATTATTTGTTTGAATGATCATGTCAACGTACTCTCAGTAAGTATTGATACACTAAATAATATATTTATTTCAGTTATATCTTAATGTATTGAATACTACAAATAGTTTTATAATATAAAAGATGCATTTGTATAGTAAGTGATTCAACTTAAACTCAATTCAATTCAAAATTCAATCAAGGGAATTCAGCTTAAATATCGAAAAAAAATACAGATAAAACGGCATCATCAATAAGTTGTAGTTTTTTCTTCTCATCTTTGCTAGAACTACAGGTGTAATGATAAAAATCGCTACATTAATGTTTGGCTAAAATAACTTTATCGCCAGGTATTACGTGCGAAATGGTCATCTCGTTTCGGTTTATATTGTAACTGTCTGCCTTCTTGTACTGAAGCCGAGATATCTATTATCAAAGACTTTAAAGCGACTACATCACAAGGATATGCCACAGTACAAATAGCGCTAGCCATGTTGCCAAGCGAAAGGTATCGGAGGAACGTTGTACGAGGTGTTCTTGATTTAGTGGGTAAGCATGGGACTAATAGATTCTTAATTATGCATTTATATCTTATGCAGAACGGAATATTCGTACTTATCTAATATATATTGATGGTAGTATCGTTTTACCTAATATTGCTGCCATAAACTTTACAATAGCAAAAGTATAAATTTTATATTGAAGACCATAGAAACTACTAACACTGTCAATAAGGCGATTTAAGATCCGTAATTTGTTTACTAAATTTAAGTTGTAAAATTAAAAATATTTAGATATTATTATTTTTCAATAAACTAGATTTTTATGGATATTGTTTTATTACATCAATTAATTACAATTTACAGTATCTACAGGAGGTACTGGAGGATTATTTCTTGGCGCAAGTATTTTGAGCTTTGTAGAATTAGTCTACATATTACTTTTTCGGCCATTTTGCGACATATACAGCAGACGAGATGATGACCCTTGGTACAGGAAATTTGGCACACGGAAGCTTGAGGATAACAAGTTTGTTCCTAATCCTGTTTGGAGTTACAACAATGCAGATCCCGGCAACAATCAACATGAAGATGTACAACTTGACAAGAATTAACGGTATGTGATATCAATTGTGGTAGAGCTTGTAACATGAGAGATAATTATAACAAAAGAGACCTGGATCTGTAATTATAATAAACATATGTTACCAACATTGCAAACTGTTTCGTTCCTATGTTACAAATAGGTAATTAAACTAAGTATAGCAAAAATATTCTTAAAAGGTTACGTATCTCTCTATAATTTCATGAAATATTTCCATGACATTTTCTCTATAATCCTTGTTTGTTTCCATCATATTTTTTATAAAAGTACCTTTATCCTTGGAAAGAACTTTATCAAATTGAATTGTATCACAAAATATCTTAGTTGTCAATTCGTCATCAATCCAAAATTGTGGTATTAAACAAGCACAAACAATTAGACCCCATTTTCGTAGATAATCTGCAGAATTTAAAAAATCTTCTTTATTTAGAACTTTCTCAATTTTAATACGATAATTTACGAGTATGGTTCGTAATTCTTGATAATAATAGTCAAGAAACGAATTAAGATTATCTTCTCGAAATTTTGGATCTAAGTTACAACACAGAAGAAGCATGATGTCTCCGGCTGGTGGTTGATAGCTTACAGCTTGGAAATCAACTACCATACAATCGTCAGGTATAGACTTTTCTCCAACTTTCTTATAATGGAAAAGAATATTATTGTTCCATAAATCACGATGACATACTACGTTTCTGTATTTCGATGATATTTTACTTAATTCTAAAGCAGAAAACCAAATATTACTCCATTGGGTTTTAATTACATTTATAGTTTTCTCATTATTACTATATTTTGAATAAGCAGTAATTGCTTCAAGAGCTCCATTCATACATTGAAGAAACCAAGGATCTGACTTATTATAACCTCCCTCGTCTAGCAGATGTGAATACTCGTCATTTATCGTGTAAGCGCTTTGTAAAACCTGTTTTTTGTTTTCCTCAAATATAATGGTAGATGCGTGAAACCGAGCTAATGTCTTTAATGCCTGAAGTGTGTGTTCTCTGTCAAATCTTGCGAACTTATTACGAGTTTCGTATTGCAGAGACTTTAAATCTTCCAACACTAATGCTTCATTCAGAGGTGTTATTAATTTAGCACACCACGGTTGCATGTCTGAAAATTAATTAATCACTACATATCAGTACATATATACATAATATAAAACAAAGTCACTGTCGCTGTCAGTCCGTCCCTATGTACCTAGGCTTAAATATTTAAAACTACGCAACGAATTTTGAAGCGATTTTATTAATAGATAGAGTGATTCAATAGGAAGGTTTATGTGTATAATATATGCATAATATTGTAGTAAATAGATATATCTCGTGTCGCGCAAAAAATGTGTTTATTTACTACAATATTAAGCATATCGACAAGACCCGACCCGACAAGATAAATCAAAATAATGTACTATAGTATTGTACACCTTAAAAAGATCAACAAAAAAGTCTGTGATGGTTTTTGTCTACTCTCCTTTACATTTACGGGGCTTTTTTACGAAGTGATTTTAAGCAATACAGCATTATTTTTTATACAATTAAGTACCTTAAATACATTACACCTTAAATTAATTTAAATTACAGTATGTAATTTAAATTAATATTTCCGAAGATAATACAGGTTTAAAATGCAGGGACATAGCGGTGCGGCGCTACTGGCGGTTATCAGTAGGTTTTGCCCGTGCGAAGCTGGGACGGGTCGCTAGTTAGTTATAGTTTTAAATTTTATTATTGTATTATTATATAGCAATTGTACTAGTTTTTGTTTGAGACAAATAATCAGTTATTATTGTATAGTAGATACATTAAATATTTTGTTAAGTCATTGTATCTAATATTACACGATAAGTTTACAAAGTCTTATAGTCCTAAGTATCTATAGGTCTACTGCTCGAAAATAAATAGATAACAACTTAAATAGACTGTTGATTATGGTAGCAATAACTCTTACCTGGTAAATATATCTTCATTTTTATGACTGAATAAAAACATAACTCCTTGTCAAATAATTTCATATTTCTCACAATCTCGGCCTTAGAGGGGTTCGATTTAGATATAGCTTTAATAAAAAAATTAAGCACCTTTCTAACAGTATTTTGTCTATTTTCTACTGCTATTTGTATTTTAAGTTTCCAATAATCACCCAAAAATCCCAGCATATGATCACTAGCATTGGATGTGTCGTAGTTTTCTACAGTTACATCATTATATCCACACTTTAATAATATCAAATTTACATCATCTTCTGTTATATGCTTATTTATTTTATGTTCCATATTTTTTTTTAATTTAATAAATAATTTTTTAAATGAGTTATTGCCTACACGAACACGGCATTAATGTATTTCGCGTAATTATATCCTTAGCCGATTTCATTATATATTTTTAGAGTACAAATACCGTAAGTACATTAAACACATGATAATATTTTACATTATTGTCCTCATTATCATAAACCTAAGTAAACATATATAATATAAATCGAGGTAAATGTTCTAGTAATGATCTTGAGTTGCCTTTGTGCCTATCTAAATTATACCTTACTGTAAATACACTTTTACTAGACAGATACATACATATAACTATTTGTTTACTTCATTATCTCGGAAGGTATGGAGATATACTTTTTGTGGGTGATAATTGTAAGAAAGACGCTTCCATCTGTGGAATATGGTAGGATGAGGATGAAGTCTGGTTAGTTAGCCCATCATGTTATGTAATTTTTAGTAATGGAGTTCCCCCTTAACTAACAATACCCTCCCCTTATATAAAAATGACTTTTGGTTACTACAGATAATTACGTAATATGTATAGTATAAACATTGTATAACAAACAATGTACCGAGGTATAATTTATAAAGTCGTGAACGTGGCCTCTCGTCCACAAAGCAGTTTGCTTCGTAAGATGTGTTTCACACGAAGAGTAGTGGCAGTGAAATTACAGGATAAGAGGCGTGACATCTTATTCCTCGGAAATTGCAACGCTTGAGTGGTACCACATGACTCACATGATATCATGATCGCAGAGGTGCTGTTCATAAATGTATACAGGCAACCAATGTCTGTATAAGGACTACCATCAGGTGGGCTGTCAGTTGCATACAGGCATTTCAATATATGTACATGTACGTCTTGTTTTGTATTATATCTATATTTAGTTCCGATGTCAACCTATGTTTTATATATTGTATAGTGTACTCATGATGTCAATCCCATGTTAGATTATTTCATCACGATTGACGCAAATATTTTGAATTTGAAGATATTTTGGTAGGAAGGGTTAGGAAAATATTGGTCGCCTTATCTTACATATAAAATTCTCGTGTCACATTGTTAGTTACTATCCTCCTCTGAAACGGCTTGACTGATTTTTATTAAATTTTTTACCCCTAAGTGATAAGGGTTCTCTACCACTAACATTATTTTTTAAAAAAATTTATTGTGTCATTAAAAAATACATATAATCCTGAATTTTTACCCTTCTATCACCAACCCCTATTTTTTATAGCGTTATTAATTTATATGGCAAAACAACGTTTGTCGGGACAGCTAGTTTACATATATACATGATCAGCATAGCAGATAAAATACATTGTGACTCCCGTAACGATAAAACATTTATGTGAGAGCAAAAAATAGCTTGAAAAGCTACTTCAGTAGCAGAAGCAATAAGGAGACAGATATAGGTATATGTACATATTGACGATCATCGCAGCCTTGCTTCTGATACATCTCTAATTCTAGTAATAATACAAACTTACGGTATGAAACAAAGAAAATTTTGCATTCTAATAACTAGGAATTAATAAATAAATTTAATGTTTATTTCATCAGGTTGTATTTATTCAATTTTCTTACTCAATAAGTTATAATTTCTAATTATATCTTTTTGGATAAACATATCTTTCGACTATTTCATCAAAGAGTTCACTTACGCGGTCTCGGTAGTTTTTGCTTTCCACAGCTGCTTCAATGAAATAGTCACTTCGAAAATCGGTACTAAATCTTTTGGAACTTTCAGGATCTGCAAAAACCTTTTCTCTTGTCTCACTGAACAGTGCTATTATAGGCACTATAATAGAAGCTTGTGTAACAGCAAACAGTATACTCTCTTCATATAAATCAATTAGGGATGGCTTTCCCAAAATGTTATTGATATCTACTTCCACAGATTTGAGTTCCTCTGCCAATGTATTGTAATAAACATTTATGAAATCGGTTGTATAATTATTCCGGAAATCTTTAGTAGTATTCAAATATAAAAGTGTGGATAAATCAACCATTGGAGAAGTATATAGAACTGTTTGATAATCTACAATTAAGGCATGGTAGTTCACAGCTCCGATTTTCTTAAGAAATATATTATTGGACCAAATGTCTCGATGTATTACAACATTTCTGTATGTTGAACTTGGTGTTATAAGACTATTAGCTTTGTTGAATACCAAGGGTAAAATTTCTTCTAGATCTTTAATAAAATTTAGTTCCTTTTTATATTTGGAATGTAATTTTAGAAAATCAATAACTGCGTTCCTTCCCGCGATTCGCCACTCTTCTCCTTTTTGTGGTTCTTTAAGATAGTCGCCATAATCTTCCCAAATTCTAAAAGGGCGATTGAGCTCTTCACTTTTTTTTTCTTCGTAAATGTATGACTGTGCATGGAATCTAGCCAGTGCCTGCACAGTTGCAGTTAGTTGCTCATATGTCAACGTTTCTACATGGCTTGGCATACTATAACCAGTTTCGGTGACGTCTTCAAAAACAAACAAATCATCTCTAATATAAATCAAATTTGGGCGCCATTTTTTTAATCCTGAAAAAGTAAAGTTTTTGAGATTTCCATGAGTGGTATAAGGGTACATTTAAAATACATAGAAATTGTATTAGAAATAATATAAATTTATTTAATAAAAATGCATCGTTATTTTATTCATAACTACAACACGCACCTCCCTTTTTATTTCATGTATTTGAAACAACCACAAAGACTTAAACTATGTAGTTACGCCGCAATGTTACCATAGGTATGAATACAATTAAAATAACCATAGTTACCTGATTGATTCTCGAATTTCTTAAATAATTGACTTAACATAACATATTCTTTTTTGAAGAAAGTCAACTCTTTTAGGTATTCTGATTTCCATGGGTCTCTGGGCATACATTTGATGAACAATCTTACTTCCGATCTGATTCCTTCTTCCTTCACTTGCACGCTTAGTTTCAAATGATCTCCTAAATATCCCATGACTTTATTGGAAAAATCCTGTATCGACCAATCAACCACCTCACGATAACCGCATATTTTAGCAATTAAATTAATTTCATTGTTCGTTAGTAAATTCATTTTAAAAGAACTCGTACAATGTATTTCCGTTAATGATACGATAGTACGAGTGTGGACGAGAATAGAGATTAATAATATGAGTAGGTACTTACGATAAAATGTGCAAACATCTCATTTCAAGAAAATTGACAAGAATATATACTACTAGCCGCTTAGCACGGGTTTACTTGCACGGGCTATTATTTTCGGTAGAATTCTCTAAAATAAACAATTTATCCATATCCCACGAGTCAGCTTTCTAGTAGGTAGTGAATAGATAGGTAAGTGTAAAGCAGTAGGTGATTGTTTATAGTCAGTTAGGACAAATGATCCTATATCTATATTATCAAATGTAACTGTTGTATGGCAAAATGCACCAAGTGTTTTCCTTAATAAAAACGTGTAACAAATATACATTGTTTTGCGATAAAATAATATTAATTTTATTTATTAAATTTTATACCTATATCGTTTCCTGATATACCTAAAGTAATTATAAAGAGGTATGAAAATATGAAAAAAATATGGTATTTATGATTTTGTTTTTTTTAACGACATATCTAGTTGTTATATTTAGAAAGTTTTCTTCAAAGTTTAGAAGGAGGCATCATCAGGCAATGAACAGAACTCGGATCTTGGAATCCTAGTGTTGACTGTTCGGCGACCAGACTAACGACCAGGCGACAGAAGTAATGGTGGTCAGAAATGGTATAGGTACTGCGGTCCATAGACGGTCAAATATTTACAAAATCTGTATAAGTTTTATGTACTATATATTATTGGTTTCAGAGAAGCTAATAGTGGCAGAATTAAAGAAAACAATGTAAATCTATTAAATAATGTTCTTCATTATTATTATACGTTTACTATGAATATGTTACTTGTGACTTCGAGTTGGTACAAATATCCTTTCAGTCAATCTTAACCTATGTAGGTAGGATGTTATCTGTTAGATATGATGCAATTCTATCATTATGTTTACTTATATATACATTAATTACATGAATATCATAATATACTTACATTTTATCTACAGCTTAGGAAAACCAGAAAAAATACAATAAATCCGTGTAAACCTTTTATTATCTTGTCTACCCCCAAATGTCTGAAAGAGATTGCAAACCATAAGACGACAATAAAAAGTAAATAAATACTGATAGGCGAAGATACAATTATTACAAATTTTTAAATAATCTGCTGAAGTTTATAATAAATACGGTGGGGCTCTATTCTACATAGGGACATTAGGAGATATTAATATTTATTATTTGGGACATTTGGACTAGTTTCCTGAAAACACCTCACTTATACTACTAAATAATAACCGACAATATTTTTTATTAAAAATCTACAGGTACTAACATAAGCCGACGCGCGCAATTTCGTCGGCATCACACTTACTTACCATTTACATATCTTTTTTCTTAATTATAACCTGTTATTCTGATGTATAAGCTGTATTACTGTAAGGTTTCATCATAATCCGTTTAGTAGATTTAGCGTGAAAGAGTTAATCCATCCATCTAGTCAGTCATCGTGACAATCATCTATCCATCCATACTCGCAAATTTCCGCGTTTATAATATTTCTAAAATTATAAAGAGAGACTGTTTTTCTTTAATTTTTTGTAATAGATGAACTAAAGATAATTACCTTGTTTAAAAAATCTTTTATGTGGATAGATAAATTATCACTGAGTGAGTTCACAGTATCAAGTTCAGACCCGACGGTCCGTACCGAAGATGCTGTTTAATTGGCGCATTTCCAAAGAGGGCGAGGCCTACCTACCAATGCACTAATATAAAGCCTAGCTGGCTATAAATTTTTATAACAAACAAAAGTATTTACACACGTGACTCATTGACTGTCGAATAATACGTGCGGTACTTTATTGGGGAAGAATGGATTAAAAAATTGAAATTAACGGATTATTAACAAAAAAAATGTATTCAAATACAACTACAAATTAAATATTGAGGAAGTAGTGTGCAAGTCTAAGAACGGTTCGTTGATAATTTTATTGATTTTTTTCGTTTTTACTTCCTCGTAATTTGGGGTCCATAATTGCGTAACAGCAGGCACATTCAGCTTGGGCATGTCATCTTCATCGTCACTGGATACAGGGTCTATCACCATCTCCTCCTCCTGTTCATGAGAAGTCTCTTCAATCTCTCTTTGTCCTGATATGTCTTGTAAGAATGCGACCGATAAGAGACTCACTGGTGGAACCATATGCGGTGATGCCGTTATTAGCTAAAACAATAAAAAAAACTAAATAAAATAAAATCGTGTTCAAAAAGTGTTTTAAGTACGTGTTTGATCAAGTGCGTTTTAACTTTTAAATGCGTATCTCAACAGATATGATGTGAGTTTCAGTAGTACAAATGGAAATGTGTGGACGACTACGTCTGCCTTAAATTTATTAATATATACCGGCTTTTGTTTAGTTTCTCCATGATCATAACGGTTGTAGCACTGTCAAAATATCGAGAATGCTTACTAAACTTCGATATTTATGAAACACATTGTTTAGTTAAAAAAGATCGATATTTTAAAAAAGGTTTACGATAATATAGAAACATTGTTAGTAAGTCTTAAATAACGACAAAATGATCACCAATGTCATAATATCACATAGGCTAAGAGGAAACTTCTAATTCGATAATTATTTATCTATCGATACTTGATATTTATTTATATTGCCAGTTACAGGTCGATGTCTCAATAGTAACGATCATACCTTTATATAATTCAATAATAACGAACTAAATATACCAAGCTCCTGTTATTTCTTTAATAGGTATAACGTATAAAAAATATGAAGTATAAAGAAAATATTTATTTTGAACTAAACAGAATAAAATTATCTCCTTATAAAGGGCCCTAAATTAATAATTAATATAAAGCTTCCTATGCCACATACATAAAGAAGTTTTTTTGATTAATTTGCGATAATTCCGCTTCCATTACTTAATTCCATTACCCGGTAGAGATTGATGGTGGATAGTACATCATTTTAAATAATTAATAATAATCATTGTACCTGTGCGACTGTAGAGTTCGCTTGGGAATTGTCGATGTATTTTGTATCATGGTTCGTGGGTGCTGACCTCACTCCCGACAAACTTTGTTGCGCGAGCAACGAACTGAAGTTCGACACAGGCAGATTCCGTTGGGAAACTGCTTCCAAATTTCCCGACTGCTTATCTTTTGGTTCTATGCTGTAGATTTCCTACGACATTATAAAAATAGATACACTAGTTGCAATTGTTTATCACCGTTACCATTAAAAGATTTCTAAATGTATGTCCAATTCACACAAATTAAAAACAGTTCAAAAACATTTATTTAATACAAACAAAACATTTAATTTAAATTATTAATAGTTAAAATACTTACAGAGTCGTTCCTCATTACGTAAAGTCTTATGGCTTTACTGGAACTTTGGCCAAATGTGCAAAGTTTAAATACACCAGTTTTAGGATCTAATAGTTTCTTTTGTGTTAGTATCGGAGTAGAATTATGTGGATTGAACACATAAACTGAAAAATAAACAAATATTGTATTAGTTGTGTGACATTAACTAGAGAAAATATAATAGTTTTGAATAATTTCTCGATTTCTACAAAGGCACTAATTTTTGTACATTTATATTTGTACAAGAGGTCCACTAACTCAGTCTTTGACCTGAAAATATTTACATTAGCTAGTCTCCCATGAACTTATCTAACTAAATGCTACCCTGAGGTGAGGTTCTTTAGTTGCTATACATAATCGCGTGTCAGCTTGTTGACAAACAGTTTGACGGCATAAAAACGTGCTATTATATATAAATTTCACAAGGCAATTCAAACAGTTCTACAATATAATATTTAATTTTCATGGATCATTTCAAATTATTATTAACAATTAGCTATGTTTATAACAAATAATAATATACATAGAAAACACCCATACCGATACAAATAATTACACTAATACTAATAAATATCAATGTTTGCACCGTGCGTGGAATCGAACCCGCGACCATCGGAAGTAAAGCGGTATGCTAAACCACTAGACCACCGTGGCTGATTGTTTTGGGATGGTCTTTTATAAATATATAAATAAGAAAATAAAAGTGTTAAGTCGTATATAAGTTAAATAAATACTGACTGTCGTTATTTATAGTAGTAACAGCCATTATGTTTGTGAAAGGATCAGCCGCGAGACACGTAGGCTGTATTTGTACAAGCCACTTTACAGTTAACGACAACAGACTCCACACTGCTAAGCACTTATTTGTTGTACACACCAACTGTAAACAACAAATATTACATAACATCAAGTATATAACGTATTATATATGGCAGTTTATTTGTCAACTCATATGTTGTATATTACATATATTTGGGGGGGAAGGGTATTTTGTAATGAAGACTAATGATTCCATTGCTAGCAATGTTCTATGTCAATTTGATTCCCACGCTGTTCCCCCTGAAGACCATTGTGATAAAATCCTGGTGAATTTGTCACGCAGATGACCTTTATACCTACCTTTAGACCTACCTCGGTTCTATACACATACAATAAAAATGTAACTGATCCCACCTGTATATGATAAAACTATTAGATATGGGGGAGTTTATTACACAGTAGAATAGAAATCAACGTTTCTCAGGATAATTTCTGACTGTGCGAATCGAAAAAAGACGCATTCCCGTGATCGTATTTTAATAAGTTCCTTCTTAGTATTTTATAGCGATTATTACATTAAAAATGTCTGTAAAAAATTAAGTGAAGTGAATATTAAGTAGCTTTATAAACATTTACTACAGGTATAGATTAATAAGTACTCTAACAAATATAGTAACAAAAGGTATACGTACATAATGTGCGGCATCTTTATTTCCAAAACGAACATGTACACCTTTAGGACGAAGTGCAAAATGCGATAGCGATGTACGTAAAGTGCACAGGTATGTGTCCCATAGCGTCAGCTTGCAACCGAACCATGCCGCTATCAACGACCCATCATGAGATATATCCACTCCGCCGATACTGTGTTCACCGCTCACTTTCATACCTGGGATAACCGATTCAGGATCCTCTACCAATTTTTCTTTATGTATATTGAATACCTTTTTTATGATGTCATCTTTTTTTACTACGCGTAAGTGCGGAAACTCATCAACCTGATCTTTAATATATGGCTCTCCAAGTTTGTATTTATTCAAAACGTCGTGAGAAAGAAATTGTGATACGCCTGAGGAATAGTAGCAGGCTGTGACACAACTCCAACTTATTCTAGCATTTTTTTTCTGGTCCTCTACGGTTTCTCTTCTCCAAATCCTAAATTTTTGGTCGGTACCAGCTGACACGCACAGATCACCTTCGTCGTTCAGTGACAAGGACACAATCATGCAACCACCGTGAGAGAGGTTAGCGCAAGTATTAAGTTGATAGGGTGTTGTTTTTTTCTTATGATACTCCCAAAATTTAAGTTTCTCTTCGGGATAAAGTCGTCCATCATTTCTATACTCCGATGTGACTAGCCATTGACCGTTACTGCTAATGGCAACGCATGTCACTTCAATTTCTATTGGCAGGATGTTCCGCCTGGATGGTATCATTCTATTTACGTTAGTTATGTCTATCTGTAAAGACAAGAGGCAACATTTTAAAGTTTCTGTCCAGTTACGTGGCTTTTAAAGAAAGAATCGTAGATTACAGCTAAACATTCTTAATTTACATAGTTAGAACATTAAGTCACGTAGGTAAGAAAAATAAGAAATCTTACATTATAGAGAACTTTATCGCTTTGTGGAGAGTACAGCTGTAGACATCCAGATCGGCCGCCCATGAGCAACGCCCGAAAGTTGCGGTGATAGACCAGTGATGTGCCGATGGCTTGCGCGGCCGACGACAGCCCTCCGCATTCCAGTATCGTGCATACAACACGCATGTCAGCCGACGCTATCACCATAGCTGAATAATAATACATTTTTAAAAAGGGTGTACACTGGTGTAAAATTTGTTTATCAATATTACAAAACAAATAGACTGAAAACCTAAATTTCCTATTTGGATACGCTCATAAAATCGTCCAACCAGATCATGTTCTATACATATATTGAATAATATATTAGTAACATTAAATATAGCAAGGTATCCTGATGTTTTTACTGAAGTTATTTGTAATATTCTAGCCTCGAAATAATTAACAGGTATATCAACAAGTTTGACACTCTATTTTAAATGGATAACATTAATTAATTTTCTATTGATGTTAATAGTCAAATATGGGGGGAAGGGGATTTTTAGTAAAGTAGTTTAATAATCTCAATACTAACAATATACCATGTCAGGTTGACGTCAACAATTTTGCCACGATGGCCAAACTGACTTGACCTTGTACTCGTGTTATTATTCTTCACTGGTTCCCCGCTAGCATATACTCCTAGCGCCGCCAGATGCAACTTTCCATTATCATCCATTATAAAGAAAATAGTCAAATATGCAGAAATCTACTACGCAATATTTATTTTTTCAAAAAATACATTCCTGGCACAAAATATTGGAACCTTATTATATTTCAAAACAGAAAAATGAAAGTCGAATTACAATAGTCTATTTTATAATAGCTACACATGTACCTTGTATACCAATATGTTTGTGTACTTACAATTGTTGGAAAGTGTAATAGCAATGTGTGAATTATTAACAACTATGAACCTAACATTCCCGGGAAGACGTGGTATGAAATTTTTCTCATTTACTTTCATTGTCAAATTGCCAGCCGTCCACTTGACCAAAACTCTTTCTATGCCACCTGAATATAGGTAGCTTCCTGGAAATAATGATTTAAGGTTTACATTCGTGACATGCCTACATATCAGTGAGTATATTGAGTGTTCACTGTGTTTGGTCATAGTAACTTCATCATTCAATACACAGTTAGGTTACCATCACAAAATCCTACCACTAAAATTTCATATACATTGTTGCCATAAATTGATCACTCAGTTTTCCTTTCTAGAAATTTATTCTTAAATCTAAAAGGACATGCATTTAAAATATATATCCCATAAAACACATTTGCTTCGAAAAGCTTATATAGGTCCTTGTACATATAACAAACTTCCATCATTTATTAAAGGTCTTGTTGACCTGTGTATAAAACTGCCTTACTCTTTTTTTAATTACTAAAGCATATTATTGTCAGAGATTGTATTCATGACTACTTTTAATATTGACATTAATATAAAAAAATAAGGACAGGATATATGTTTTAATTTTTTTGTACAATAAATATATTTTCATGTCTACTAGGTCAAATATGGTGTTCTAATTAACATATTATAAGAACTAATTTGTACCCACGTTTTTGCAAATAAAGAATAATGAATTGAATCTGGTCTCAATTTTATTTTACCTTGTAGTGAAAAACACAAGTCGAGTGGAGGTAAATAATGCCAATGCAATACTTCCTGCCCAATGCTCTTCTTATTGAATAAATACCCTCTAAATATGACTACTCTGCCTATTGCATCACCTATAGCAATAGCATTCTCTCTATGATGTGCAGCTACAGCCGTTATACGAAATACATTTATACTCTTCATGCTGAAAATGAAAAAAAACATACAGATCAATGTTACTTACTATTTAATGCTATTAATATGTTTTTCAAAAATTTTAGAATGAAAGAGCTATATGTATCCTGAATGCAAATGTTCACCATTATAATATTAGTCAGGTTCAAGATAATTTATATTTTTTAATATTTCAAATTTAAAATTGGAAAATATAAATTATATTCTTACACTGAATATGTTAATCATAGGCAAACATTTACAAGCACAGCATACATTTGGATATAGGTAGCTATATGTCAGTAAGTATAATTAAACAAGATATATTAAAGTGTTTTTCTAAAATGAATTTTAGTTAATAATTTCATTTTTTGACACCACTTTATTAATTAGAAATTTAAATTTCTTCTAATTTGTAATGACATGTTACTTACACATTATAAATATGAGGCTGGTATAAATTTTGTATGTACAGATCAGTGGTTCCATTTATAATAGCTGCAAATATTTGTTCATTACAATAACCTATTGAAACTCTGAGCATAGGGTTATTTTGGATTTTCATGTTATCATATGTTTGTAAAAGGTCCCCCGTCTTGACTGAGTAAACACATAGGGATAATATTTTATTTGATCTACAACCAGTTATAAAACAATCTGTATTGTTCAGCATGTTGAAAGATGTCACAATGAAATCATGCTTGAGTTTAAGATTCTGAAAATATAAAATAATAGGTAATAAATTACACAATCATATTTGCTTGGCAGTGAAACAACAACAATATACATGGTCTATTCATATTTATATAATATTACTGCTGACCAGGTCAACTACTGAATTTTTTATATGTTGGTTGTGGCATGACACTATATCTAGGGGTTATATTTGAACCAGTGGATGAGTGTATGTCAGGAACATTAGCGGTTCAACTATATAAACTAACACTTTAGTTTTGTAATATTATGATTAATAATTACAATTTCTCTGAGCACAGCTCCTTGTTCCCAAGTCCATGTTGTAACACATCCTCTGTCAGAACATCCATATAAATTATAATCTTGATTTTCTGGAAATTGAATAGCTACAAGTTCATTGATACTAGTTTCAGTTTCTAAAGACCGGACACAGTCTCCTGTTTGAATATTATATACTCGCACTATGTTTTCAACAATTACAGCTACTGATCTGGAATTTAAAAATACAAATATCTAAGTATACACAAAAATCTTTGATATAAATTAATAATAACAATAGTGCTTAAAGTAACAGTAGTGTATTTCTTTTTAAATAAAACTTACTGCCCATCAGGTGAAAACAAAGGACGACGTTCAATAATACTTCTACCGCCTTTTCGAGAAAAAATATAATTATTTTCATCAATACTTTCATATTTTTTTATACCCATTATGAATAAATTTAAGTCAAATGCTTAATGTGATTATTCGAAAAGCACAACATAACCTCAAATTATTAATAACTACAGATTAGTATTTGCAGACAGAGGTCATTTCGATTTGGCTATAAGTTTTATTTATTTATTACGCTTTAACTACATGGGGATTTGCCAAAAAATAAAATATTATGTTAAAATTATTGTACACAATTCCAACAAAAGATAAAGATATTTTTGTAGAAAATTATATCATTATTCTCAATTGACATTGGAGATAACATTTCAGAACAATAAATTACTGTTGAGGACAGAACGTATCTATACCGTAATTACTGTGGATCTACCGTAATTTTTATGAATGACTTTTCAGCTGACGTCAATCTCCAAATTTTCGTATCGTCTATATCTGTCATTTACTTGACTGCTTGATCTGTGGCCATTCATGTTCATGACGTTCATGTTGTTTTCGATGTTTTCATCGCTTTATTGGTTATATTATTGTATTTTACCAAAGTATTCATTTTCATATTTATAAAACGTTTTTTTATTATAAAAATGATTGACGCTTCAGAAACTCAACTCCAATTGAGATTTGTAACTAAGCAGGAACAGTGAGTAACATACTTAGCAGGCGGTACATTAATGTATATGTTCTATTTTCTTATCGAAATATATTTTGTATCAACGTGAAAACAAATTATTTATTGCAGGTATGCGGTTCCTGATAGTCCCTATGCTATACAAAGTAATGTTCATTCTTCAGATCTAAACACATTACTAAATGCGTTGTTGAAGGAAACTAACCCCTCAATTGAAAAGGCGGTTGAATTCGACTTTCTAGTATGCGGAGAATTACTGTGTTCTTCTCTTGCTGAGCATTTACAGGAAAAAGGTGCATCTACAGAAAAGACATTAGAAGTTGAGTATTTAGAAAGATTCCCAGCACCCTCTCCCCAGGATTGTTTAATGCATGATGACTGGGTGTCTGCTGTTCAAGCATATGATAATTGGTTAGTATTTAGTAATATTAGTTATAGTAATACAGTATATTTTTTATTAATCTAAACTCTTACAGATTCAGACACATCTGTATATTTAAATAATTTATAAGTGGATTTTACTTACGCTAACAAGATACTTGCAAGTTATTATATATATTTTTAAGTATGTATTTACGTAAATACTAAAATATTTTTCGTTTAAAAAGATAAACACAACATACTCTGAACATATACTTTTATAATAATTGTAACTTATTAATACTTACCTGTTAAGTTACACCATATGTAAACATTATGAAATTCAATAAAGATATTGCTATCTTTATTATGTTATTCCATAATGTTTACAACTACGGATACAAGTAATTGTAAGGCAGTCATACTTAGTTATATAAGGTTTTTTTATGGATGATAATGGGTTGGTGCACTCACCTGCGCTAAGGGTTTATGCTGGTGGGGCACCAGAGGTGGATGATAAGATGAGCATGAGGTCAGGTCAGTTAGCCCATTGTGACACATTAACCAGGAATTTATCACTATGGTTTCCAGGGGGAGGCCGCGTGGAGGTCAACCTGACATGGTACATTGCTAGTAATGGGGTCATGAGTCCACATTACTAACAATACCCTTCCCCCCAGTTATTTAAGGTTGGTTTAGCAATGTGGACACCATCTTACCTCTGATGGTTGGGGGTTTGACACCTTGCATGCTAAGTACATTTGAACACATGGGTATTATTGTTTGTATTGGTCTGGTTCTTTTCTATATGTATTATGTATTTACAGAAAATATATAGTTAAGTATTTCTATCCATTGTTAAATGGATACTTATATATTATATTACAAGGTGTGCTTAGCTAGTTAGTTAGTTAGCTAGCTAGACAAGATTTCTCTGTGTTGATAGTTCAGGGTTATTATTGACTTTGACTTATATATTTCTTTTAAGTTTGGTATGATTTTTTTTTACAGGATCCTCTCAGGTAGCTATGATAACAGTATTCACATTTGGAGCACAAAGGGCCAGCACAAGTTAGCAATTCCTGGCCATACATCCCCTGTCAAAGCTGTATCATGGGTGTCTTATAGCAATGATCAGGCTGTATTTGTGAGGTAGGAGTTTGTTTTTTATGACATTTAAGTTATGAAACTAGTAATAATAGTAGTAATAGTAATAATATATATACAAAATGGCCCAGATGAGAGGCTAATTGCATTTATAGTGTATTATGAAACTTCAGGTGTATTTAATATATTGTTTCATAAAAGATAAATAGGATTGGACTATGGTAACATTTTCATTAAGATGTTTAGACAATAGACAGTCTTTTTTATACATTTTATATACATTACAACCTGTAGTATAGCAACCTTTGAAGATCTGGTGTGCTTACTCTGATTAAATTTTATTTACTAATTTCTGTCACTGTCATTCACAGAAATTTATGATCACCCTCAGCAATCATTTTAGTTTATTTTGTGCATGAATAAGTTGTAAGAATGCAATGCATGCATGATTGAGTTGAATTAATAAATTCCTTTCTAATATGATAACATTGGTTAAAATCCTCTTTAGAGAAACTTCAATTATTATACTACTTTAAATTATAAGTAATAGACACCATGCAATAGTAGTAAGAGAGACTAGACTCTATCATGACTCAAGACTATATTTAAAAGAGCAACACAGAAGTTTCTTGGTCATTCTTTTTGTGTTGAGTCTAAACATGACTATTCAAAAGTGCTTGTGTTCAGTTTATTTGTATAAAGATTATTTCTATTTCTATTTCAACTTATGAATTGATATATTATTTCCTTTTACAGTGGTTCTCATGACCAATCTGCAATGCTTTGGGTGTGGAATGTTAGTGGCAACTCTGTGGACTGTGTAGTGACTTGTCGCAGTCATGACAAAGGAGTTGAGTGTCTCTCTGTGTCTGCTGATGGTCAAAAGTTTGCCACTGGAAGCTGGGATACTAATATTTGCCTGTGGAGTACTAGTGAGTATATTTCCCCAGATTTATTGCATTTAAATTGTTGGTCTATAAAAACATTTTATCTTCTATCTTTAAATTTACAGGTCTGACAGATGATGGAAATGTACCTGCAAAGAAGAAAAGTAAACCAGAACACGGCAATACAAGAGTTAGTAGAATAATACTTTAAGAATTCAAAATTATCATATATTTCATTCTCGTAATTAAGTTAGTATTGTAAATTTCGTAACTATAACAATACTAGTAACTCACCCTTGCTTTGCATATGTTTGTAGTGTATGTGATGACAGAACATAACATGAAAAAATATATATTTAATTTATATATTAACAATTACAGGAGGCTTTAACCACATTAAAAGGTCATCGGGAAGCTGTGTCTGCTGTACAATGGATGGACTTCAATACAATACTTTCTAGTGGTTGGGATCATTTGCTCAAGTTATGGGATTGTGAGCTTGGTGGCATTAAACAAGAAATAGCTGGTGAGTTTTATTACTAATAAAAAATGACTATCATCTTCATTAAGTACTCAAGTAAAGTGTTACTATCTCAAATTTTAACTGTGTTGAATAATAGGTTTAATTCTTGTCTCTGACTGTTATTATTAATCTGAATTATATTCTATGTATCATTTTATGCTGATATGTATATCTGTTTTTCTAGGTAATAAGGCATTTTTTGATGTCGACTGGTCACCAATAAACAATACACTAATCACTGCATCAGCAGACCGACACTTAAGACTTTACGATCCCAGATCTACAGGTAACGTAATACATGTATATATAATTAATTGTGTAGATAATAAAAGACATAACTTCATAAGTATATTCAAATTAAAATGTGTCTTGTGCGTTATTCAATGCAAATTTTAAAGGAGGAATTAGAATGCTGAGTATTTGCGGTAATAATTAGATCTTGTGTCTTAGAGGAAGGTAGGGAGGACGAAGATTGAAAACAATAGTTAAAGTATACATAACGTTAATTTAATTTAAATAAATTAAAAATGTATAGTGTCGAATCAATCAATCCAAGTCAAATCAATTAGACGTAATGACGGCAAGATGTGACGTGAAGTCATGATCACGTGACGTTTTTTTTTAATTGGTACTCACGTCGGTTTACGCTAGCAGGGTAGAGATGTATATGAGAAGGTCAGGTCAGTTAGCCCATGGTGACAAAATCACTAAGACATTGTCATGATGGTTTGCAGGGGAATTGCTAACAATGGGGTCATCAGTCCACATTCCCTTTAACAATTCCCTTTCACCCTTATATTAACACTGCCACATTTGTTTATGTCTGTGCATTAATCTGTTTTTCAGAAAGCATTGTAAAGACAACATTCACTTCACACACGGGTTGGGTACAGTCAGTACGCTGGTCAAAGACACGTGACACTCTTTTCCTGTCGGCTGGTTATGACGGGCAAGTTAAACTATGGGAGACGAGAAGGTTGGTTACTACGACTTACCGTTTTACTTTAGAAACGATTGACATATACATGACATAGTTTCGTTTCGCGCCTTTTTTCACTCTTGCATTGCTTACTAACATCGCATTCATTCCATATTTCAAAATCATTAATGAGAAACTAATTGATACTATTATTATAGAACAGTATAAAAATCGATCACACACAAAACCTTAAAAAAATTGTGGATGTAATCATTTATTTAAGACGAATATAATAGGAATCTGTGTTCCTAATGGATGGAAGATAAAAATGATTATTCAAAAATGCATATATTTATATTATTTCTGTTTCTCTTTTTCTGGATGTAGTTTCATTTGACCTCACCACCCTTACTATATATACAGTTAAAAAGTAAAGTCACTGTTGCTGTGTTAACAGCGGTGTTTACTTAGTAACTATTGCTCTAGTGATATGAATAGTATCATGCATATTATAATTTGCTATTAGACATCTATGATATACATAATGGATTCTTATCCTGCCATAAAATACATGTATAGTTAATTATTTTAAGCTATTTTCGTTCGAATATTATGTCTGAATGTCTACTCAATAGTTTGTTCATACAAACTCTGAAGACATAACTACTAAATTTTGGTTAGCTTTCCAGGTGAAAGGTTTAAGCTGGGCGTTGATGAGTCAGAGGGTTAGGTGTTCTCGTTTTATGTATTTATAAGATTGATAAAATTGGTATAAAGGCATGTCCAACAGGAGTAATCTGTCCCAATCTGAGTGTCCCATGAAGCTACTATGATATATATATTAATGTTGACATGTTTTTCTTTTTTAGTCCACGAACGCCTCTGTACGATCTGAGCGGTCACGAAGACAAAGTGCTTTGCTGCGACTGGTCGAATCCTACGCTTTTGATCAGTGGCTCATGTGATAACACCCTCAGGATATTTAAAGCTAAACATGCGTTATCCAGCTCGTAATATTAAAAGAATTGTTCAAGTACATAATATAAGCATTTATAATAAAAGTTACAATATTATATATTTTAAATATTCTGATGTTTTATTGCTGAATTGAATTTTCCCAGACTACATGGTATTTGTTACGAGTAAGATATCACTGTTATAGTTACATGTATTAGGTATACTTTTACATGTAACTATAATTAAGGAGGGATTTGTAAATTGGACAGATAATAAAATAATGAACTAGATTTGGTTTCGCTTGTTTTATTTCAATCATTTGCTGTTACAAAATATGTTCAATGCAAAGGAACATGACTCGTCACAATAAAACATGCTTCTTAGTACCATTTTGATTTATTTATATATTATTTTAGTATCCATTCAGCATAACTATAAATAATGCCGGTGACATAAAATGCTCATAGCACAAATAGAAACTTGCAAACACTTTGTAACAAAATAGATACAATAACTTTCCCCTATGTCTTTTCTCTGCGAGAAATGCTTTTACACTATTATCATAGTTATGCCAAACCTCACAATCATAACACAACGAAGCAACATGTCCCTTAAAAATATTCTTTCTTACCAACAATTTCATTTCACTTTTTTTTTACATTTTATGGAGTTTTATTTTGCATTTCGTATTTCTAGACTACCTAACTAAATTTTTAACTAAACTATACTACTGTCTAGACTAGTTTTCTGGGTAAAACACCACACTATAATAATACACAAATTGGACAAATACATTCGTATCGACACCTCCGACAGATTTTTTTACTTTTCTTTCTTTACACTTAGTCAACTACATAACAAAAGAGGTGAAAGCAAACTTGTTAACTGAAACTTATCCCATGTGTTTACTAAATTCCTTAGATTTTCCTTAAATACTAACGTGGACGCGATGCGCGCGCGCCTCGTGTCGGCTTCAGTCCATTCAAAGTAAATTAACTAACAAAGGAAACTACCCTAGAGCCGACAGGCGGCGCGCACGCCCCGCGCACCATTTCCAAATATATTAATCTAGAGTCCTACACTATCTAACTTAGCATCGCAACATTTTTTACTATTCTATCCTATCTATAGTTAAGCCTAGTGTCTACAAACTAGCCATCTTTGTCGCCGTTCCTATAGCTTCATTATTCATTGATCGATTCAAAACCAGTCGACCGTTCTCTTATAATTAACGACTTATTACATAACATTTACTTAACACTTCAATTATATTTATCGACATGATTTTTAGTTGAATCAGTTTTGGTTATTAACAATTGGTTCCTCGACCTGCATCGTTTTGTGCTTTCTCTATTCGCAGTGCCCGCTATTAACAAATCATCGTCCGTCGTAATCTCAAACAATTTGTTTATATCACACATGCTAAGAACGCTGAAGTGAGTTAGGAACATCTACGATATACTACCCAATTCTTTTTTTTATCATGTGTGAAAAATGCAACGATTAGACAGCCACATTATCTTGGTTTAAGTTGTCACAAAATATTTTAAACATAGTTTTTACATTATCGCTACGTTTATGAATATGGTAAGTTCTCTATTACCTGTAAAAATATTGTGTAAAGCACATGCAACTGCTATATTGTATTTCATCTGATCATTATTATACAAAGGAAGCTGAAGGCACTACCATCAAATTAATTTTATTGCTTAAAATGGAAGGAAAGCATTAGAAAAATAATTTCAAGCTATATTAATTAGCCCATATCGATGTTTATACAATAGGCTTGATGTCACGCTATGTTACAAGTCACTTAATTTGGTGTGTCTATTCTAATTATTTGCATTAATATAGTTATAAAAAGGAACAACGATTTGTCTTTTGGAATGAAAACAATTTCTCTTTGAGAATGGGACGCACAAGGTTGGTCCATAAACGGCACGAACAATATAAGGGTGTAAACATCTTAATCAGTGAAATAAATAATGTTTAATATATTGATTTAAATTTTTAAATGCAAAACGTTCACCAGAAATATCTATCGGAAGACTGCTTTTACAGGAAGCCACAGTGTACGTCGAACACTAAACGATCAAATTACTTAACTAAGTACCACGCAACACTCGGTACTACATTGCACTTCGTGGTTATTCATATTTCACAAGAAGTAAAGGCGGTTTTTAATCAGTTCAATAAATTTGGCTTGATCAGAAATTATGTAAGAATAATACTGATCTTCGGAGTATTATGGTTCAGTACGTTATCTCAAACGTTACACTAATAAAAATCTCACTTTTCCTTAGCCTTTGTGACGTGAGTAATAGTTTGATTAAGAACCAATGCGCCGTTGACTCGTTTCGATCAAATAATCGGGCAGTCAGCTAGTCTCTACGGAGCTACGTGCTTTAAACTTGCTCGAGTTTAAGTACTGGACGTAATGTCCCTTGTAGTGCCTCTACGTGAAACTTGTTTACATAAACGATTGATAAAGTCACGAGCTAAATTTATGTACAAGTCAAAAAGTAATTTTTTAACAATAGTAATATTTAACAGCCTTTTTCTGAATGAAATCAAATAGAGTAAACAGATGTACAGATCTACTTAGTCATTCAAAATCTATTCATTCAAAACCTGCCGCTAGCTAGTCTTATTTTGAGTCTCGTGTTAATCAGAGTATGTTCACAGGTTTTGAATAAAGAGGAGTGATTACAGCTTAATCGTCAGTTAAAATACAGTTAATATATCAAACATTTAACTAGTCTTCAGTCCCTGAGTTGTATAAATATTTTCCTACTTCTTATTCGACTTTAATGATTTGTATACTTTGGTTCTGATGAAACTCTGACGTGCCAAAATAGAATTAAACAGTTGCGATATAGTAGGTTTTTACTCGTACCCATCAACAATGTATATACATGTATACATATCCATGTATAATTTATATATATTCAATATAAAAATATCAAATTTCATATAAAGTCATAAAGTGTACCCAAAACCTACGTGATGGTACAAAAAGTGTTTTTTTACACCAAAAAGGTGTCAATACACTTTGGATTTCAAATCCATTACAATTTATAATGTGGAAATCAATCGTGGAATTTTGTTTGAAGTTTTCTTTCTAGTGGAATGTGCCGACCGCCTACAAAATAATTACTATAGTTGACTCAGTACATGATTCTCAAAAAAGGATCACTTCATTATTCACGTATTTCAACATGAGTTTTCAACGTACAAAAATTTGTATAGACTCGTAAATTGTATAAATAGACTTTACATACAACTGCTTATTGCTAAATGTTGCCATATTACAGCACTGTTGTGCTTACTAGCGCAGACGTCACCACTCAACTTATCTAACCACTCGGCAGTCGCATGCCTCGAGTGTCTATTCATGCTCTTATTATTGATGCTGTAGCGAGTACCTACATATACTAATTACATATGTAGGCATATAATTAATATCATGTAAATTGAATGAAAATAAAATAGGTGAAATATGTGAACAGTATACTTAAGTTCAGTCTGTTTTTTGGTTTGGCAACAATATTATTGGTTATTGAAATTGTGTGTGCAAATTTGTAAAGAAGAAAAATACAATCCCAAGTTAATTGTGATGATGAAAAGCATAATCCCATTTTGTTGCTAGTAAAAAATTTGAATATACCTACTGAGGTAAATTCTTTTGACATCATCAGTAATGCTGAGTGATGACTCGATGAGCCTTGATGTCCAGGCAAATTAATGTTAAGGTTTGATAAATACATAACAATTTGTTTAAATTTAAATTATTAAAACATACGAATGTTGGAAACTTACGCCGGCATAACTTGTAAATTTCAATGTATTTAAATAGATAATACTGTATATGTATTATAGTACCATTTTTGAAATAAAATATTAAAGCACCATGCCAAACACATTATAACATACACACATATACAACATAAGTCACGACCAACAAGTGGAAGTAGCAGCTACGCCGAATGACGACTGTCGTAAAGGAAGCTAATGATTGACGTTCCCCTTGCAAGCTGCGTCACTGTTTCTCTACAACATGACAATATAGATACTCTTTCGTTTGTATTTTATAAATACGCTAACGGAAGATTCTAAATCTCCGTGATAATATATTCATCGTACAAGACCTACCCGATACGCTAATCCATCTTTCCTAACTTTTACACGATAAGTCATATTTCATTACTCTTTACAAATTTGTTAGTATAATAAATCTTTGATTCCACATGATATGACCATTCCTTCCTAACCAACTCCTTAGATATTGCTTTCCTCGGTATGGCTGATGTTAAAAACCAACGTTTTTGCCATAAAAGGATATTTTGAAAATATATATATATATATATATATATATATATATATATATATATATATACAGATTCTGAGTGTGTCTAGTGATTGCACATATTTGTTTGATATTGTAATGTTCAATCCGCTCAACTATTCAATCTAGTGTTCAGGTTTCTTATATTTTTTAATATGACACTGATTAAAAGTAAAATTTTGTCAATATCTCTCATCCGAAGACGAGACTATCATTTTTAAATTTCAGCAATGAAATTATACTATACTAAAATAAATACCTAACTATCTTAAATAATCTTGTCAACACCTCCAATCCTGTCTCTAAAAATCTAAAATTTATCTTTTATAAAACAATAATAAAATTATAATGTAAAAACACATTTAAAATTGCAGATTGTTGCCTAAATCTATGCATCAAATCCTCTCCTCGAACCGTCAAAAGACCTCATCAAAACATCACAGCGAATCGAACATCCAGCGTTAACCAAGAGGATCCGAAACGAAGCCCACTCAAAAAATAAATAGTCGAGGCGATAATTTCACAAGTACAATTAGGCTTAGTAGCTAGTAGACGTCGGCGACGCGGGTCGCGCCGGCGGAGCTTTCGATGAAGTCTATAACGGCCGCAAATTAAAACTAAAACAAATTAACATTTTAAAAAGTCACAGTTTCTTTGATTTTTGGCTCGTGTACAGCACGGATTGTAGTATTGTGGCTTATGGTCTACTTGGGAGGCGGGTAGGTCTGGTAGGCCTCGTCGGGGGATGCTGCCGTCGACGCGTGCTCGCTCTCCATCGGCATCTGGATGATGGGCGGCGTCGGACCCGGGAAGTACTGGTAAGGGTGCGACGGGAAGTACTGAAACACCAACGAATACATGTGTCAATATCCTAATACAATAATGTACAACAACATAATACACAATAATACATTTTATATATGTAACATTAATGGATATTATAAATAAAGGCTCGCGCAGTTGCGAGACCTACCCATACCATTTATGTCGCTTAGTAGGTAGTCCCACAGTAAGACAGCTATTTAGATTACAACATGTGATACATATTAGGACATAGAGCCTAGCTACACTTCTTACTTCGTTAGTTTTGAACTAATACTGTCATACATCAGAATATTATAGCTTTGTTTCAGATGGTAAGTAGCTGTCCTGTGTTAATCGTTTAGACCTTCGTGTGCGTCACTAATTGTTTTATATTTAGGCTGGTAGCATACACACGGTTAGTTGTCAGCTTGCCCGAATGGACATTTAGTTGCTACTCCCCACCCCATTTGAAGATAGTTAGGTGGCGTTGGAACCAATTATTCTAATTGTAACGCATTTGACCAACTCGAATGTATGTTCGGTATCACATACTTGGTTAGTCACACAAGCTTCAGACAAACAAAAATAATACTATATACGATCAAATGTGTTATAGTTAGATACAACATATTTTAGCTTAGCATGTGAAAGCGAGATTTAATTAAGAGCGACGGGTCGTGAGCACGGGGATTTGTGAAGGTTAGAGCGTTTGCTTCGATACAAAATATAGAACTCACGTATAATTCACTTTCCTGCCTTATGCTGTCCCAGTTTACCTGGAAAACAGAATAGGTACATCAGTCATTATATATATTTTTTATTTGACTGTATGTTACATTCCTGTCCGCTTTGTAGATCTTTGATATTTATATTTAAAATTTTTGTTCTATTCGACTTTGTAATGTACAATTCTATTCAGGTATTTACATGCGATCCAGTAGTAAATATGTTTCCAAACTTTCACATTTATTGTACTGGCCTAAAGATATAAATACCAAATTTAATCACAATTCTAAATGACAATGGCGGGGTCATTTCCAGTTTCAATTATATTAAAGTTTGGTATTTCTACCAAATTTGTCCAGTATGATTGAGTAATATGTCGCAATTTACCTTGTAGGGGAGAAAGGGATTGTAAGTAATGTGGACTGATGACCACATTACTAGCAATGTACCATGTCAGGTTAACCTCCACGCGGTTCCCCCTGAAAAACTTCGTGTTAAGTTTCTGGTGAATTTGTCACAGTGGACTAATTGACTCGACTTCATATTTATTCACCACTGATGCCACGCCAGTGCGAACCTTTAGCGCAGGCGGGTGGACCATTCCATTATCAATAAAAAAATAATAATATCGTCACCATACTGAGGGCTCGTCTTTTTTTTTTGTCTACTCACGTATTGGCTAGGCACCGAGTCGATGGGTATGTGAGCGGGGTGCGCGGCGTGCGCGGCGTGATGCGCAGGGTGCGCGGAGGGGATGATGGCGGGGTAGGGCGCCAGCCAGGCGGCTGGGTGGCCGGCGTGGTGGTGGTGGTGCAGCTGCGGGTGGTGGAACGCCGTCACGCTGTACATGCCGGCGCCGCTGCGGTACACGCCCGCGCACTCGCCGCCCGCGCCCGCGCCACCCACGCCGCCCGCGTACATGCCGCCCGCGCTCATCACCTGCGCACACAACATCATCACCTACACCAAATACTTAAACGAAAACAGCACGCATTCTCACTGAGTTCGAATACTAGTCAGTGAGGTGAAATGAGAACATCATTGAAAAAAATTACATAGCAGGATTAAATTACATACAGGTAAATACGTAGTAGTTTACATAACATTGAGACAATGGCAGGATGTATACTCTGTGGTTAACAATATTAGACAGAAACACAGAAAGTGATAGTAAAGTTCCTGCATCATTGTATCCTTGTTGGTATCATTCGGTACTACGAAACTTAAAAATAATAGATAACTCTGAACTCATAAGTTAGTTTTACCTGTATTAAGATATGTTTATATACAATTATACTGCAACTATGTGCCAAACATTCGAGTCCGTTCAACCGTTTAGACTTGATTGATTAACAAACACCTAAACAAACCTCATGTTTATAGTACTGCGACCGGCATATTCGTCATCGTAGAATGCTTATTTATATTGATTGATGAAATGATAAACAGTACCTAGGTTATATTTTATCGTCGTATCGCAATAAAATTTACGTATGCAATGCAATTATTGCTTTTTTTTATAATATACATAACAGTTTTGGCACAAATGGCAATCAAACCACCACCTAGAAAGGTGGTAAGTTACAGTCATCGCCTTTATACATGAACAGCACCACGGATATCAAGTTATCCGGTGACGCCTGTGATTTCACCGTCTTATCACCCTTCAATAAAAACACATATTAGATGACATCGCAGATGATTTACTCTTACGCGGGGAACAGTGAGCGTTAGGTACATCTTTACATATTTAATTATATAGCTGTACATTATCAAGTTATCAGGTGACGCCTGTGATTTCACAACCTTATTTCACCCTTCAATCAAAACATAACTTAGCGTATCCACGCCGATGACTTTTACAGTCTTAATCAGGAAACAGTGCCGATTATATTAGGTAGTATTGAACATTTTCAATCATATAGCATAGGCTGCATGTTACCTGCGTAATGGATTCGTTGTTATCTCGCCACACTCTGCCGTTATTTTCGTTTTGTTTGTTGTACAGCGCCTTTTTCTTATTACCACCATCAGCGAACTTAACAAGCAGAGGTTCTTTCGCACCGGGAATTGCGTTCCCATTAAACATCTGGAATTTGTCATTTATAGTTAAATATAACTTCGTAAAAACTATAAACTATGACTGTTTAGTGTAGTATCATTATTACATAGTGGGTATGAGTCGACTGTACTGTTTAATTTTAATAAAAACCAAGTTACTCAAAATTATTAACATCACTATTATATTAGAAATTATATTAAAAAATTCCAATGCTCCATTTTTATTTGTAAAACCATTATAAAAAATTAAGCACTAAATGTTTCGGGATGTGTGTTAGAATAAAACAGTGAAAACCGCACTTAAACCGGTCGAATTATCATCCACACATGCATTGACAAGTAGACAAAAATAAAAAGTACTTTTGGAGCTCGGTATTATAAGTACTAAATCTTTTTTCCAAAAATATTTATTGTATCTACAGACACTCATTTATATCTGTGTACTTATTATTGGCAAAAAAGGTTCTCTGACTCACTTGAATAATCTGTTCGCATTTCTCTCTCGACTCCATCCTTGCGAAGCCCACACCTTTGCTATGCCCATGGGTGTCACGCAAGATCCTCGTTGATACAACTTGCCCAAATTTCGCGAGCAATTGGTCCACATCGTTCTCCTTGAAATGTGGCGGCAGGTTCGCCATGTATAAGTTGGTGGGGTCTTGTTCTTGTTGCTGTAAAAGCCCAGGAGAAACAGTGAAGAATCTGCTCTGATATTATTAGGCCGCGTTTACACCTATAAGTTTTACGAACACTGTGTCTTACATAATTAACAGACGATTTTAAAAATGAAAAAAAATTAGTCAGTAAATTATCATATGATTTTATCGTCAGTTACTTACATAAAGCTCTTGCGTGAGTAAAAAGGTGTAAATGCGGCCTAAAGCATTTTCATTGTTTCATAAGTTGGAGGAGAATCTATTGCAAATTTGATATCAGGCTTACTTTCAAACCCTCAAATATTAGGTATATTTTCACTAATATTTCAGAACTTAACCGTTTCGACGTACGATATAAAGGCCCCGTTTAAATACATATTTAAGTAAGTATTTACGGTATTGACAAAGGTTAAGTACCTATACAGTTTAATATACAAGTATCTTTATGATAAGTGTACATAGTCAGCGTTGCTTTGACAAGTGAGAATGATAGGTGATAAGCAAATCTACTTGTTGTTAATTTAATATTTTTAGTACACGACACTGACTGCACACAAGCATCCTTGCAATTATTATTTGTTCGCAGATAATAGATTTTGGTTGATATTTCATACTTCTAAGCGTTTATTATATTATACAGTGAACGGAAAGATGTTCCACAGAATATGTATTACAAAATCAGCTTGAAGCCCGCATAGATTATCTAGACACTGAAGCCAGCACTGACGTAAACCAGCATATTGAACTAATGTACTAAATAGTATTAGGTAAGTGTTATCAACCAGATGGGCATAATATACATCAGCATAGATTATGAAGCTAGTTAAGTCGCATACACTCTAATTTAATATCGAAAGCATAGTAAACCCGAGCCCAATAGCGGTAATACAATTATATATTTTATAACGCTGAAGCAAACGACAATATTACAGAATTAATTAGATGAAACAATATTTGAAGTATAGAATTAAGTAAGCGTTATATTTGCATCGTATATGCGTATCATTGAAGGGAATAAATACTTACAACACAATTATAGTGTTACAATGTATGAGATACCGGTGACGTACCGAATTGTCTCTGTTGGTATTGTCCATAATTAATTGATAGAATAATAAGGCGTTTATGCGGTAGTAAGTAGTACCACCAGCGCGGATCAAATGCTATCGCCTTCTATATGTGGACCATCTAAACATAGAGCCTACTATATCTAAGTAATGTCACACATCTATTGGATTATATAAACAATATGCATTAAAGAATCTGAATGTTCTAAAACTTCCTCTAGAACAACACAGGAAAGGATGTTAATGCTATGATGCAGAAGTGGGTTAGGCAATTAGGTATAATATTTCAAATCTAGTTTATGTAGTAGTTAAAGAATACTGCTTGTTGTAATGCGTAATAATTATGTATTACAGCACTTGATTAGTATAGATAAGTTAAAATACTAAAGCTATGAGTAGGTACTTAAGGATAATATTTTGAGTTTTGGATAGGGAATAAGAAAACTAAATAGCTTTACACTTCTGTTACATATATTCTAATTGAATACTGGTATATTCAAATTGGATATGAAATTTCACATGACATATCATCAAAAATCATATATACAAGTTAAACATTAATTAACTACTAAAAGCTACTTACTTTTCCTGGACAGTGGACAGAAGTATGAATGGTTTTAGGTATTCATATAATATATGGTTGTTATTGTAGTGGAGTTGTAGGTGTTTGTGAGAGCGGATTAGGGGCAGGCGGTTAGTCATAAATAGTATTACTTGCATGCACAACGTACACGGTTCAGTCTACGCAGGAACCAGATACCCACTTTAGCCATCTGGGCCTGAACACCTTTGGCTTGTAATCCTTTAACAGCTGCCTCCGCTGATGCGATTGTTTCAAAATCTACAAAACCGTAACCTGTTGGAACAAAATTGAAACACCTTCATAATTATGGGGTTTCTCAAACATTTGAGGATTAGTAATAAAAAAAAAGTCTGATGATACATGCTTTTTAAACAGGACATCTAAATTCTTAAAAGTGAAAAACAGCTATAAAATAGATCTGAATAATATATTAATGTAACTAATGACAACGAATCTCTACACGTAAGTAGCGTGATGGTAATGTGATAAGTACAAAAAGATTATATATTGTGATAAACAGACACGAATACTGTGCATCTTTTGATAAACGATTACATTTCAGAATCATCTGTGCTTCGGTGCAAAATTATAGATAGCGAAGATGATAATTATCTACTTGAAAATAACACGTGGGTACATACGTGAAATGAACATATATATCATAGTCAATAATAATTATAAAAACATTATAAATATGAATCAAATAATATGTATCTAATGTCGTGCATATATTGGAAAAAAGTCTCACCATAGATGGATTAGTTTAATGAAGGTATATGGTATTCTAGAAAATATTAATACTGTATTAAATAATTCAGTTATGAATAGTCTTACTGATGCATAGTCTATTTGACTAGGAATATAAATTGTAATAAGATAATTTACATACATACGTGAAATATATCTATGCACAGATTATTTACTGGAAGTACATGACGTATATATAAAGGCTTAAATCGCTATGATAGTGTAAGAGAAGTATGCGTGACTGAATATTGATTACCTTTACATTTATTCGTATTTTTATCCAATATTGCTTTAGTAGAAATAATGTTGCCGTACCTGAAAAAGAAAGAAGTTGTAAAAATAAGTTCCACATGATTCATTATTATTCAGTTACAATTTGTAATAAAAAAATTAAGGGGGGTAGTGTTTTTAGAACGCTAAAATTTTTACGTAGATGTAGTTAACAACGAAAATTAGATTAATACATTAGTCACTCTTAGAATTAATATTTGCTTGTTGCTTCCTAAGGAGATATCTAGATATTACTAGCTGTCCCGGCAAACGTTGTTTTGCCATATAAATTAATAACGCTATAAGAAAAAAAGGGTTGATGATAGGAGGGTGAAAATTTAGGATTGTATGTATTTTTGTATGTTGTATCATAAAAAATAGAAACTAAAAATTTTATTAAAAAGTAAAATAAAAAAATTTAGGGGTGGACTACCCCTAACATTTAGGGGGATGAAAAATAGATGTTGGTCGATTCTCAGACCTACTCAATACGCTCACATAATTTCATGAGAATCGGTCAAGTCGTTTCGGAGGAGTATGGGAGGGAACGAAAACTGTGACACGAACATTTTATATATAAGATTAGTCGTAACAAATATTGGCAAGAAAATATTTAAATAAGCTCTACAATATACTGAAATTGGTAGAGCTTAAATACTTTCTGGTTGAATAGTATAGTTGTCCCTACGAATTGAACGGTGGCGAAAACGTGGAGTATTCTATATTTAAAAGTGTTTATTTTATGTAATACTTACATCTGGCACATTTGAACGAGGTCCTTGTCGGTGGTGTTTTGGTTAAGGCCACGTATGTATAGGTTGGTGGGGCTAAGTTGTTCTCCAGTAGCCCCGGTGGTAGACGCCGAGGAGGCGGGGGGCGGGGGTGCGGTGCTGAGGCTCGTAGAACGGGTGCCGCCAGCAGAGCCCGTGTTAGAGGACGACGAGGACGCAGTGTTGGCTGGTGACGCCGCGGTCGGAACACGCGCCCCTGTTGCGCCCCCCATTGTCGTACTACCGTACTGCAAATAGAAACCCTAAATTACACTATACGTCAAGTACTTGACATTGCATTTATGAAAATTCCTATAGTATACTTATTGGAGAAGATAACATAATAATACAGGTAAACATATGTATAAATAAATATGTCTTTGATTCATTAGATTAGATTATTCATTAGATTATTAGATTTCATATTTTCTTTTGATAGATTAGCATTATAAAAATATTAATTTAGACAATGTTGTTTGCTTTTACCCAATTAAACTAGAATCGATGTGATGTGACAATAAAACATAAATAATATATTATATGGCTAAAATTAGGTTATTTATTAAAAGTAATCTTTACATTTTGTATCAATTTTTATCTATACTAATATTATAAAGTTAGTTTGTGAGGTTATAGTGGGGTGCACACTAAGAAAAACTATAGAGAAAAACAGTATTAAAAATTACATAGGTATACAATGACTAATTAATTAAATAACATTATTCGTTCTCATATTTTGGTTCATGTGTTAATTCAGTTAATGGGAAACACAGGTAGATGGGTACATGTAATTCGTAACCGTGTAACGACTATTAACCAAGTGTAATATCAACGACGTGAAGGCTCAAGTTTGCGACGACATGCTCAGAATGATGCGGCATATGCGACTTCATTGAAACTAACTGCTTTCGGTAAGACGTGTTAAGGCGTCGTCCATTAGTTATTTAGCCAGCGAGTAATGAATAGGGCGGAGGAGAGTAATGAGCAAATGGCGATTCAGAGCACGCACTCTTAATCGACTCATATGTGCTTACGAGTCGTGAAGCCGGCAGTTATCGAGCGAGACATCGAAAAGCGTTACGTTTTATGGATTAGTTTTAATTTCTACGATGGAATGTTGTATAATTTGGTGAACATATTTTTTAAACGATTTATTTACTCGTAATATTGTATTCGGAGTTTTAAGAATGTATAACATTTAACTTATTTTATTAGACTTGATGAACTCAATAAATACAATCTATCTATACTTATCTGTAAGTAAATATTGAAAAATATATTTAGTAAAAATTTAAAGGCCTTTAGGAGTGAAAATATATAATTATAGTATACATATGTTGTACCTTAATTATACGTAACTGAATACGATTTAGCTTTAATTTTTCTTGGTTAAACTTCGTTGATTGTTATCTACCCTAATTATTATTTTTTCCGTCTGTTTTTGTTTGCATCGGTCCCCATGCGTTTAATTTGTGTTTCCGACGTAATTTATATATTACGAAACGTGATATATTACCCAACTGAAAATTATTCACGCTATAAGTGATTACGAGGGTGCAATATCAGTATACATGTGTTGTTATTTACATTTAGTTAACATATTAAACCCATAAACTGTGCTCATCGTAGACGAAACGAGTCATCAACGGATATGTCTGCATGCTTGATGTGTAAGCTTTCATAATGTACTGTTTAAATTTATGTTATTGTCATTATTTCATATACATTAAGAAAAACAATTCTCATTTATTTTAAAGTTTCATGTTATGGAAAACTCATCTCATAATTTTAATATAATAATTTAAAAGCTTTCTAAGAAATAATTTATACGTGCATGTATACGTTTAAAAATTATTTGTATGGAAGATTATTAATTACAGTAAGTAAGTAGAGCTTAAACTCTACAGTCCCTTAGTGGATACATTAAAATATGTATATTTCAAAAACTTCACAGAAAACATTACAAGCAATCAAACATTTTGATACTTTTAATAAGTTATTTATTAGTAGGCTAGGTGTACTGTAGTTACAGTTATTCCTGGTATATAAATCTGGATGAAGGTAAATGATTGATGAATATGAAATGTTGCATTTGACTGAATTAATTAGGAATATACCTACCTACAATAGTTTCTAGGTTAGACAAATCTCGAATATACATATATATCAAGTAATGCCATAAATGAATACATATAAAACAAATATTGTAAACCCTACTGATACTTATTATTATACATGATTATTATTATTATTACTTAACATACCTACCTGTTAATAGTGTATTGTATAATAAGTGAATACTACATTAAGGCTAGATATTTCTACGATTTTGGACGCATGATATAGGTACCTAAGTATATACAAATTATCTGAATAGCATACAAGATTTCGCAAGTGTATAATTGACATATTTTTACAAGTGTATTGGTAATAGATAAACACGGTACTTAGCATACTAAATGTTCATGAGGTAATCAATATCTATTGAATTTCACATGGTTGCTGTTAAATCGACACTAGTCTATTACAACAACTTATTAAATCTTACACAGTTTTAATAAGTCGCTGTCAACGACTTTATATTATACGGCCACCTGTGCAATTTACACAATTTAACGTTATTATCTGCTTGGAATTTAGACCGGTAATTAAGAGAGGCCAGTGTCCCCCGCCGCACGAGTGAACCATCCTAAGTTTCTTTTCTGTACAATAAATAAACCTCTTTTTATAGATTTACCAATGAAATGTTATAAAGTTTCTGTGGTGTTTATAGATACGACATGCTGACTGTACTCATTTATTTTCTGCAATGAGATACTGTAAGAATTAATTATGATGTAAACTACTTAATTTTTTACAGATAGGTCTATTTTGGTATTTTATTAATGACATAATTAAACAACTAGGTGTTAACCGCGATTTCATCTACATAAAAACTTTCTCGTAATATAATAACAGAATATGTTCACGTTAAATATTATTTTTATATACGTGGTTTAGTCGCGAAAAGGTAAGAACGGACAGATAGGTTTGTAAAGGTATTTATAAAATCTGTATAGATATCTTTATTAAGTTAAAAATTTGCTGTGCCTGCAGTTTCACCCGAGTGATTTTATAGCCTATATACTCTTTTAATGTTTGAGTTATATTACTGTAAATTATTCATATTAGTGTAATTTTCAGTAGTTTTTGCGTGAAAGAGAAACACGCATTGACAATCCATCCATACTCACAACTTTCGATAATAATATTAGTACCTAAATATTAGTAAGATAGAATGATTCAATAAAGACAATAAAAAAAAATTATGTAACTTAAATATATCCGCAGTGTTAGCAATAAAGGCCATATCAAACTAAAAGTTAGGTAGAGTTCTTATTGTGATGCAGTTTTATAGGTAGGTAACCTATAAATCTGCATCAGTACAAGAAAGTCAGTTTTCGAATATTGGGAGAAGTCACAGGATGCACTCGGAGTTTTTTGTGACCTATCAAAGGCATTTGATTGTGTGGATCATAAAACGCTTTTATACAAGCTCGAACATTATGGTATAAGAGATAATGATCTAAAATTAATGAGAACTTATTTAGAGGATAGGGTCCAAACTGTAGATATTGACGCTGTAAAATCTAAGGGAGCTAATATTAAGATGGGCGTTCCACAAGGGTCAATCTTAGGCCCCTTTCTCTTTTTAATCTACATAAATGACCTTCCCTTTATGGTAGAGAAAATAGCAGATATAGTGCTGTTTGCGGATGATACTTCGTTAGTGTTTAAAATTGGACGTCAAAGTAATCAATTAGACGATGTAAATTGTGCTATGTCTGCAATATTAAATTGGTTTACATGTAATAACCTATTATTAAATTCCAGCAAAACAAAGTGTATAAAATTTACACTTCCTAATGTAAGACTAATAAATACACAGTTATTGCTTAATGACGAAATAGTAAATTTTGTTAATGATACAGTTTTTTTAGGTATAACAGTGGACTCGAAATTACAATGGGGGCCCCATATTTCAAAATTGGCCAGTAGACTCAGTTCTGCTGCATATGCAATTAGAAGAATTAGGCAATTAACAGACGTGGCGACGGCTAAACTTGTATATTTTAGTTATTTCCATAGCATAATGTCTTATGGCATACTGCTGTGGGGTAAAGCAGCCGATATAAATACTATATTTGTTTTACAAAAGAGAGCCATACGTTCTATTTATGGTATGGGTTCAAGAGAGTCATTACGTCAGTGCTTTAAAGACTCAAATATCCTCACCGTTACTTCACAATACATTTATGAAAATATTATGTATACACGGAAGAACTTAGAGAGTTTTAAAAAACTCAAAGACTGTACAAGTAGAAACTTACGCAATATAAATAAGCTTATTTTACCTAAATGCCGTCTGCACAAAATCAGTAATTCATTCTATGGTAATTGCATACGATTTTATAATAAACTGCCAGAATCTGCATTAAATCTGACAGAGAGGCAATTCAAATCTTATATTAAACAATTTTTATGTAAGAAAGCCTATTACAGGATAGATGAATTCATAGATGACAACATATCATAATTAGCAACAAGTAAATAATTAGTTTATTAGTTTTATTAGTTTATACAAAGTTATAATTTTATTTTCTCATTGCTTTCTTGATTTAATTGATTGATTTTAGAAATATGAAAGCGTAGCGGTTTTTGTATTAATTGCCGCATGCATTCTTATGTAAAATGTGAATACTATAACTATCAGATGGCAATTGTGAGTAGCTTTGACGTGGTCTAGTGTTTTGAGTAGTCATGCTCACTAAAATGTCCAGACTTGTGGCGGCGTGGTGGGCGGGTCATTGGGCTCCCTAAAATATGGTCGAGCGCAGTGATGGCTGGCTCATCCGTCATACTCGTGAACGGGTGCTGCTTGTAGGGTCTGCTCTAATCACTATGACTGATTTCCTCTTACTAATTGTTTAACCAGTTGGTTATGTATTCAATATTTTTTCTTTTTGAGTATTTAATAGAATTAGTGCTAATTGGTGGTTTGTATTCACACACTTAAACTTAAAAATGTAATAATAAAATTATTTAAAAGAGCAACACGCAAGTTTCTTGCTCGTTCTTCTTGTGATGAGACAGCTTTCCGAACGAGCGGTAGATTATAAAAAAAATGTAATGACTATTCAAAAGTCCTTCAATGTAAGTTTATTTGAATAAATGATTTTCTATTCTATTCTATACTAAAGAAAGTACA